TATTATCCAAAGTTAATGTAAACTCTTGATAATGTACTTCATCTACTACAAGTAGTTTGTTTGAATGTAATAATAATGTTGTTTGTTTTGTGGAATCATTTATTGAAAAATGAATCTGAATTTTCGATCCGTTACGATTATAAACTGAAGCAATATAAAAATGAGCCCCATTAACTGAGTTTTAAACATCAGCATATCCGCTCATAGTCCGGTAATTACCTGCTAACGGAAACTCTGCTACACAATTATTATTATTATTATTATTATTATTATTATTATTGAAACATGACCGGTAAGTTTCAAATTTGTCGGTAAAATAAATTCTTCCGGACATTTGACCGGCAAGAAAAGATCCTAGTGGAAACCCTGATTCACACACCTATTTGTACTGTGTGTATACTGTATCACTGTGTGTGTGTTTACGCTCAGCAGGAGCTTACCTTGCTCCAGATAAGTCTTTGAGTTCCTTCCAGTGGTCCACAAACTGGGCCAGCCTCTGCTGGATCTCCTCCTGGCGATGGTGTTGTCATCAGACAGCTTCTTCCCAGTGTCCAGCACCGACTGCACGCACACACACACACACACACCAATAGTCTAAATCTAAAGCTACAATACTGTCCATCGCATTTCTCTGAGAAAGTCAGAATGAGAGCAGTCGGCAGTTCATCTGCCCACCTCTCTGCTGGTTGCCTGGCAACGTCACTGTGATGACTGGACAATGAAGTAACAACGTCATTACCAACCAAGAAATCCTTCCAGCAAAAAGCTCTCGAACAAATATGTTAGTCACTGAGCTGAGATGCTTGTATCCAACTTCAAAAACAGGTCAATCATTCCCAAACTGTTGCAATATTTTTCAAAATATATCAACTGGCTAAATATAGAATTAGTAAATGATGTTATAGAACCTTTGGATAAATCACTGCATCAAGAATCTCCTGATGGGATTAGAATAAAAGATGAGCCTCTCACCTGGATGGCCGGCTCGTGGGCTCCCAGCTCCGCCTCCAGCCTCTTGTTTCTTCCTCAGATTCTGTACTCCTGTCAAATCACGTCCGTAGTCCTCTGAACTCACAAGCAGCTTCTTCTCTCTGTTTGGGGTGGAGGCAGAAATGTGTTCATTTAAGTTGAGGGCACTTTGGCTCACTACAGACTTCCGTTATTTGGACACATTTTAGGAAGTCTCATCGACCCTCTGTCTTTCCTCTCCTGTCCTCGTCTGGAGTTATTTCTACTTGGAATGTTATGTTACTTGATAATAGTACGTGACAGCCCTTTAAATCAGTTATAAACATCTTTAGGTTTAAGAAAATGTATAAAGAAGGAATACTGAGAGCGTACGAAGAGAACCTGATTCCCGATGTAGACTGTTGCTCCTTTCCACCATGGGCTACAGACACTGTCTACAGTGTACATGTTTTGTTTTTATAATAATTGCCATGAATGGATAAACAAATAAATATAAAAAAATATAAAATATGAATATGTCAGGGGTAACGTTAACAATGTTAACAATTCACCACCCTTATGAATCAGATACATCGCAAGAGTCTACTCTGCATGTTTATACTATAACAATATAGTAAAGCCAAAAGGAAAAATGACGCTGTCTCGATCACGTGAAACAAACGCAACAACAACCACACATGTTTTGATCAGAAGATAGATATATTAAAGAGCATCAGTTAATAAGGACACTCCAACAGTCGGCAGACCGAAGGTGGAGCTTATTTCTCAGGTCAGGGACAGATTTCAGATTCATAGGTTAGCCTCAGTGTGCTGTGAATAAGATGGTCTACATCTGCCCTGATTCCCTCTCAGATATCTACACCATCCAACTCTCTTACTTGATCCAAGACTCTTCATCATCCAGGTCCCTGAAGAACTGGTGCAGGCGGTGGGGACTCGTTGAGTTTGGCCGGCGCCCTGCAGCTGCTCTTGATCTGGCAAAGCGGCCGTTGACGGCATTGCGCTTGTCCTTCACCTGGGAGGTGTCGAAGGCCTGGCTGCCCATCAGGCTGTCCGCTGGCCGTTCAGATCCTTCAGACGATCCTGCAAGGGGGGAGGGGGGGTTAGAGGCTTCCATTGTAACTCAGGGTGATAATGCTTGTCAGGATTTATAATGGTGAGGAGTGTAGGACTGGTAAATGCTCTAAAACAAAGGGCCAAATCTGGCCAGTCAAATCATGTCATGTGGCCTGCGAGGACCCCCTGAAACAATGGCAGGCTGACAGTAAGGGTCTGGGACAGGTGGTTTCAGAATCTCGTCTTTCAGACTATTCAAATATTACCCTGAATTCAGAGGAGAAATACTTGCATGCCTGATTTGTGTGATGTTAAAAACAAATTGTATTATTCACTTCAAAATGTTGATCTTTGAGATGATGAGTGTTACTTCATTTCATAAATTCATGGGATTTATGTTGTACGAACACAGAGCAATGTATACTAACACGGAGAAACATACCGTTTGTTTTGTCTAAGTGCAGGCATCATGTATTGATGCACAACAATGCGTTTTTGTTACCAAACTCATTTTTTAAATATATTGTATAACATTGTTGAATATTTGTTTGCAATTATTTCTCTTGACTTCTACTTTCAGAGGTAGTGATTCATTCAGTTATTACTAAAACAAATATGATCCAAGAGCTGAGACAATTATGAAATATAACATGATTTGATATACATTATAAAATAAAGAGACCAGTCTTTTTCTTTCATCTCAATCTCTACACGTATTGCAGCAATTCTATTCCAGTGTCACTTGAATTCCAGAGAGAGAAATATTGTAAGTAGTTTATAGAAAACATTTTTATTTTACTCAAACACATACCTATAGATCAGGGGGGACCAAACCTTTTTCACCGAAGGCCACATACATACAAAAATACGAAGGGCTGAGCCCCTTACTTGAGGTATACTGCTTCGTAAGTTACGTTTTAAGTTAGCAAAATCAATCACATGTCGGTAAATGATGCTTTAAGAATAAACTGCCTCCATCACAGCTCTCCATAGGGTTTCCTTTATTTTGTTAGCAACTCATTCTTTAAAACAGAAGCCTCAGATTGCTTATAATAAGAGGAAATAGGAAGGTTGCATGTCATAGCACGGATGGAGCTTCTTTTTTTTTTTTTAACTAATCGACTAATGAAAAATTGCTCGATTAAGACTTTATTAGTCGACTAGTGATTATTCGACTATTAGGGGGCGGCCCTACATATATGTATACTGTATTTATTTAGTCTTAAAGTTACAACTGCCACTTTGAGGGCAACCATAATGCTAATGTGGCCCGCGATGAAATTGGTGTCTTGTGTGTTCCTCTAACACAGAGCCATGTTTTACAATGACTTACCTCATGCGCAGAGATATCAGCCTCCAGCAGCTGGTGTTTCTTCAGCAGGTTGTTGACTGAGGCCAGATCTTTGCCATAGTCTTCAGAGGCCAGAAGAGCTTCCACCTGAGAACAACAGAGCAGACGGTTAGATCCTCTTCTGGTTATTGTACATCAGTCACTGCACCTGTACTGACTGCAGGTCACCTCAGAGAGCCAGAAGTCGAAGTCCTTGATGCGGTGTTGAAGTTCTGGCTTGTTGGCCTCCTTCAGTTTCTGGCTCTTTTCCGCTGACTTGTTGACGAGGAACTGCCACTGCTCATCCAGAGCACTGAGGCGCGCCTGGGGAAGGAGCAAGTCATAGTGGACGTTCATTTCACTCCATTACATACAATTGCATTTAGCTGAGGCTTTTATCCAAAGCGACTTACAATAAGTGCATCCACCAACAAGATACAAACTTGAAGAAAACACAATCATATAAGTACATCAGGTTTCATAGAGCTAAAACATTTCAAGTGCTACTCAACTGGCTTTAGATAAGCCAGTCCTTTGTTAGTATATAAGTGCTTTGTTAGCAATTCTTTGTTAGTAATTCTATCGCTCGAAGTGGAGTCGAAAGAGATGAGTTTTCAGTCTGCGCCGGAAGATGTGTAAGCTATCTGCTGTCCTGATGTCAATGGGGAGCTCATTCCACCATTACATCAATGCATTTCATATTATGTTCTCATACAAGACATGTGGAGAGCGTCTTCTGCTCAGAGAAAGTCTCAGTTGTAAACATTCACTTGATACAGTTTGTTAGAAACTCTTTATCATGCCAGAAAAAAACGATATATCATGGCAAAAATAAATAAAAAATAAACAGCTTTCCACTTCAGCTAGAACTCTTTCTTAAGCTCTTACATGAGTATGCCTTTTTCTTCTAAATATGTCTAAATATTGTTTCTGCTGCTAAGTCACATTTCTGAATGGATAATAAGTATTAAAGTGAATGCTTTAACAGGGTAATAGGACTGTACCTTGACTGCGTCCTCGCTGCCGGCGCAGGCTCCTCTCTGGATCAGGGTGTTTCCCGTGTCGATGACCCCGCGGATCCGGTCTGCGTTGGCGTGCAGCTCGGCCTCGAACGCCTGATGTTTCTGATGCTTACTCTGACAGCACACAGGCGGGGGGACACGGACACAGCATGAGAATCACAAAGTGGACAAGCTCCCATTTATGTGTAAATGTTAGAAAGCTCCTCAAAAATTAAATATACACGTAACACCTAGCATTGCTTTCATTCCTATAAGTGATGAGCTACAGTCACTTTAACTAAGTTAAATGAACAAACCTTTATCTTTATCTGAGGCTGACTTTACCTACAAGTTACATTGATGTTAAGTCAGTTTCATATCATTTATACAATTAGTTTGTAACAAAAAATGGAAGACTAGAGATTGAAAGACTACAGGGTAGAGTATATAAAAATGAATTCAACACAGGACACTATCTATCACAGACAATGTGTGGGACATGGACGGACACACAGGACACTATCTATCACAGACATGCTGTGGGGACATGGACGGACACCAGGACACTATCTATTCACAGACAATGTGTGGGACATGGACGGACACACCAGGACACTATCTATCACAGACAATGTGTGGGACATGGACGGACACACAGGACACTATCTATCACAGACAAGTGTGGGACATGGACGGACACACAGGACAAACAGGAAGAACACAGAATGGCAGTGTGGAGGAACAACATCTGCAACAAATACACTACTAGAGGAGCGTCACTTCAAAGTTGCTCATTCTTGTATCTTTCCACATTTCCGTTACCTTCTCCACTTCAATACACTAAATACTGTCTTTTAAAGTCACTAACACATCCAACAGCTTTTTCAAATGTGAGGTGGTCAGCTTGACCCGAGTTTCATTCTCACAGCCCTGCTGGGCTGTTGTTCCAGAAAAGACTATTTTGAAGGTCTTAATTGATCATTATGACTGTGGAATCAAACATCTGAAGCAACTTTAAAGATAACCCCCTCTCCAGAATAGAACATTAAAATGGAAGCCACAACCAAGCAACTAATAGCTTTTGATGACAAATCAAACCTAGGATAAAATACAAAATGAACACAGAATGAAGCCTTTTTTTAAATTAACAAAATGAAAAACCAGCTGGAAAAGAAGCTGGCACTGAACGGTGCTGATGAGGGACAAACTGAAGATGGACGGAGTGCTTGTTCTACTTTGTGTCTACACACACACACAGCAAAGACGTGGACACATGACAACCTGCATGGTTGTTAGTCAGCTGACACACTACTCAAACTTACCCAGCAGCTTGGACAGCTATAAAAAAACAAGACAGTGGGAGAGAAATTCAGTCTCACTTCAGACAGGACACAGGGAGGGATTTGACACGGTTAAAGAGTATCGTCAATAAAACAAGACAAAATTGATTAGCAATTTTAATTTAGGGAAAGACACTGGTCTCAATGACCTGCCCTACAATCAGTTACTATCTGTGGAAATAAATCCTATCTATAAAAATAGATTCAATTTGATGTGCTATCTTTTCTATTAACTTCATTAATTAAATTCATCTGTGGAGTTACTCTTAAGGGAAACAGTGCACTGGTTTCAGATCAGCTGTGTGCTGAGATCTCCTGGGAACAGGGCCTGTGCTGGTAGAAGGGAGTGTGTACCTGGATGTTGGTGGGGTCTTTGTAGGATTCGTCTGTTGCAGTTTGCAGCTTCTCGCTGATCCAAGCCTCGATCTCATCCACGTCCCGGCTGAACTGCTGCAGGGTCTGCGACTCACCCAGCTTGGAACGCTTTTCGATCATCTGAGCCTTCAGCCGGCGCCACCTTCAAATATAAAAAACACAGGCAAGTTAAACAGATGCCCATATTTATCAGTAGGAAGATATGGTCTATACTTGAATAGGAAAGGAAAAACATGTTTTCTTTTTCCTTTTAGACATGACAAAATAGTAATGAAATGTCATTAACTTGCAGACATCTCTGTACATTCCCTGCTGTTGTAGTAGTTATAGTGTATGGGTTTTGGTCATATTTCTGTCAAATCAAGCAGGAAAAAGTGTGTGTTTGTGTCAGAACCATAGACTTCACATTAGGTCCTATTTTATCTTTGTATAAAAGATGTCTATAAATGAAATGCCAGCTTATTTAAAAAGCAGACTTATTTTGATCTGGATCTGGACCTGCATTACTGATCTCTGGGAAACATGTCAGTGTTAGATATAGTAAGCATGTAGGATTTGTGAGAGATGGCTCATAGGAAATTAGCTTTTTGACACATTCATGTAAAATTGAAGTGAAGATGATACTCAGTCCTGTTTGGATTTGAGGAGGGGTGAAGACAAACAGGTTGTAACAGAGCGTTCCCTACCTGTCCAGGACCTCATTTCGGCGGTTAAAGATCTCAGGTTTGGCGTAATGGTCGGCTCCGACCAGCTGGTCAGCAAAGGACTGCAGAGCAGCGATTTTCTCCTCCTGTACAGCAGGGGAACATTTAGAGTGTTTATAGAATACAACTACCGATTGATTCCAACAACTTTCACTGAGCGGTAAAACTTATATTGACCTGCACGTTGATGGCCTTGTCAAAGTCTTCATGTTTCTTGATGAGGGCTTCCACACTGTCCAGGGAGTCACCCTTGTCATCACTAGCAAGGAAAGCTTCCCGAGCGGCCATCCAGTTCTCAGCCTGCTCACAGTCCCTGTTGAAGAGCTGCAGAGGAACAACAGTCAGTCAGAGGGACAAACACACACACCACTTTCCGACTGCTCCTCATGCCTCAGCACACAGTACCTGCAGTTCCAGGCACTGGTCCAACATCATGCGGCGCTGCACCCAGGCCTTCTCCAGGTCAGCACGCTCATGGTCCAGAGCTTCTAGTTTCTGCTGGATCTCAGGACTGGCATAGTGGCCGCGCACCAGCAACTGCTGACCAAACTGTTCAAAGGCTTGGAAGGTTCCAGCACGAGCATCGATCTCTGTGCGGTGTTCCTGGAAAATGGAAACAGAAAAAGAAAGATTGATGGGCGGTGTTAGATTGACTTAAAAACTGCGTCGTCTGCAATGTAGAGCATTAACAGAGGGAAGGGATTCAATACCTGGTGTCTCTCCAGAAGGCCTCAGCTCCGGTTACATCTTTGGCCAGCTCCTCCGAGGACACCAGCCCCCGAATGCCATTAATCCAGGACATCAGATCTCTGTGCACATCAAGAATTAGAGCTATAAACACTACACACAATCTCTACATCTCTTCAATGTAGATCTATCTGCAAGATACTGCATTATTTACAATCCATTTATTTGGCCCCAAACGCGCCTGTCTTTTTCACAACCCAGTTGAGATTTGACAACGTCCACTCCCGCATGACAAAAGCATCGACACAGCGTCAGCCTTGGCGTTTTCATCACAAAATATGAATTTGACAGCTACAGTCGCTTCATAGAATAATAATAATAATAACTAGAGAATGCAATTCCTGAAGAAATTGCTAGTGGGAATGCTTTATGCTGAAAAGCTGACGCTAAACTGCTATGCTGAAATGTAATGTGTAAGAAGAAAGTGAAGAATTTAGATTGAAATGATACATGAACACTGGGGGCTTGAATGTGTGATGAGAGAAGAAAAGAAAGTAAAAAGGCTTGGAAAAGCAGCAGAATATTTGAACTGCAAACTTTTGAACTAACTTGATGGTGAATGATCTGTCGCCATGGCAACGGCATTTGATGACACCCCATAATACGCTTAGATGCGTTGATGGCTGCATCGTTACCAAACCTGTGAAGTTTTGGGCCGTTTGGAACATTTTCACTGAAGTTATGAGAAAACCGTGTTTCATGGCGAGCATTGTGTTGCCATGGCAACGGCATTTGAAGAAACCCCATAATTCACGTAGAGCTGTTGAGGCATGGACCGGTGATATACAAGTGAAGATTGGGGGACGATTGGACCGTGTCCATTGGACTTACAGCGACATCGTGTTTCATGGCGAGTGGTCTGTCGCCATGGCAACAGCATTTGATGACACCCCATAATGCGCTTAGATGCTTAGATGCGTTGATGGCTGCATCGTTACCAAACCTGTGAAGTTTTGGGCCGTGTGGAACATTGTGTGTGAGAGAGAGAGAGAGAGAGAGAGTGTGTGTCTGTGTGTGTCAGAGAGAGAGAGAGTGTGTGTGAGAGAGTGTGTGAGAGAGAGAGAGAGAGGGAGGGAGAGAGAGTGTGTGTCTGTGTGTTTGTGAGAGAGAGTGTGTGTGTGAGAGAGAGTGAGTGAGTGAGAGAGAGAGTGAGTGAGTGAGTGAGTGAGAGAGTGTGTGTCTGTGTGTTTGTGAGAGAGAGTGTGTGTGTGTGAGAGAGAGAGTGAGTGAGTGAGTGAGTGAGTGAGTGAGAGAGTGAGTGAGTGAGTGAGAGAGTGAGTGAGTGAGTGAGTGAGTGAGAGAGAGAGAGAGAGAGAGTCTGTGTTTGTGAGAGAGAGTGTGTCTGTGAGAGAGAGTGTGTGTGTGTGTGTGTGTGTGTGTGTGTGTGTGAGTATGAAATGAACAGTTAGAACTGACTGCTGTCAGTTGGAGTGATGACATCTTCGTGTTCCATTACACAGGTGTTTATAGTTGAGCTAACGAGCTCTGTAGAGATCAAAGGTTTGCATTGTTCTGAATGAGAGATAAACCTCTTACATGTGAACGTTTTGTGGAAGAACCATAACAGATATCTGTGAAATTTCAAAACGTGAAGCATGTCAAGGAAGTTGAGTATCTGAAGTGTAATTCTTGTGTACTTTCGGGTTTCGGCTGCTGCTGTGAGGAAAATATCAGCCTGAAATTACAATGGGTTTTAATGGAGACATGTTGAACGTTTTTGTCACTTCATGCCCTCAAGAGGCATTTTGTTTAATTATTTTTGCTTAATTATTTGTCATTTTTCAAGCTACGAGATGTTTTCCTACGTTTGTCATGAAAAATTATGTCTCAGGGATGTAGGGTTTGGGAATTATGGCAGTTTTAAAAAAAATATATGAAGGCAAATTTCAAGATTTGCTCCACTCTAGCTGTGACATCACGCACTCTAGTTAATGTTAAAATCTGAAGAAAACCTCTTTAACAAGGTCTGAACAATGTTTAATATCTCTAAAAGTAAGAATCAGATTTAAAAGTTGTGTGACACCAATAATGTCAGAAAGATGTGTAACATTTTAAAGTTGGAATGAGGTTTCTGAGTGAAAGTATGAATGAACAGTTAGCAGTTGAAGTCGCATGAAGATTGTTCAAGTCTGAAGAATTTCTCCATTGACTGCCATGTTAAAAATGGGATGAATTATGGGATGTATCTCTGGAATTATGAAAGTTATGAATGATAAAAGTAATAGCCATCGATTCCCGACCGAGCTGAACGTTTTGATGTTTGAACGGAGTTTCTGCGATGTTGAATGCAGGAGGAGAAGAGGTGCAAAGTTCCGGCGGAATAATAATAATTTTGTCCGTAGAAGAACATATAGTGGGAATGCTGTATCAGCATTCCCACTAAATAATAGATAACATTTGTAAAGCTCATTTTTTGGTTTGTGTATATGTACTGTGTTACTTTGAAACACGTCAGAGGATAACAAATATTCCTCTTGTTCATTTGGGGATGGCACTTTCTTTTTATACGTCCATGATGCAGTTGCGCAGAGTGCTAGGTTGATGTGAAAGTGGGCTTGGTTAAATCTCAACTGGGTTGGAGAAGCGATAGACAGAACCAGCTGCTCTGTCCTCACCTGAAGTCGGACAGGAAGCGCTGCAGGTCGTGGGAGTTGCCCAGCTTGTCTTTGCGCTGGTCAGCTCTCCCCACCAGGCTGCTCCATGCGGTGTTCAGCTCCGTGCATTTCTCCTGGATGTCGTCCACGGCCTCAGGGTGGGACTGGATCAGACGCTCAGCTGTCTCCCCGAGAGAGTTCACCTGAGCAGGGGAGGAGGGACATGAGTAAAGCCTCCAGGGAAACATTACTGTTTGTCATTTAAATGTAGCTTATCTACAATCAGACCTTATCTCCCAGAGCTGCCAGGTCCCTCTCAAAGCCTTCGTGTTTGCGCTGCAGAGCTTGCACACTGGCCAGGTCATGGCCGTAGTTGTCTGTGTTGAGGGCCTGGTTCTTCTCCTCGATCCACTCTTTAGTTTCATCAGCATCCCTGAGGAGCCACAAACAGACACACTGTTCAAAGGGAAACTGTGTGTGCTCAAACATCTGGGGCAGGCTATGGGATGTTCAGGGGGATCGCAAATACCCAATGTGTCTGCCAATATTAAGCTTTTTTTCTACAAATTAATTTAAATAATGATATTATCATGAAAAAACTAAATCAAATCCTCTTTATTGTCACACACATACACTGCACCGCACACACAGTGACATTTGGTTTTATAATCCAAATCCCCCAAATAGTCAGTAGTAGCGGTATTAAATTAATATTTGATATTTGATATCCAACATCTAGTTACAGGTGGCCTGTGGAACTGCCAGTCAGCTGTTCCTAAGGCTGACTTCATCTCTGGCTACGCTTCCCTGCAGTCTCTGGATTTCCTTGCTCTCACTGAGACCTGGATTACACCATCCAACACATCCACCCCAGCAGCTCTCTCCACAGCATATTCCTTCTCCCATACACCCAGACCCACTGGAAGAGGAGGTGGCACTGGTCTCCTGCTCTCTCCCAAATGGAGCCTAACTTCACTCCTTCCACCTTTGAATTCCATGCCGTCACAGTAACCCATCCTATATAATTAACCATTGTTGTTCTCTACCGTCCACCAGGCGCCTTGGGGGACTTCTTGGAGGAATTAGATAATCTCCTCTCACACATCCCTGAAACTGGCCCTCCCGCTGTACTTCTCGGAGACTTCAACCTCCAGACAGGGAAGATATCTGAACTAACATCTCTTTTAACCGCCTTTGCTTTCTCACTGTCTCCATCCCCACCAACTCATAAAGCTGGCAATGTCCTTGATCTCATATTCTCAAAGAACTGCACTACTTCCAACCTCTCTGTAAACCCACTTCACACATCTGATCACTTCTTCATTTCATTCTCTCTACCCCTTTCCAAACATAACAAACTAATCTCTTCTCATTCTGCACCTGTCCGCCGTAACCTTCGTTCCCTCTCCCCCTCTACCTAGCGATAGAATTACTAACAAAGAATTGCTAACAAAGCACTTATATACTAACAAAGGACTGGCTTATCTAAACCAGTTGAGTAGCACTTGAAATGTTTTAGCTCTATGAAACCTGATGTACTTATATGATTCTGTTTTCTTCTAGTTTGTATCTTCCTGGTCGAATGCACTTATTGTAAGTCGCTTTGGATAAAAGCCTCAGCTAAATGCAATGTCATGTAATGTAATGTAATATATTTTGCCCTGTTGGTTTTACGTTAACAGTTGAAAAAGCTTTGTTTTTAACATTGTAAGGAAATACAGACCTACTGTAATTGGTAGAAATGTTTTTAAAACCTTTTCTGTCAGTTAATGTGTATCATGAGCCAAGGGGAAAACTGAATTGTGAACATTTTGTTTTCTTTGCAGTGAAAATGAACACGGACCGTCGAAAGAGGGGTTGTATGGCTCTGGGAACTATCAAAGACAAAGTGAGGTAAAAAGAAAGTGCAGCTTCCAGAGAGCTTCAGCTGATGTCACAGTGTTGTGTTTGTACCTGTGGAAGCGCTGCACCTCGTGGGCACTGCCCAGCATGTTGCTCCTTTCTTCAGCCAGCTGCTGCAGGGACCGCCAGCGATTGTTCAGCTCCTACAAATAAAGTCATCTCAATGAAGCAGCACTCTACTCTCTTCAGCGCATGCTCAGCCCTCCTGCAGATGCTTTCTTCTGATATTTGTCTTCAAATTGGTTGATTTGCAGTACGAGAACATAACATACCCTCATTTACAGAGGGAAACATTGAGTGATAAGACATTGGCAATAAACAGAATCATCAGAGAAACTTGGAGATCATGATTTAATGGAGGTGAAACTTCCGTATATCGTACTACTTTTAAATCCAGGCTGAAGACTTTTATTTTTTCAGCTGCTTTTAATTGAACTATTCATATCTTACACTGCTCTGTAACTTTGATTCATGTTTTTCATACCTGTGTTATTCTATATTAGTATATTTTTAATGAATGTCTTCAAAAGCCATTTTAGAATGTGTTTCCGCTGCACTATTTCTTAATGCTCTTAATCTTTTTAATTGTTGTAAAGCACTTTGAATTGCCTTGTGTTGAAAGGTGCTATATGAATAAACCTGCCTATGCTTCAGTATGTCTGCAATATGGTTTAGAAGTGTGTTGATGTGCCTTGTGTCTGCTGGGCAGACAGGGATGGACAAACGGGCACATGGAGGATTGGTTTGAAGCGTACATGACTGCAGTGTATTTAACATGCATACATGACGACAAAGAAAACTACAAAAAGACAGTATCTACAAAACGATGCTAAAGACATCAAACATGCCAACATTCCGTCACGACAGGCAACATGGTTGATAACAGGGTGAACACATGGCATGGGGAACAGGATGCAAACAAACACAAATGGAGTCAGTTCCAGAGAACAGGAAGAGACACATCATGTGACACTTAAAGGACACATGATGATGGGTTAGTTCACTGATCACGATGCAGGACAGGAGAGCTAAGGGAGGGAGGATTCACGATGAGGTCGGGGTGGACTAGTTCATCTTACCTTGATAGTATTAAAGTTAGCCGTTGTTTGAACAGCCACGCGTATATTCTATATTCGAAGGTAGATAAACATGGCAGAAAGAAGGGGGAAAGGAAGAGGTCAAGAGACTGATGGAAACATCGAGGTCTTTCCTCTCCAAAGAGCAACCAAGACCAATCAGGACATACCCACACACTGAATTATGAATAATCACACTGAATACACAAATATGACTGAGACATCTTGAAACATCATTTAAATTACATTAAAGGACAAAAACGTAGTAGTTCCAAGGCTTTTCGGTTGTCTCATTGATGTTTCATCATATTCCATGAGGACAAATGTCTCTGGGCATGATCTCAGTGATCCCAGACACTCCAGGGCCAAACATCAACCCAATGCTGAACACTCATGCGCAGTTACAGTATCAGATCAAGATTGACAGGCTGTCAAATCTTTGCAGTTGATGCTTTTCACCTAAAAAATACATAAAACAAGTGAATGTCTGGAGACTCATTTAACACCAAGCTTACCTTCCATGGAGATGCAGTCTTGGAATCAGCTTCATCCTGTTCAAGAAAAAGCTTGTTTTATTTCCATAGTCATGCCTTATTTTTGTATGTGATATTTAAAATGTGTGTTTACAAGCAAACCCAATGCCCGTAGCAGAGAAATGATACCAACCTTGCCGGGAGCAGAACCGAGCATCTCTTGCTGCTGCTATATATGGAAAAACATGATCTCAGTTTAATTACAGGTAAAACATAGAAGATAGCTCATGAAGTTATCTGTGGAAGCAGAACTTACCTGAGCCTGGACCATAGGGGCCTCCTCCGCCATGAGGCCCTCAGACTCCAGCTCAGATGCCACTTTGTTGATGTCCCTCAGCCGAGACTCGTTGGCCTTCAGGTCCTGGAACCAACAAAAGAGCATCATCATACATTTCTTGTGAGACAGAAGCAATCAGAAAATCTAACATAAGATGAAGACTCGTATTTTCGTCATTTGAATGACATTAGAATCCAGATGTTCATTTCATTGGAGGGGCTTAATGAATAAATACTAGTTCAGATGTTTTTACTGAGAGTCTGTAGGGAGTGACAGAGAATGTTCTAAATGGCCCTGTAGTTTTAGTTATAGTCATATAAGCTTTTGCCTCCCCCCCATGGGCGTAGGAAGCATCCTCTATGTGGGTGGGACAATTTGACTAGGGATGGGTATCGTTAAGGTTTTAACGGTACTACTACTTTTATCGATACCGCTTATCGATCCGGTGCTTTAACGGTACTCTTATCGGTTCTTTTGGAGAAAAAAATAAGGTAAACTAACTAAACAAATTGTGAACAAAACTAACATTGCTTTTTATTTAAATTAAATACATAATATTTCACATCAAAAGAAACAACAATGTTTTAACAAATCGTATTAAATAATCTGATGACAGAACTGTAAACGGAATAGCTGAAACTTTAACAAAATAAATAACTCAGTTACCTCTAATCATTAACCCATGTTTGTGTCATTGAGTTAGCTCCGTGTGTTGCTGCTAGCATACAATAACACCTGACGTGGAAACGTTACTCGTGGATGGGGCTACAGAGCTACCAGAAAGACAGTCGAACCCGGTGCATTTCTCCGTCTGAATGTGGTGCACTTTTGCTAGATGTTTAGACAAATTGCTCGTGTTCCCGCCCTTACATGCTAAACTCTTATTGCACTTTAGGCAACGAGCATTGTCCACCTCGAGACGGGTAACGTTTAACCACACCTCGGAGAGCGTTCTCTCCGCCACCTCCTCCGCCGTGTGTGTGTTGCTGCATGTAGCAGCTGCGTGTGTGTAAACTGCCCCGCCCCCTCGCACACAGGAGAGAGATCTCTCGTCTGGATTGGAGAGATCGAAAATACTAAAAATAATCAGACGCATTTTGCAGTCTTTTTGCATATTAGAAACGGAGTTGGCGAAACTAAAACTGCAATATAATGTTTATGTAGCAATATGATATGACATATTTTTTACATGTCTCCAGTAGCGATAAAAAGATCGATAACGTCGGAGCTTAACGGTACCACGGTCTTTAATAATTCAGCCCCGGGGCCCCTTTGATACCGGGGCTCGGTACCCATCCCTACATTTGACATGGGGTGTGGGCAGGTGGTGGACCTCACCTCCTCTAGAGGGGTCCGGGGCATGCTCCCATGTGAAACAGAACTGTAAACAGATTTACTTTTTCTTTATGCATATTTTACAAATCACTCCCCTTTTAACCTGTATCTTTGTGTTCCTGTCCTATAGTATGAGTTGGATTAACCTTAATCAAAGGTTAGCAGACATTACCTTCTGGAAGTCGTCAAACTTCTTCTGCAGGACCTCCACCTGCTCCAGGTCAGAGCCCATCTCCTCGTTAGTGAGGGCGCTCTCCTTCTCGTTGATCCACTGCTGCAGCTCGTTGGCCTCGCGGAACAACATGAACTTCTTGCAGCTCTTCTCCAGCATGTCCTTGCGTTTCTCTCCCAGCTCCAACAGAGTACCATACCTTCAAAAGTTGCAACCACAGATCAAAATCATTTATGTGTCTTGAAAAACGTATCATCCCTTTTGTACTGTGGCTTTTAAACGATGTTCCTATTTATTTGGAATGCTGTATTGTCTATGACTTGGGCAATGATCACTATTGATCTCTATTTCTCTAGTGGTTTTCCATAACTCACTCACTGTAGTACTGAAACCACCAGTCAATTCATTTCTCTTTGGTAGTTCATTGGTAAAGATGCTGCTTCCAGCTCTTCTTCTCATGTGGGGATTTTCTTGTTGCTTCTAATAGGACATCTTTGGACTGTTGCTGACACAAGCATGTTGAAGAGGTTGGGTTCTGGTTGGGCGCTTCTCTGACATGTTCAAAAATGCTTAATTGATAATGAAAACACATTTTGCTTGCAGCTTTAAATTCCTGTCACTAAATCAAGACATACAAATAAGATTACAAGTAGTAGATACGAGCACCATGAAAAACAAGCTGTGGTTTTCACAATGTATTAGTGAGGCTACTAAACGGTGTCCATATGCGCTCAGCAGGTAATTAACTGATTGCTTTGCTACGATGTATCAAAAGTGCCAAATTTGCCGTGTCAGGTCAAAAGAACCCTTCAGAGATTTCACAAGTTAGGAAAACATCCTAAAGAAAAGACAGGCACGTTGAACTTTATTTTATATTCACCAGTTAGACATGTCTTTCCCAATAGATTAAGCATGTAGTTTGAGTTTAAAGATCATAATAACCCGAGAGGTTTTGTTTTATTCTATTATGGACTGGGTCTGTCACTTTTATGATGTACTCTTCATCTTTATTTATCAATCTATAAATGATGTTCTACTCCATGTAATCACTTTTGTGACCGCAAATGATTTGAAGCAAGTGTCAATAAAAACTTGGAGCAGCTAGACTTGAATGAAGGATCTTGGAGCCACTAGGATCAGCAGGCTTTCTGACTAGCATTATGAGCTATACCATAATGAATCAAAGCCAGATAAGAGCACAACAGAACAGCGTATGACATGAAAGAAAATGAAACATTAACATCCATAGACAAGCCTGGGATGAGAAGGATGGTCACGTTTTGCATGAAAGGTTCTTCTATCCCTGCACTGAATAGAAGAGGAGCGTGGAGTACACACATTGTCACAACAGGAGGGTTTCTGGGTTGGGGGGGGATGTAAAGCTGCAATGGTATTTAGCGGTATCACGATCACAAGAACACGCAGAGGGACGCGGGTTCCTACTCACAGCTCTTCCACCTGCTTCATGCGCACAGACACGCTGCAGGCCTCCTTGGTCACAAGCCTGCTCAGAGGCAAGGCCAGTGCACACCACATTATTAAGGTGTTAAACAAAGCGAGAAGACAGCAGAGGAGACAAGAGAGAGAGGCCAGGGGCAAGGTCATTAGTGTTAGAAAACTGAGCAGAACATACGAGTGTAAAGAAAGGTTAAAGGGCAGAGAAAAGCCTGAACACTTAAGAGGAATAATTAACAAATCCAGAAGACACGTAGCATTTAGTTAGTGCACTACACTCTGCTGTGAAGAGGATGTGCTCTCTTACTGATTGTCTGTCTGGTCTTGGCGCAGTGCGATGCTGCCGTGTTCATCCAGCAGGTTTTCCCTTGAAGAGGACTGGGTGGGGTCCAGCTTCTTCACATAGGCAGCAGGAACAAAGCCCTGGCGATCGTTCACCTCCACCTTCCACCAATCCTGCAACAGCAAATGATGAGATGTTTTCTGATCAGAATAAACACTTTGCAAATGTTTGCTGCATTCTAATGTATGAGGCAGTCCAGCATATTGACCGAGTGGATTTACTTGCATGGGTTTTGCATTTTTTTATGTTCTATTCACTTCACATGGTTGAATGCACTTATGAAGGTCTCTGGATGAAATGATCCGCTGATGATTGTAATATAGGTGTACATGGGGGTGGGGTCGTGAAGTTCAGGGATTGTACTGGACAGGTAACCAAATACACAAGACCACCAGCACTAGTGTGAGGAAGTCTCCATGTTCAGTCTAATTGAATCCACATTCAGTCAAACATGTTAGTTGAAAATAATTCATATTTTAGTTTAATCTCTTAACCTTTAAATGGTTTCTGTATTTTATGGGATATAGTCATTTGACATGCTGTGTCCATTTGTAAAATGTGTGTAATAAGCGTGTATTATTGTTGTTACATGGGTGTAATCTGGGTCTAAAAACAGTTTATTAATAGTTTTATATATGATTGCCTATTTAAGGGTTGAATGGCTTTTTGCTGAATGTTTGAAAATGGATGATTTATTCATCACTAATGATTAAATAAGTGACTTAAAATGTTAATCTTTAATATGAATGTTTCTAAACACTGAATGACTAAAATGGAATTGTTTTAAGTTGGTCCTGTTATTGTAGCCTGAGGAGCGGCGCCTGGTCAGATAGTTTGAGGTGTACCTTGTTGGTGCTGTTGAGCAGGGTGAGGATGTCCCCCTTCTTCATGGTGACTTCACGGGGGCTCTTCTCCTGGTAGTCGTACAGGGCCAGCACCAGCTCCTTCCCGGTCTCATCATCAGTTGGGGCCACTTGTTGCTGTTCAGTGAAACAAACATTTAGAGTCACTGATGATCTCTGTTTAAAACTGAGGAAGTCTTATCATCTGAGAATTTCCAAAGGGTCTAGCGATCAGAGGCTTTCTGGCAGAGGACTCACAGTTCCATCGCTTCTTAAGTTTCTCCTTTTCTACAACCCAGAACAATTTGCAAATAGCTACTTTGCACAATTGTAATGCGTATGTAATACCATTTTTTTTTTAAATGTTTCTGTTTATTTCTGTTGCCTAGGGAAATTGTATATTGTATTCATTCTTTTTTTTATTGTGTATTATTAAGATACTCTAGTGATGTATGTCTTTTCTATTGTAATGTTGTATATATTTGCTATTCATTTTTATTTTTGAATTTTGTTATATATATATATAATCTTTTGAATATTTGTAATTCATTTTTAATGCTTGAAAACACGACTCCTGTGACATAAAAATGCCATAATTTGGGATGAATAAAGTATCCATCCATCTTCATTGCACGTTCAAAAACTCTCGTATGAAACTGAGCATGTGCAGGGTTGAGGTGTAGAAGGGGTCTCACCCTGCAGGACTGGGCCTGCTCCTTCAGAGCATGAATGCTGCTGCCGTAAGCACTCAGGTCCGACATCAGGGCCTCGTGCTTCTTCAGCAGCGCCTGTGGAACACAAACTATTTAGCACATCTGCATTTGTCTCAATGGATATAAAGGTAGGGAGACGAAAGGATCAACATATGATAAACGTTATACTTAAATAGTAGTTGAAAATGTGATATTGATACACTGATATTTTGTTTAAACCCCTGGTTTCAGGTACCTCAGCAGAGTCCTCGTCTTTGCCGTAGTCTGGGCTCCCCACGATGGGCTCCTTCTCCCTCATCCAGGACTCAGCCTCGTTGGCATCAGCAAAGTACTGCTGGGCCTGCAGAGAGTCCTCCAGGTCCTGTCTCCTCTGGGAAGCCTTGGCCTTCAGCGTGTCCCAGCGTCCATGCAGCTCACCCAGCTTCACCTTCACCTCCTCCCCGGCAAAGTGTCCTGGATCCCCCCCACACATGAGTGATTAGCATTTTGAATGGTAGCACAATACTTTACTAGCTTAAGTCACATTTAACTGATAGAAGACATCACACCAAGCTTGGCTTTAAATTGTTACCTTCCTCCACCATGGCCTCTCCTTTCTGGGAGACAGCCTTAATGCGAGGCTCATGGCCGCTGATCTCTGCCTGCAGGGCCTGGTGCTTCTTCAGCAGGTTCTGGACACCAATCAGGTCTTTGCCTGAGGAAAACACAGAGGGACACTTTTTCTAAACTGACCGTTTAAAAAGGGGGACCTTTTATTTTGTAGTACTTGCAAATGTTTGGGACGTCATGATTCAAATCCAAAAATGTTGGAATGTAACATACTAAGGCTATAGGATTCATTTCATTTATTTATGAAAAATGTAATTACACACGGAAAATTGAATAAAAACACAGCTTCCATTGTAACACAATAAAAAAACATTTTAATAAAATAAATGCAATAACAATAACACCAGGGAAAAAAGCTCTAGCCAAAAAAAAGAGCCACTTATGGCGCATTTCCACTGCAGCGCGTAGCACGGTTTAAGCGTGCCGTGCCAAACCCGGACCGTTTCTTGTTGCGTTTCCACTAGGGGTAGTTCCGGCTAACGGGTACTGTTTCACAGTTTTCTGGCTCTCCAAAATCCAGGTTCTTTCCGGGCCAACAACCGGGCTGAGTATGCTAAACTAGAGAGAGAATCGCTGGCAAGGGGGCTACAACTACAACAAGATGAACATATTTGACCGTGATTTAATTGTAATACACGTTTCAAAATGATGCCGAAGTAACAACATACTGATACCGGTTAGTAAAAACCATGAATTAATGCTTTGTCAAGTCTGCAGACAGACGGCAGGCGAAAAACCTTTTAAAATGCGTGTTTTCTAAATGGAGATTGGCTAAGCTAACGCAGTGTATGCTCCGACCGTCCACACTCACAACAACGGCCTACAGACATAAATAAAGCAGCGACTGTATTCACCATGACACAGGCAGTCTGTGGTGTGTACTTATTTAACTTTTGTCTAGTTTCTGAACAGATATGAGGAGCTGTGAGGTCTGAGTGCTAACAGCTAACAGCTGTGTTGTGTTTCTGGGGTGCTCATTGAAGATGACGTCACGGCTCCGCCTACACTGCGTTACTATAGTTACTACCCCAGTTCCTAAACTGTAATGGAAAGGCAGCATAAAGTGAACCTGGCCTAGCAAGGCCTAACTACACCGTACTAAGCCGTGCTAGGTCCTGCAGTGGAAATGGAGGGGCAGTGAGCTGTGCTGTAAAGCTCTAAAGTGAGCTGTCTTTTAGCTGCAAGTTGTCACAGACAGAATCACTGATCTACTTATGATTCTGGTGATGGAAATAACATGTTCATTTAACTTCGATTGTAATCAAAATGAGGACACAGACGCAAACAAAGAGAATAAAAAAGGCCTCAAAACCCATCTGTTCAATAGAGCCTTTTCCTAGACCTTTTATTTGATTTATTACTACCATTTTATTTATTTTTGTATTGTTTGTTTTTACTGCTTTTTATAAAATTCTACCGTGTTGTGTACTGTTTTATATTGTTCCATGCTCACTGCTTGTAGCACTTTGGGATTTGAACTCAAATATGAAGTGCGTTATAAATGAAACCCATTATTATTATGACATGAAACCCATGAATATGTCTCACCTCTGTTAGTAGAGGCAGCAATGGGCTCTTTCTCACGGATCCAAGTCTCCTCATCCTCCACATCTCTGAACAGCTGCTGCAGCCGCAGAGAGTCGGACAGCTTCTGCTTGCGTGCAGCCATGGGCTCGCGCAGACCTTCATACCGCGACACTAAAGCCTCCTGTTTCTTGCGGATGTTGTCTGCATCAAAGTGTCCAGCTTCTTGGAACTGGCGAGCCTGGATAGTTATGCCATCAATGCGATCCTGAGGGATAATAATTCATACATTTGCCATTCAATCACTGTGTACCAACAAAGGATGAAAAAGCATCATTGGTGTCATGTATGCCTCCGTGATGAATGTCTTGGGTACCTGGTGGGCTGCCACGTCGGCCTCCAGCAGTGCATGCTTCTTCTGCAGGTTCTGGACACTGGTCAGGTCTTTCCCGTAATCGTCTGAAGCTAGGTGTCCCTCAACCTCATACAGCCACAGCTCGATGTCCTCCACGTTTCTGTTGAACTGCTGCTGCTGGTTGGCCTCACGGAGCTTGATACCTTAAGTACCATAAGAAATCATATTGAAGAAATGAAATGAACATTCACAATAACGACAATAAGGTACTGTAAGATTCTATTCTTGATCCATTGCTAGTTACATTATACATTACTACAGAAATGCCCAATCAGTGCAACTGTACTATGTTTTTTATGCAGATGATACCATTTTATGTCCACTCTGACCATCCTCTCCTTAGTCTTCCATTCAATATTCATATTTATATCAAAGAATAGAAAAGAAACAGTCCATGTATATTAACGGTTAACCAAGTTAATAGGCTTTCCTCTAGCCAGTACCTTTGAGCTCGGTGGCCTCCAGAAGTTTCTTCCACTGGGAGCCGACCTCCTCCATGCGGTCGGCCACCTCAGTGGAGGCGTAATGCTTTCCGTCAAGCAGCTCCTGGCCAGACTTCTGCAGGGCATCGATGCGGCTCTGATTGGCTGAAAGCTCAGCTTCAAAAGCCTGGTGTTTCTGCACCTTGCCCTGAAGGTTGGAGGGGTCCTGTTGTCAAGAGAGCAGAAGCACAGATGTAGGGAAACGGTAAGGCAGGAAACAGTGTAAAAAACATTTTAAAATGTAAGAAACCTCTCTGCACTACTCTTTGATGAAATACCTTGTAAGCCTCATCTGTGGCGGTCTTCATCTTCTCGTTGATCCAGCTCTTGAGCTCATCAGAGTCCCTGAAGAACTGCTGCAGGTGGAAGGAGTCCTCCAGAGCAGCACGGCGAGACTGAGCGCGTTCATGCAAGGCGTTGCGGCGGCTGAGCAGCTATACATGTGGAAAGGAAGAGAAGACGTGTTGCTTTGAGTTCACATTGAGAAAATGAGATGACAATGCCGGCTGCGTTCAGTTGTTTGAGGGGGTTTGTTCATTTGAGCTAGAGGAAGTAGATGAAGCTTCAGTGGTACTTACAGCATCTCTGCGAGTAGCAACGTCCTCTTTGGCATAGTGGTTGTTCTGGATCAGTTTGGTAGCAAACTCATCCAGGGCCTGGAGATGTACAAGACAAAGATATTTAAAGTGTATTATATTTCATAAAAGCTAGAACTGCAGAGAAAACTGTGTAAAATATGTTGTTGATTCTACAAATTCCATGTAGAAGTAATGATATTCTTGCTGAAAGACTGGAAACTGGAAGGTGAATTGTGTGATTGGACAAACTGGATTCACTTACGGTGATCTTTTCTTCCTGGGCACTGAGTGACTTCTCAAAGTCCTCATGTTTCTTCAGCAGGGCCTCTACACTGTCCAGGGAGTCCCCCAGGTCTTCATTGAGGAGGAAAGCCTACACAATACACATACATCATTAATAAGTAGCACTCCACAGCAACTAGGAAATACACACAGGTGAAATTCTTTCTTGAAAAAGGGTTTTGGTTTCAGTCGGTGTGTCCGGGTACCTCTTGTTTGCTCATCCAGTTGTCAACTTGCTCAGTGTCCCTGTAGAAGAGCTGCAGGTCCATGCACTGCTCATACTGCTGCCTGCGGACCTCCCACAGCTCCAGCAGGGACTCCTTCTCCGAGGAAAGGATGCCCAGCTGCGCAAAACACACCATAGTTAAGTGCCGGTATAGATAGTAATAATAGCACACAAAAGAAGGACATTTAAATCATAATAATTGTACCTTTTCCTTGACCTCCTCAGAGGCATAGTGTCCTGTATCGAGTAATGCTTGGCCAGCTTCATCCGTGGATCTGAAACTGTCTTCATGGGCATCGATCTCTCCCTGGTAGACGCAAAAGAGACATGAACAAAATGAAAATAATGTTGCATGGTGTTTTGTTTTCAGCTTTAAAAAGGATAAAGCTTGAACTGTGATAGAATGCCGAGATGAGAGGTGTATTCTCAGAAATGTTACCTTATGCTCCTGGTGGCGGTCGAGCAGAGCCTCAGCTCCAGCCACGTCATTGGCCAGTTCGTCAGCATTGATCAGAGCTTTCATCTCCGTCACCCAGCTGGTCAGATCCCTGAAGTCAGCAGTGAAGCGCTGCAGCCTGATGAGAGAAGGTCACAGAGGGTGAGCGGATATGCAGAGAAATGTTGAACAGGGCTGCACTCTGTATACTGATTAAGTCTCTGCCTATGTACAAAGAAGCAGTTTTTGTTTTATGATCAAAATACAGCATATGCAGCAAATGTGGTGTATGTCATAACAGCGCTGTGTGTGAGCAGACAGTGCTGGGTGGTGTGTTACCGGTAGGAGTCGTTGAGGCGGGTGTGGCGCTCCGCGGCCAGAGTGCGGATCTGTTCCCAGTTGGTGATGAGTTCGTCCTTCTTCAAGTGGATCTGGGAGGCGTTGTGGGGATGTGTCTGCTGCAGGCGCTCTGCATCTCCACCCAGAGTGTTGACCTGATGAAGGAGAAGACAAAGGGGAGATGTTTGGACTAGGTTTATCACTTCATGGCTGTGCTGTATGTATGTTGCCATTGGTAAAGCATCGTCCTGCCTTATCCTCCAGAGCAGCCAGGTCTCTCTCCAGACCCTCGTGTTTGCGAAGCAGAGCCTGCACACTGGCCAGGTCACGACCAAAGTCATCAGAGGCCATCAGCTGCTCCTTCTCCTTGATCCAGCTGATGGTCTCATCCACATCCCTGTTGTTGGGATACAATACACAGGTTAGTGTAAAAAACATACCATGTAACAGACTGTGAACATCACCAAAGATAGTAAGGGCCCGTGTGCATATGCGTCTTTTTCCGAGTCGGAAACAGCCACCTCCAGAAAAAAAGGCAGCTCCCAGCTGTTTTTTTCTATGTGCTCCGTCTTTTTTGTGCAGCCGCTACGAATAAAACATAATACATTTTTTTGAAAAGCACCGGTGACTTCTCTGTAAAAATAACATAAAAAGCTTGTGTTTGGCCACGTAAAGAAAACCATCGTAACAAACACCGAAAAGGCTGTTTTTAGATGATTTCTGCCGGGAGGACATCTCATGTTGTTGCCGGTGAGTGTTTGACTTTTATTGTCCTCCTCCCTCGCTATATGGCTGTCAGACTGAGCGGTGACAAGCTCATTCATACAAAATGTGAGAGCAAGTGGAGCTCATAGTACAATCAAATGTATAGTAGCACAAACATATAATGAATCCATGCTAGTTTGTCGGACTACGTCGGTGAGTAAGTTGTTAACATATCGTTTTCATAGAAATAGTGAAAGAGCGCTGAGAAGGTTTTTTTTATGAAAAGCTGGGAGCGGGCGTTCCCCAGCGCCGTGCCAGCGCCTTTCTGCCAGAAAAAGGTGTTATATGGACACGGGCCCTAAGTGTCCATATTGGATCAGACCCATATTGCTCACCTGTTGAAGCGCTGCACCTCAGCCGCCCCGAACAGCCGGCCCTGCCTCTGCTGGGCCAGGCCCTTCAGGCGCTGCCAGGCGGCGTTCACCTCGTCCTGCTTGCGGACAATGAGCTCCGCCTCAGGGTGGGCCTCCTGTATCAGCTTGGCTGCCAGTTGGTTCACCTCGTTAACACGCTCCTCGTGCGCAGCCAGGTCGGTCTGAAACTCCTCAAACTTCTTCTGCAAGAGTTCCACATGCTCCAGGTCCTGGCCCAGCTCCTCCGAGGTGGCCATGGTCTCCTACAGGTGGAAGAGGAAGAGCTTTCTTTTAATAGATGTAATCAAGTTTTACAAATAAATATCATTAAAAAGGTTCTTAGCATTCAGGCCTTATGTTTCAGTTAAAGAAATACCATACATGTTAGGACTTTCAGCAGCAACCCTGTTATTAATCATTACATATTATTTACAAGGAAAGTAAAGGTTGTTAAAGCCCTAAATGGGCTGGCTCCGGCCTATATAGCTGAACTGCTCCAGCGCTACACCCCAGCCAGAGCTTTAAGGTCTGCTGACCAGCTGCTGCTGGTAGTGCCCAAGACCAGGCTAAAAACCCGAGGGCACCGAGCCTTCGCAGCAGCTGGCCCCAGGCTCTGGAACACTTTGCCCCTCCATGTGAGGTCGGCCCAGACCCTAGGGGTTTTTAAATCCACATTAAAAACACACTTCTTCTCTCTGGCCTTCTAATTAGAGCGGAGCATGACTCCTGACTTCTCCGTGTGTTTTATATCTGTTATAGTTATATCTGTTGTAATTTATTGTCGTTTATTGTGTTTTGTAGTAATGTGTTTTTTATTACATGTACAGCACTTTGGCTCGACCAAAAATCGCTTTTAAATGTGCTTTATAAATAAAACCTGATTTGATTTGATTTGATTTGTTTCAAATGCGAAAGGTGCCACATAGCTAACATTTCTGACTAAATGTAAAAGGCCTTCACTGGATGATCTCCTCGTCATTGCTCTTGCATTCAAAAGATGTTAGCAAACTTTTCTTTACTATTCAATGGTAATTCAAAAGTTCCCTCTTGTTACCATATAAAACTGTTTTTCACTAAACAGGAAAATGAGGTGGTACCATTATTCTCAGAGAATCCTTTTAGCTTTCAACTCATAATACCAACCCCCTACCATGTTTCATTGAAGTGGCTAAAGAGCAAATACAAGAACAGTGTTTCTGAGCTGAGAAAAGGTTGCTTGGTCTACTTAACAAAATATTGTAATTTTTGTTAGTTTGACTGTTAAAACTTAAACGTGCTGGATTGACCCTCACTGTGTAGATGTACACCCCTTTTACCATTCATGAAAATGTACATTAAATGAGGATAATGAAAAGGGGAGGTTTTCAATTCATACGGCTCCCTTATTTTCAAACCTTTATTACATCCTGTAACTGAAAGTCTATTTCATTGTAACTGGTGAAATTGTCTAAACTATCTTCTAAATAAAGAATTGCTAAAAAATTGCTGTTTATTTTATTCCACGAGAAAGCTAGAGAAGAATACTGAAAGACTTGAATTGAAAATGTGTAAGAATGCCCCTAAACAAGGAAATATATGAAAGATTTGAACATTCTAGTAGTGGTGAAAAAAGATTTCCATTGACAATCTGACCTTGTCACTGATCCAGTCCAGGGCATCCTCACACTCACGCAGGTACTGGACCAGCTTCTGGGCCTGCAGGAGGCGCGTGCCCTTCTCCTTGGTCCTCATCAGCAGGAGGTCCCAGAGGCGATGCAGCTCCTCCAGACGAGTCTAGTGACCAGGAGGGAAGGGAAGAGGTTTTCAAAAAGTATTTGCAAAGGGGAAATATGAAATATGAAAATAAGTAGAAAGGGTTAAGGATAGATTTCCATTTATATTCCCTAAAAAATAATAAAGAGTCCTGGAGTAACGTATTTACATTAGATAAGGACATCTGTTTAAAATTACCCACTGACTCCAAAAGCACCAATATGAAACACAGTACATGCAATACAATGTAAATGTCCATTTCCTAACAACAGAGGACAGGAAGGGAAAGCTTTCAGCCAAGAGCTGGAACTGGAAGAGTTTTTACAGCACTCAAGAGTCACGCCGGGTCCACACAGCTCAACACCTACTTGTATATACTCTCCCATAACCACACTTGTAACTATGGGCCTCTGTTGTGTCCGGTAAGGCGTGTAGGACTAAATCAGATGGAGCAGGTTACAGTGGGCAGCATGTTCAGAAAACATGCATGAGCTTTAGGCTAGCCGACGCAGCCGGTGTTATTGTTGTTCCTGTAAACACTGATTACAATGCTTTTCTTCAACTCTTTTGCCTTCTTAAGAATTTGAACCATTAAATGGCCTCTCTGCGCTGCCAAAATGGCGCCGGCAGGGAAGGCTTGACCGAGTGGTTGGCCAGACACAGCTATTCAACAACAAAGATTTAAGTAAGTGCTGCACACGGTGTCATATACAACCGTGTAATCTGTAACACCAGTGTTTTCACATGAACCGGTTAGAAAATGCCATCATCATCTACCACTGATAGAGTAGTGTATAGAGTAACAATTTTGTCGATGCTGATGTTTTACAGTTTTTTTATTTTTTTATTTATTCCACTTTTGTGCCAGGGAATAAAACCGAAAGGTTTTATGAAAAACAATGGAAAGTTTTTTCTGGCTTACATAATTATTCTATATTTGAATTAGCACAAAATCCTAGCAAATATTTGTTACAAAATCCCTTTACTTTGCTGTACTGTTACCTAGTAATTGAGGAGATTTGAAGTTCCAACAGACAGTGGTTGATTTTGATTACAGTACGTTAGATAGCATTTAGCTGAGGCTTTTATCCAAAGCAACTTACAATAAGGTCAATAAACCATTAAGATTCAAACTAAGGACAACAAGAACAGTGCTGACATATTTACTTCAAACAAGCAATATCATTGTTAGTGCTGCTGCATAAGTGAAACTCTTCCTTTTTTAACAGTTTCACTTATGCAGTCATTTTTTTATCATATTAAATATAAATGTAATAGCATCACATTTCCATCCAGTTCAAATGTTTAGTTTATGCATTTATTTATGCATTTATAAAAACATGTTCAATTAAGATGAACAGAGACTGCTCGCTCACTTTTCATGTCAACATAAAAACGTAGATATAGCTACAGTCTATGGTCAACACTGGGAGCAGATGATAGATGATGTTCCCGCTGCAGTGACACAGAGGACAATATCAAACACTGCTGCGATTAGGCACAAACCGTTAAATATGCACTACTAGATTTAAAAGTTAGTGTTTGAGTGTTTGCCTCGGACAGACTGCTTCTCTGTGCCATGTTCATGTTGTTTTGACACTCAGCTGACACTAGAGTGAACACGTGTTGGTCAGTGTGTGCCTTACTCGGATGGTCTCAGAGGAGAAGTGGCCCTCTGTGATCATCAGGTTCCCAGTGTCGTCCAGTTTGATGATGGCCCCCGCGTTGGCCTGGACTTCAGCCTCAAAGGCCTGATGTTTCTGCAGCTTACCCTGTGAAACAGAAAATACATTTAGATATGAAACACAAAGGCTAACCTTTACTGTGATCTAAGTATTCTGGGACAGATCCAACGGCAAGTAAACATCTACGGTTTAGAAAGTGTCTACAGAGGAAGCAGTGGGCTCACCTGCAGGTTGGAGGGGTCCTTGTAGTTCTCATCAGAGGCAATCTGCAGCTTCTCTTGGATCCACTTCTCCAGCTCATCGGCGTCGCGCCGGAAGAACTGGAAGCGGTAAGAGTCCTCCAGCTTGGTGCGCCGCATGATGGACAGCTCTTTGAAGCGGCGGTAGCGGTCCAGCACCTGCTGCCGGCGCTCCTGGATGTCCTCGGCTGTCTCCAGCACTTTGGCCCCTGCGGTGTCCATTTTCTGGAAACACAACATAAAAGCACTCATTAATTAGTCATACAAAAAAACATGTAAAGTATAAAGGTATAAGCTGCACATTAGTCTTGCAACATTCTCTTGCACTATTTGATTTCTACCCTTTTTCTTTTTGGCCCTCTTTTGATTGTTTTTTTATTTCCTTTATTGTGTTATGTCTTATATAGATTTAAAATTCTCAGGCCATTATATGGAAAACACTGCATTTTTTGTTTTACTTAGTAATATGGCACTCCTTTGTGGTGCTAAATTGAAAAAAGTGAATGCATTATTTATGATATAAATGTCTAAGAAATGTGGGCTTTCCTTGAAGAAACTCAATTCTCATTTGTACCAGTTTTACAGTTACAGTTCACACTTGTTTTTAAATATCATACCATCATAGATGCTACCCAGCTGCAGACAATCTTGCACAATAACGCTCATTAAACCCTCTATGACAAAAATCAATATACAATGGGACAGGAACTTGGCTTGGAAATATACGGCAGGATATAAAGACTATTTGCCAAAACAAAAATCCCTCATCCTGTCTCAAGCTGAGCGACCAAACAGCACAAACAGTCAAATGTCAAAGGGGGACGGGGTGGAATTCCACATGCATGCGGACAGTTTCTAGGCTACACTACACAATGGGATTGCTGCAGTCAGCTTCTCTGTCCACTGTGCCTGTGGCCCCATGGTCAGAAGGACTGTGGCTCATTTTAGCTTGCAACCTTGTTAAAACATGACAAATGAGATTTAACACAGGCATTCAAACCAGCTTCATTTCCTAGAATGGTGGAATTCATTATTTGTTTCTGTGCCAGACCGCACCCTCCAAAAGACGGACACAAAGAGGAAGCTAGAGAGATATTGATCTGTCTATCCAAACCAAGGTCAACCGGACCAGAGAACAATAGTTGATGTCCAAGCTGAGTGCAGGGCGGAGGGGGGTGGGGGATGGTGTGGGCACTATGGCAGGCCTAAACGTAAATGAACGTGGGTTTTTGTCGATGTTGCAGATTAGACAAAAAGCAAAGGATGGATGATAGTGTCCTCGTCCATGTTTACACTCAATGGGACGATTAGTGCCGTCAGCAGTGCAGTTGCTTTTTTAACTGGAGGCACCATTAGCTTCCCGACAAGAGGGCCTGCACACACAAAAAGACACAACATAGCACCACTGAATACACTGTAAGCCGATTAGTGGCATCAACCCGCTGCCCGAAAAACTGACAGTCCAGCACCCCTCCCCCAACTCCTGACTTGCCCCAGTTCACAGAGAGCTTAAATGTTCAGAGTGATTTAACTGACCTCAACCTTATTCTGCAACGTGATGTCACCTAAAGGCCGCTACACACCCACCTGAGACCAAAGAACGCGTACCGAAGGCGTCCCGACTTTTACGTAAGCTACGTCGCCTGCGTCGGCTATGCCGCCCGCCTACGAACACACCGCAAATACTTCAGTCGACGAGTGGCAATAACTGTCCTTACCAGCAGGCAGCGGTAGTGTGAACAGCCAATCAGAGTGATTGCTTGGGCCGACTTTCTCTGACCTCCCGCGGCCGATTCAACATGTTGAATCGGCCGCGGGAGGTGTGAAAAGGTGCCGTAAAGAGACGACGGTGCGGGACACACCAACCTGAGTAGGGCGCCGCGAATGCCCGACTGCCTCTGACGGCCTCTGACTCCCAAAATCGGGTTGGTGTGTAGCCAGCTTAAAGGGGACACACAAATGTAACTGACCACCTCCAACTTAAACATCAAAAGGTTTCGCATCCTTGTATGATTTCACCGGTGTGATCTCTCCCACCTTCTAACTCCTGCAAAATGACCCATTTGATGTTTACTACCTAGTTGAAACAAGAAGCATATAAGTAGAAAAGGTAACAACAGACAAAACTCTTAAAAACAAAGGAAGAAGACATTGGCCTGACTGACACAATCAGCAAAAAGACAAGAATATTAAGCAAGTTCCATAAAGGTGAGACACAGACTGGAACAGAGCTAGCTGACTTCCAACGCGTGTTAGGCCGGATACAACTTGATTCAGAAATGGGTGTCCACCTTAACTGTGATGAAACAGACAGCTTTATTTTCTGGCAATCCAGATAAAAGCTTTCAAAATTGAAATTGGTTTGCAGTTTTCAGCAAATGTATTTTTGCCTTTCATCACAGGAAAGGTTTTACTGAGCAAAGAGAAGTGAAGACAGAACTATGCTTCACAATCTCTACTAGAACTCCCCAGTTCTATTTGAACACTTACTTATATTATCAGATAAACAAATGATTATGCTTTACTTTTAAAATAATTTAAAGCTGAAATAAATCTGTTACAATTAACTTTCCAGAGAAACATATTTGTCTCATCTGCATGGTAGAGTGTTGTTGTACGGTGACTGACGCACCTAACATGGTTTGGTTTTTCATGTTCTGCCATTTATTTGTTATGTGTGTTTAAATGATGATTCTGTTGTAACTGCCTAGAAGGTCCTTTCAAACCAGAACTTACACAAACAGTGTAGCATTAACAGAAGTTATTGAGAAGTGACTCTCACATTACAACATTTTAGACAAATATAAATGAAGTTCAATTAAGTCAGATAGTAATCGAAATTAACTTTAATGACCTAAATTAAAATATTAAAAATATTCTAGCATGAGAACTGGGCTGCGCACCGCTCTCTGACAGCTCTATAAAGAGCGCTGTAACTGCTGATAACGCCTCCTCACATGTTGCATGAATAGATAACAGCTTTCCCCCTTCACCTCACTGCTCCACTGCGGGGGTTTCTACTCTCTTGAGAAAACACCCACACACACCCACACACACCATCATATCAATATCAGCCAGCAGTCCTGATGGTTTCTATCCCATTAATGGAGGTAGTAGTCATATTAAGCTACTTCCCTTTCTCCAATCTCTTATAAATAAAACATATGGCATATTTAGAATGTAAAAGGCCCGGACACACCAAGCTGACACCAAAGAACTGACACAGACGGACCCCCGTCTGTTGTGTCGCCTCGCGTCTCTGCGTCTTGGCCATGCGTCACACACCGCAAAGACTTCAGCCGACGGCCAAGTAGCACGTACGAACAGCGCATGCGTGAGTGGCAATAACTCTCCTTACCAGCAGGCGGCGGTAGTGTGTATTCGTCATTCAAAAGAGGCAACAACCGGAAGACAGACTGTGGGTGTTTCTCAATCGCGAGTACGCTTGCTTGGTAGCACATGTCTGCCGAGCATCTTGCTTCAGAAGCGAGTCAAGAATACTTCCTGACATTTGGAAAACAAAGAGTGGAACAGGCTAGCAAGTGTGCAGGTGTGCGTCATATGAGAGGCCCCGCCTTACATCTTCCGCCACAGATTTGGGGAAATTGGTCCGTGCGCAAAGCATTGTGGGGATTTTAAGACCGCAGAGTCTACTCATGTGCAGCCTCGATATTTCTCCAAACGGAGTACGCCGGGCTCGGTAGATTTCCAAGTATGCTGGACATTGGAACAGTACTTCGGCGGCACTCGATGACGTAGTATGCTTGAAATAGTGGCTCTGAAGCAGCTTTACTCGCGATTGAGAAACACCCTTTGTGATACACAGAGAGAAGAAGAACAGACTGCGTGATATAAACAAACAACAAATAGCGCGTGTGTTCCATTTTCACTCTACAGCGAGAAGCTCATGGGGCTTTCCCGAACCTGTGTCGAGAGCTGGAGTTAAATGAAATCTCAGATTTGCCTTCTTAATAGTTTGTTTGGGTCCCTCACTTCCGTTTCACTTCTCATGCACTGATTCGCTAGCTGAACAGCCAATCAGAGTGATTTCTTTTGCCGACAGCCTTTGGCCGACTGCCCACTGATTCAACATGTTGTGTCGGCACGGCTGAAAAGACAAGACACACCAATCTGAGTAGGGCGTGTCGACGCTCATCGTCGGCCAAAATCGGCTTGGTGTGTCCGGGCCTTAAAGCTGGGTTGTAACTTGGAACTTTCCCAGCAAAGCAGCATGTGACTTTCATCACCACCCTGACAAAGTCCAATTTTAAAAAGGCAGCCAGCGCAAAATGATTGCAGCTTCAACCACCTCTCTGTTAGGGAATTCATATGAGGGGGAAAAAGCAGAACTTTAAGGAAAGAATATCCTATGTTGTATACGAATCTATATTAGTACTCCTTGAACTCACTTGGTAACCAGAGCTGTAGCTGAAACAATAACGTAAGGAATTCGAGCAACTGGATATAACTGCTCCGCCTGCCTAGCTACGTTAAAGCGTTAACAACAGGTTCCTGCAAGGATCATAAATGAAGGGTAATGGTTGATCAATTAACTCCATAAAAATGACTGTCCAAAACATATTATAGGAAGCCTTTAACAAGGGCTATGTGCTTTCCTTCCTGGACTAAACAAAAGTCTGAACCCTTACAACGTATATACAGCAAATTGCTAATGATGCAAAACACGCCTTAGGATTATAGACGGTAGAATTCAAAGGGTTGACCCGAAATAGATTTTGGAGCTGAACTCCAGTCCGAATACATTTTTACTTCAGAAATAAAAAAGGAGCTTGTGAGCCGAGTAAGTAATCTTGAGCGTTATTGTTAGCATGAAGAAGACTACACCACGCCATTAGACCCTGTCTCTGATAACACTGCAAACTTTCCAGCACTGATTCATGGCTTTGGCTTTACACACATCCTCTGTCATTACATTATCATTAACAAGAGGTCCACAGAGGAGCGATGAAGTCATTCACTTCAACTCCCAGTTACTATGGTGAGCCATCTGCGTAGTTCAGGTCATACTGACGTCAGGCTGGGAGGATGGAAGCTAAAGGAATTTGCAGGAAATGGGAGAGTCTCATGAGAGCCGGCAAGCTCATTTCCTTTACTGTGGAGCAGAGGTGGAAGGATGAAGACGATGACATCACAGCAACAATACGGCCTTTCCTTCTCAAACCAACTGCAAGTGTTAACGCCCTATCTGAAATTCACTTCATATGGAATATACCGTAAAAAGCTTATATAAAACAACACTATTAAGACCAATTCAAGCTGTATTTTCTGAGCTTCTATCCTGTCAGTCAGTCAGTCAAACTCATCTTTCAATAATACTCCTGATGGGCTGATAACTAGCAGGTCGTTTTTGAAATGCATGAAGTAGATAAAATGACCCTTTCATTTTCATGTAAAATATCACACAAGACATACAGTAAAAAATATACTTAGGTCTATCGAATAGAGTGTATGATACTGGAGTCATTCACCAACACTTCAGGATAGTCCTGGCTCATTATTATTTAAGGCCAAATGACGAATACATGTACAATTCCGATCAACAGCCACTTACTAACACCTCATGACATTCAAATTAATTTAAATAGGCCTACTACATTTTGTTCCGTACTAACAAATCAGCGTTGATAGTTTGACAGGATGAAAACAAGAAACCAAATCATACCCACATCAGAAACTGCTTGTGAGGATCCTCAGGTTTTCTTGTATCTGGGCTGATCAGAAGGCTACATCTGTGACGGAGTCTGCAGCAATGTGTACCTCTGCTGTACCTCCATAACAGTGTGATAATGACCAAAAAGCAGACTCATCCACTCCGCAGCAGAGAGACGCAATGCACCTGCAGTGACTATGCTGTACTGAAGAGCACGCCAAGATGCAGCCCAGCCCATGCGCATCTCTCTGCTCTGTAACCCCTGCCCCCCCCTCCAGCTCTCTCCCATCACTTGACTCAGCAAAACAGCATGACCACTGCCCAACACGGTTTTCAAATCTACTTTCCAATACAAACTTAAAAAAGACACACAGACCCACAAAACACTCTGTGAGACGAATATGGATGATCCCTTGAGTTAAGGTAAAGGTTGGTGTTGATGTTGTGGATCTGTGGAAGCTACACTGCGTAGGGTATAACATTGATTGCACAATCAGTAAAAAGCTATCAGCAGTAAGTAGTCAGAGTAGGAAGATGCTTTTACAGGAAGCATTATGTTTGAAGTTCATCATGATAATGTTTCAGAAGTCAATACAATCAATGAGAACTGTACATTTGAGAAAGAAAACAACCAGACCCTCCCATACAAGCAGAGTCTCAAAATGTCTGGACAGGAGTTAGCAGCAGCACTAGAATAACATGAGTTAGCAGCAGGCTGCTCTCCCGTAGCTGAGGCCCAACAAAACAGACAGCCAGAGGGAGAGGGCTATTTTTCATTTGGGTCATGGTCACCATGGAGTTATAATGAAAAACGATGTACTGGTTGAGTTTGGTGAAGAGAAATATGTAGGTTTTGATTCTCTGTAGCACAGCCCTTGGCATATAGCAACATCTACTTGCTGCTGTGTTCAAATGCTGCAAGTTATCAATATTACTCAGAATTTCGAAGGTGGGTGACAAATGACTGCAGAGCTGACCATGCAGAAACAACTGAGCCAATCCTCCTCAAATGGATTCCTAACATTATTACATTCAATACTAAAGGTCGACTTTGCATCGCATGCAACCACAGATCACCGTTTTCATTTCCTGTGGCCCAAGTCCAGTTTTTAGGCCAAAAATGAAAAATAAGACAATAATGTAAAAGGAAACATTTGATTTTATGAGTCGCAGTTGTACAATGAAGAATCATTTTCATGACATGCAATCAACTGATGGTATTACAATCCAATTAAAATGGGGCAGTGTAGCATCAGGTGCCCTGGGAATATCTGGGAAGTATTTTAGGTGGTGCTGTCCTATTTTACCTCCACGTTTCTGTATCACAGCATCATAGGGCAGGCTCCAGTGCCTAGGCCTATTTATAGTCTGATAATAGAATTTAAGCCGAATGAGGGAAAACCGTCTGTTTGCCAAACCAAAAAACAGCTCATTAATGAATACCTAGATCAGTCCTGTTATCTGTTGTTGTTATTTAACATTTGTCTGCCATTGGGCTTCCAGGATTTGAATGTGATGTAACAGCCAAATAAGAAATGTAGGCTAAGTCATGAAGCAGTGCGATGACTACAGTCATCACTGAATGGACAACAACAAGCTGTAATCACAAAGCAACTCTCTAAGCCTGTCAAAAAACCCTCCACCAAGGACATGGCCTAGGCCCACAAAATATACCTCACTCAACTATTAAAACACAACTTTTCAATGTATTTTTGTTGTTGTGAAGAACATTTTATGAGCACTGTTTGAAATGCCACATTTCTAAACAATAACATTCAACACATTTAAATTATTTGAATATGTATATGAAATAGCACACGCATAAGCTTGGGAACTCAAAATCAATGTTTACATAGTATAATTTGATTCTTAACAAAACAATGTGATTCCGTTCAGTCCCATGCGGCTTAATCCTTATCTTGAATACTGCATACTGCTGCTTCCAATCTGAATTCTATTTACAAGTGGAGGCCAGTTGGTATGTGAAGCATGTGGCACCACCCTGACAGAGCCAGTTGTCTGGACAGTCAGCTGCAGAGCTGTGAACATGCTTCTCCACTTTATCACAAGCCGGCACACAACCGTATCTATGCAAACTAATCATCTTTATGTAAAGTGCATTTTCAAATACCAGTGTTTTCATAGCCATGGTCAACTCCATAAACACTGCTAGCTACTGAAAGTGGTGGAAAGTAACTCAGTACATTTACTCATATATTCTAAAAAAAACATGTCAGAAAAGTACTTAAGTACTTTTCTGACATGTTTTACTTTACTTTCCATTTAAAAGGTACTTCAGACTTCCAAACCACTATATTTTAGAGCTGTTTAGTCTACTTTTATTCCACTACATGTATTCTATACCCACAGTTACTAGCTACTTTGTACTCACATGATATGATGATGGTATAATGAAGTACTGTGCTATTCATCTACATAGTGACTGATACATCATATTGTAGTGACTACATTTGGTCCACATGGACCAACTACAATACTAAAAGCTCTTACATATTTAAAAGCAGGATACTATAGTAACCATAATATTTCAATACTGTGAAAAGATCCCCTCTGCAGAATGAGTACTTTTGATGCTCGAAGTACATTTAGCTGATAATACTTCTGTACTCTATAACATTCTGAAGTGGGCCATTGTGCAGAATGAGTACTTTAATAGGAATCAAGGATCGGAGTAGTTCTTTCAACACAGGTTACTGACAATGCACAATCAAACTGTCTCATAAACGGTTGATGCATTAGATAATATGCTCCAACACGCACACATGTGTGTTATTACCATAGAGTGTAAATATAAAGGGTATTACAGTGTTACAGCAGACAGAGGTGACAGCTGGGCGCGTCCGAAACTCTTTGCTCTGGGCGGCTCCCTTCAGACATGGCCGACAAGCTAATGCAGCAACCTACATAACTTCGCCATTTTTAATCCAATTGTATTTCATTCATTCATTCATTCATTCATACCCCACAATCAACAGACTGGGATTGAACACGTATTACATGAGTATTGTTTTATACATTTTGGTTAGTGAAAATGTCACAAACGTCATCAGACTATCTAACGGTAGCTGATAACGCTAGCAGCTCCTGACAAACCCTCGGGTTATGTTCGCTGAGGTGAACACTTTTAATGCCTAATGCCATATACCAGCCTTTTCCTATTTTTAAAAGGACACTTTCAATACGGAAAATAGCCTTTTAATTATGCAAGCTGTCTTAATATAAACACGTTGCCCTATTCAACGCAGTATGTTAGATTCCAATGCAGGCGATATCGTTTATTTTAATGGCATAAACATTAAGATAGCTCATCTTAAACTCAGACAGCATTAGAGACAGCCTTAGAAGGTCGTATATCGCAATGTTACCTACCTTACTGTAATAAACATTCAACAATAGAAATGCTTGCAGCTAGCTAAACTTAGCCACCGAGCTAACGAACCCGTAGCAGCCAGAGAACACAAATTCGATTAACAAAACAGGGTAACGGTCCTTAGGAAAGCACACTCTCAAATGTACAATGAGTCTGATTCTAAATGATTAATTTCAAGAGCATGTAAACATATGTAATACCTCGGTTTGTTCGAAAGAGCTTTCGAAGTGGTTGTCCGGGCGGATCGACGAAGAAGATGCGAGACTGCTCTCCGGGATGGGTGTGTTTTTTCTCAACCAAACGTGACGTAATTCTCTGCAGCTGTACGGAAACAAACGAAAATTACCGAACGCAAGCTCTCAGACCCGAACATGCTCAACTTTACAATATATTACATTTCATTTAGCTGACGCATAGAATCTGTTGTTACTGCATTTGCTTCAAATAAGCCAAACATTTCTTAGTGCTACGAAAAGAAGTATAACAAAAAATGATTATATTATAATAATTTTTTCTTTAAATGTTCAGCAAGTATGGGGGATTTGAAACAAATCAGCGATTGTTGAATTTTCAGAACGTTAAGCTGTAGAGTTGGTTTACATTTTTAGACCATATAGAATACATTATTAATTAGACATACACTTATTTCAAAACTGAACAGAAATATATTTGAAAGAAAACATTAGATAAGGCAGGACATATTATTGGAGAGAGACCTGAGTGTTCATTTAATTCTGAAACATTGTGCTCTTATTCCTTACGCCTCAGCTATTTCCTTAAGGCAGAATGCACTGTAATATAACGTTTTCTTTCTGCAGCCATCAGTGTCTCTCTGTGAGGGAATCAGCTGACTACCACCAGGGTTTATCAGACAGACAATACACCATCAGTTCATATTGGTTGATACATTGTTTTGGATAGTTCATTCCCATTTCCAACTCTAATGTTAAGTTAAACAAATATGTCTTACATGCTATTTATTTTAATTGACTTTTACTTTGTGAATTTAAACAAGTCTTTTTAAGCTTTAGTCAACGTTGACACACTGTTGTGATGAGGCTGCTAATAGTAAATATTGGAGCAGCTGCTAGGACACTATAACAGCTGTGATGATTGATTCACAGCTTATTTGAATGATAAACAAACCACTACGGACCGGCCCACAGACGAGTGAGCTAATGGGCCCAGAACAAAAAGTGTCAATTTGTATCCTCTTTGTAACTTTATCAGAAACATACAAAATAGGGTGTGATAAAAGGGCTTCAGTCAGATTGACTCGGGTATAAAAACATGTTTTATTGAAGTTACCAGTGAAAATACTGTACATTTTTCAGTTAATAAATACACTCTAAGACCAGACAACAACTATTGAGTTCACTATAATATTGTTTTCAAACACGGTCTTGTCTTGTGCCAAAGGACAGCAGTAGCACCAATGTTTTCAGCTCCATTTGATCACAGAGCATAGATACACTTAATATAAGCAGATAATGTTATGGGTGGCTTGGCTACTGAGTTGTATAAATGTAAACGGATCATAGTTTTAGTATAAAGCAGTCCAAATACAGTATGTAGTCTGGTAATTCTAGTAATAGACATATTACAGATAACATTTCTAGCTGAGGTTGAAAATAAAAAGATGCTGTGAAGGCTTGATAAAGAAATGACCGTTTCCAATTGTTTTTGGCATTTCAAATACTATCCAATCCAAACATTCAATCTGAAAGCTTCAAGGCAGCGTCAAATAGGTGAAAAAATGTTGGAAATATAGGTTGAAAAAACCGCCAAAACAATGTCTTCAAAATGACATCAGATAAGCTCTCTCTCTGAACTTCTACAGCTTCTATTCAGTATGTCACTACTCATTTTGCAGAGCAGTGGAGTACACACTGTAAGGCTCCATTAGTTCCTCAGTGAGATCAGAACCTGAGTGCTGGTGGATCAGATGTTCAGCAGCAGAGCTGGGTAGATGAAGTGCCCAGCACCACAGCTGCAGTTTGTGTGAACCTTCAAACCCAGAGCATGTCAAAGTTTAACATTTTCTTACCACGCTGTGCTTTTGTAAACCCACATTAACCTGCATTATTATTCTCTCTGATCACAGTTGTTCACAGCATGTCCTGGTATCGAAACATTTGAATACAGTGACACAAGTTTTACTTTATTTCTCCCTTTAAAAAGCTAAACATATTTTTTAGTTTTAGTGATGCCAACAGGTATCCAGTCAGACTGTAGCCAAATGACTTTATACACCACAGACGGGCCTTGTGGCCGCAGTATTTCAGTGTGAAAATTGGAGGGGAGATGATAGCTGCACACAGTTCCCTCTGCTGCCGTGTTTTGCATTGTACCTGATACATCGAGAAGCCCTTGTCTCCTTTCTGTAGTTTTCACAATCATTTTTTTTAATTAGTCAAAGGTGTTGGAAATGAATTTAGTGGATTTAAGCTTCTGGTAAAATAAGCATGAGTAGAGTTTAAGTTGTTAGAGGTGAGTATAAATCTATTCTTCAACAGTTGCCCTATCTCTGTGTATTTTTGGGTACAACTAGAAGTCACATTTTCAAATCATATATCTAAGGGCTTTGATATTACAAAATATCTATTTTTCAGATTTTTCTAATTTCTTTAATAAAATTGTATTGTCTACAAATTCATTTCTAAAGACATTTTAACATAGGTAAGTCTTACATTCTAAGAGCCCTACTAGATAACAGCCAATATATACTCTTGCTCCTCCCTGGTTTGAACCAAGTAACCAGGCAACAGACCGAGCATCTTAATGGCCTCCAGCTCTTGTGATGAAATCTAAATGTATGAGGTTCAAACCCCCGTACGGTTTTGGACTGTGTGCACAATACTCTGACAGATAGTCTAGCTGCCAGCTCAGAGTCCTATTGTGAACCCAGACATGTTGAGTACCCCAAAGTGTTATGTTAGAAATGTATAGTACAGGTCCCCAGCACATAGAAACTGCCAGATGCTAACCTGCATATGTTGGGTACTTTTGGAGGGGTTTTGGGCGTTATTGAGGAGTCCATTTCTGACATTTTTACAGGATAAAAAATGGCAGTTTTAACCAGGAAAAGCCAATAGTTGTACTCTCTGTGGGCTGATTTTGATGCATTTTGGGTTGATTTTGAAGATTTAGGGGACTCTGGATCATTTGGATTGGACAAATTGCCTATTTATTTGAAAATAGAAAATATGTCAGCCATTTTTTTAACTATTGACTGCATGGGTTTAATGCTAATTAATGCAAATACTAATTATGCAAATTGCCCAACATATGCAGGTTAGCATCCAGCAGTTTATATGTGCTGGGGACCCTACTATACATTTCCAACATAAAACTTTGGGGTACTCAACATGTCCGGTTTCACAATGCTGGCAGCCAGACTAAGAGGGGCTGTCAGATGGGTGAGGGGGACCGCAGAGAGCCGCCCAGGGCCAGGTCTCCAAACACGTTGGTGTAGGAGGCTTTGAGGAACTGGACGTAGTTCTGCAGGCTGCGGTTTGTGGTATCTGACTGCTCCAGGCGATCTTTCACATCCTGCAGTCGGCTCTGGTACCGCCGCTCCACCTGAGCATGACAAATACACTTTACAGACCTGCTGACACAGCTGATGCATACACATTTTAAATCAACTATTAATGGCTGCCTCTACCTCCTCTTTGCTGCGCCGCAGTTGGTTGATTTCGGAGGTAGTCCTGCTAAGGTGAGTCTCTAGGTCGATGATTTTGGACTGGGTGGAGCGTTCTTTAGTGGCAGCAAGTCCTCTAGTTTCTGAAATCTGGAAAAAATATGAGACATAAGTAGGGATGGGTATCGTTTGAAATGTATCGATTCCGATTCCGGTTCTGCTTATCGATTCCGGTTCTGCTTATCGATTCCGGTTCTGCTTATTGATTCCGGTTCTGCTTATCGATTCCGGTTCTTATCGATTCCGGTTCTGCTTATCGATTCCGGTTCTTATCGATTCTCCGTTTCGATTCCAAAATTGTAAAAGAAAGAGGTCAAACGTTTAGATAACAAAAATATCTTTATTCTTTTAAGCTTTAACTGACATTTTTACAAATAAAAATACAAATGTATTACACAATAGCTGTGCTTTATGTTAACTGAGCTATGCCTGTGGCAAGCTATTAACAGGCATTACACTGTGCCTTGTCTTTTTCTTTATTAGTGTAGTGGAGCCTCACTTTAGAGCGTTTACCGCGACCCATCTTTGGTGTTATGAAGTGACTGAGCTCGTGAGCTGTCTACGGGAGGGCGGGGGGAGCCTCGCTGCGGGGCAACTGTGGACCTCTGTCGCCTGTCAGCGCAACTTACATGATGCCGTTTAAAAAAATGAAGGGCGGTGCCGGCCGTCAGCGAACCGAGCCGGCCGTCAACGGCCCTCTGACGACCGGCCGCTCTGTGATTCTCCAGAACACACAGATGGCCAGTCCGCCCTTACCCTGTATTCCACCGGGGCGCCGCGGCGCAGACGGACCCGGTGGAATACAGGTTCTACTGCGTTTAGGAACCGTTAAGCAGAACCGAAATTGTGTATTTTGTATGGGTACCCGGTACCCGGCATTTTCTTATCGGTTCTCATCTGGAACCGAGTTTCGGTTCCCAACCCTAGACATAAGTTGGACTTAACAGAGGTGGGAAGTTACTAAGTACATTTACTCAAGTACTATACTTTGAGAGACTTGTACTTTACTTGAGTATTTCATTTTTTTTGTTAGCTGCACCTTTACAGCTTTGATAGCTATTTAATGCATCAATAATTATAATCAAAACATATTATAAATAATAAGTACTTTGGTACTTTAAGTTTATTTTGATGCTAATACTTTTACTTTTACTTGAGTAACATTTTGATTGCAGGACTTGTAACAGAGTACCATCTGGCAGAGCTGAGTACTTCTCCACCTCAGGGACTTTATTACTCAGCAGAGGGTATACTACATTACATTACATTACATCCCATACATTACACGTCACTTGTTAGACGCTTTTACCCAAAAGCGACTTACTCCATACTGTGTGCAATCCCCACAGGACCAATTTGGGTGAAGTGTGGGGCGACACAGCGGGATTGAACCTGTGCGCCCCTGACCCGAAGATCAGCGCACTAACGCACTGAGCCACACCTTCCCTATATACATCGGACAAACCTAATGTATCCCTATATTTGATGTCCCTAACAATATGCACCTACAGGCTCATTTATCAGCCTGACATTCCCAAGCTGCTGAGAGCTCAGTTTTTCCTTTTTTTTGCTGCATTACATTACATGTTACTAGTTAGACGCTTTTATCCAAAGCTCCATACTCAATACTGTGGGCGATCCCCACAGGAGCAATTTGGGGTGAAGACACAACGACATGCTGACTGCAGTGGGGTTTGAACCTGTAGTGGGGTTTGAACCTGTGACCATCTGATCCCATACCAAGGCTCTATCCACTGCACCACACGCCTCCCTGCACAGCCCTGTTATTTGTTGCTGAAGAACCTCTCTGTCTGCACCGCTTTTGTGTCAAAGCAAAAGTCTGAAACGATTGAGAAGGCTACGAGCTACTAATGATATCTCCTGCTGTATTCTTTAATCCCACGCTGTGTTTGACCAGTGTTCAGCTACAGACCTGTTGGCGAGCGTCACCCAGAGCCTCCTCCAGCTTCCGGCTCAGCATGGAACATTCCCGGCTCTTCTCTTCCAGGCGGAGCTGATTGCTGTGGATGGAGTCTTCCCGTTTGGAAATGACCGCCAGCAGCTCACAGTTCTGACTGGCAGCCTCCTCCAGGTTTCTGCAAGATCAACAACAATCAGTTAAATGTACAGTTATATTGTAGAATAAACAGCTAACCTGGTCATATCATTAAGATGTTTTTTGTGTTTTAGGATCGTCCTAAAAATGCTCCTTTTACCCAACATGCAACACTTAGAAACCAAACTTAACCTCATCTGCTAAGAATATTACTGATACGTTGATCATAATATTTCATAGTAAAACATTTCTGGATATCCTATAGGCCACTGACCTCTCCCCTGTCTCCAGTTTGTGCTGCAGCTGTCTGTTCTCGCCCAGCAGCAGCTTGTTCTTCTGTCTCAGGAGCTCCACCTGGCTGCCCTGCGTCTCCACCTAACACAACACAGCCTTCATCACATGACCTGGACTCAGTATCCAAGCATTTGTCTTCCTCGAGTTCTTCCTAAAACTGCATGTGTGTGGTCTAGCAAGATTGATGTGGAAAAATGTACAAACATTTGCTGAAATAAATGTATTTGCACAAATGAACAATCAACAATACATGTGTGGACATTAATAGTGGCCTCTAATACATACCAACGTTGTATTGTCTACTCAAAATCAATCTTTGAATACCGGATTCATTTTCAAATGACTTTAAAGATAAAGTTGTATTTAAATCATGATTTTGTGAAGCTAACTTGAGCTTACATTTATTGTATATATACATATAACAAATCAAATCAAACTTTATATACACTCCTGAACAAATCTTAAGACCGGGGGAAAAATTACAAGAATTCCCATTTCCCACTGGTGGATCGTAACCAGGGTGTACGAAGAAACAGGAGCAAGAGACCGAAAATAAAGAGTAGGCAATTTATTGAAAACTGCATTTAAAGTCAAACAGGCTGATCATAAGCTGATCAAAAGTTTAAGACCATTGCTGTTAAAAAAAAAAGCAACACTGAAAGTTAAAAAAATGAACTCAGTAGTGAGTAGCACCACAGTTGTTGTCGATAACTTCAAAAATGTGTTTAGGCATGCTTGATGTGAGTGTTTCCATGAGGCTGGTGGGAACGTTGCTCCATGTGGTGAGGATGGCTTCACGAAGGGCATCCACGGTCTGGAACTGACGTTTGTTATTGTAAACTTCCCCTGCCATCCATCCCCAAACGTTCTCAATGGGATTTAGATCAGGGGAACAGGCAGGATGGTCCAAAAGAGCAACGTTATTCCCCAGGAAGAAGTCCTGTTGAAAGACCCAGTCATCACCGCACAGACGAGGGCACTCAGTCAAGAGGGATGCCCGCTGCAACATCTCCATAGAGCCAGCTGCCGTTTGACGCCCCTGCACAACCTGAAGCTCCATTGAGCCTTGAAGGAAGAAGCACCCCAGATCATGATGGAGCCTCCTCCACTGTGCCGCATAGAAAACCTCTCCAGTGGGAGCTCCTTGTCATGCCAGGAACGTTGGAAGCCATCAGGACCATCCAGGTTAAATGTTTTCTGCTCAGAGAATACAACTTTCTTCCACCTTTCAATGTCCCATGTTTGGTGCTCCCTTGCTAAGTCCAGACGGGCAAGGTGGCATTGGAGGAGACGTGTCCTTCAAAGACTTTTATGTTCTCGAGGCCCTTCTCTCGCATATGCCGTTTTATAGTTATTGGGCTGCAGTCAGCATCTGTAACGGCCTTCATTTGGGTCGAAGATTGGCCTGTGTCTGTAACGGCCTTCATTTGGGTCGAAGATTGGCCTGTGTCTTTACGGACAGCTCGTAGGATCCTCCGGCGCAGGGGAAATTTGATTGGGTCTACCACTTTACTTTTTTGTCCAGTAACCCTCGGGATCTTTTAAGAAAAATGAGCGTCTTACTGCGTCCAGCCTCAGCAGCGATGGCGCGGTGCGGAGGCCTTGTGCCACATTCAAAGACAGAAAGCCTTTTCTTTGTTGCCATCAGGAGGTCATGACAGTGTGAATGCCTGTCTGAAACAGCTGAGGAACAGCCTGTTTGATTTTAAATGCAGTTTCCAATAAATGACCTGTTTGGTCTCTTGCTCCTGTTTCTTCTTTTTGCATTTTGAAGCTCTCCTAACACCCTGGTTATGATCCACCAGTGACAAATGATAATTCTTGTAATTTCCCCCCCGGTCTTAATATTTGTTCTGGAGTGTATATACCATTGTTCTCTCACAAAGGTCACTCAAAGTGCTTCACAAACCAAACACATACTATCAACAATACTATCTCCCCCTTCCCAAGAATAAGCAACAGAGTGTAACACAAAGCTTTGTGATTACATAGAACACTTAATACCAACACAGGACTGAATAAAACAGGAGTAAAATAATAAAAACAAATATTATAATAAAAAATAAAGATAATCTAAATATATATGTGAGTTCTGACCTTCATGCGGAGGTCGGTCAGGGTGGTGCTGAGCTCCATGCTGCGTCTCTCCTGGCTGCGCTCCCTGTCCTGGGTCTCCTGCAGCTGGAGTTCGGAGCGTCGTACGGCTTCAGGAAGAGGCTCCAGCTCCGCCAGGCGCTCCAGCAGCTCCCTGCGCACCTCCTCCAGCTCCTGCTCCAGCCCCCCTCGCACCGCCTGGGCCTGCCGCTCCGCCTGAGCCAGCCGAGCACGGTACTCATCGGCTTCGCCACGGGTTTTCCCAACCTGTGCAGCATGTTTAGCAGAAATCAAACCTGGCTGCAGACTGCTGTGCTATCACCGTCTCACACTGCTGCACACCAGTCTGAGACAGTTGTACCCCCACAGGCCATCAGAATGCTGAACCCCTGAGCCCTGTGCCTTCACAACTTCAAACCATTCAACCTTTTGCATCCCACACATTTATCTATTATTACAATAAGCAGTATTTTATTTCACAATACAGCATTTCATTTTACATTCCATTTTTTTAGCTCATCTTATTCTATTTTACCTGCGTATAGTTAGCTTCTCCTGCATTACTTGCACATAAGTCTTGTAACATTCTCTTGCACTATTTTATTGGTTTTGTTGTAACATACATTGTTCTAAATGTCCCATCCTTTTTATAATGTCTCAACACCTAATTTAGTTGGAATGCTGATACAGCATTCCAACTACTTGTTCTTCTACGGACAAATTCTTTATTATTATTCTGTCGGGTTATTTTGCACCTCTTCTTCTCCCACATTCCACATCGCAGAAACTCTGTTCAAACATCAAAACGTTCAGCTCGGTCGGGAATCGATTGCTATTACTTATCTCATTCATAACTTTCATAATTCCAGAGATACATCCCATAATACATCACATTTTGAACATGGAAGTCAATGGAGAAACTCTTCAGACTTCAACAATCTTCATGCGACTTCAACTGCTAACTGTTCCTTCATACTTTCACTCAGAAACCTCATTCCAACTTTAAAATGTTACACATCTTTCTGACATTATTCATATTAAACAACTTTTAAATCAGATTCATACTTTTAGAGATATTAAACATTGTTCAGACCTTGGTAAAGAGGCCTTCTTCAGATTTTAACATTAGTGTGTATTGCGCAGCTCGTTAAGGCTTAGAGTGCGTGATGTCACAGCTAGAGTGGGGGACAGCTTGACATTTAAACCTGCCATAATTCCCAAACCCTACACTCCTGAAACATAATTTTTCATGAAAAACTTAGGAAAACCTCTCCTAGGTTGGAAAATCAAAAAAAATTACACCAAAATAATTAAACAAAATGCCTCTGCATGAAGTGACAAAAACTTTCAACATGTCTCCATTAAGGCCCATTGTAAATTCAGGCTGATCTTTCCTCACAGCGGCAGCCGCACACCTTTAGTTAATCTGCCAAAAATGCCACATTATTGACCCGAAAGTACACAAAAAGTACACTTCAGACCCTCAGGGTTCTTGACATGCTTCACACGTTGAAATTTCACCGATATCTGTTACGGTTCTTCAACAAAACGTTCACATGTAAGAGGTTTATCTCTCATTCAGAACAATGGAAAGGCTCTCCTCTCACTGATTACTGCACATCCCAAACCTTTGATCTCTGGGCTCAAGCACAGGTGTTTCATAACGTCGTTAGCTCAAACATAAACACCTGTGTGTTGGAGATATGACATGATGATGTCATAACTCCAACTGACATGCTCAGAACGCCACCAAACATCACATGATGGTTAACACTGTGGCCCTGAACAGCTCTACATCAAATCTGATGTTACGTAATGTGGTGTTACTATGGCAACGCATCCCTCGCCATAAAACACGATGTCGCTGTAACTCCAATGGACACGGTCTAATCGTCCCCCAATCTTCACTTGTATATCATATCACCGGTCCATGCCTCGACAGCTCTACGCCAAATCTGAGATCTCACTATTGGCCGTTTCCATGGAAACGCATCCCTCACCATAAAACATGATGTTGTTGTAATTCCTATGCAAATGGCCAAAACAGCACCAGACTTCAGATAATGGTTAATGGTCCGGCCCTCAACGGCTTTATGTCAATTATGGGTTGTCATCATATGCCGTTTCCATGGAAACGCATCCCTCGCCATAAAACACGATGTTGTCATAACTCATATGAAAATGGTCAAAACAGCACCATACTTCAGATGATGGCTAATGGTCCAGCCTTCAACATGTCTATGTGCCATTAGTGAGTTTTCCTCAAAAGCTGTTGCCATGGCAACATCCCTCGCCGTAAAACACGATGTCGCTGTAACTCCTATGAAAATCGTCAAAAAGTGCTGAAACTTCACGTGTGCTAACAGTCCAGCCGTGACGACATCTACGTGAGTTTTGAGATTTCTTCAAATGCCGTTGCCATGGTAACACAAGGCTCGCCATGACACACGGTTTTCTCATAACTTCAGTGAAAATGCTCCAAACGGCCCCAACCCCCTTGCCAAAAAACACGATGTTGTTGTGATACCTATGCAAATGGTCAAAACAGCACCAGACTTCAGATAATGGTTAATGGTCCGGCCCTCAACAGCTCTATGTCAATTATGGGATGTCATCATATGCCGTTTCCATGGAAACTCATTCCTCGCCATAAAACACGATGTCGCTGTAACTCCAATGGACACGGTCCGATCGTCCCCCAAACTTTGCTTGTATATCACCGGTCCATGCCTCAACAGCTTTACGCCAAATCTGAGATCTCAACATAGGCTGTTTCCATGAAAACGCATCCCTCGCCAAAAAACACGATGTTGTCGTAACTCCTATGCAAACGGTCAAAACGGCACCAGACTTCAGATAATGGTTAATGGTCCGGCCCTCAACAGCTCTATGTCAATTATGGGGTGTCATCATATGCCGTTTCCATGGAAACGCATCCCTCGCCATAAAAGACGATGTTGTCGTAACTCATATGCAAATGGTCAAAACAGCACCAGACTTCAGATGATGGCTAATGGTCCAGCCTTCAATATGTCTATGTGCCATTAGTGAGTTTTCCTCAAAAGCTGTTGCCATGTTAACGCATCCCTCGCCATAAAACACGATGTCGCTGTAACTCCTATGAAAATCGTCAAAAAGTGCTGAAACTTCACGTGTGCTAACAGTCCAGCCGTGACGACATCTACGTGAGTTTTGAGATTTCTTCAAATGCCGTTGCCATGGTAACACAAGGCTCGCCATGACACACGGTTTTCTCATAACTTCAGTGAAAATGCTCCAAACGGCCCAAACCTTCACAGGTTTGGTAAAGATGCAGCCATCCACACATTTAAGCGTATTATGGGGTGTCATCAAATGCCGTTGCCATGGCGACAGATCACTCGCCATCAAGTTAGTTCAAAAGTTTGCAGTTCAAATATTCTGCTGCTTTTCCAAGCCTTTTTACTTTCTTTTCTTCTCTCATCACACATTCAAGCCCCCAGTGTTCATGTATCATTTCAATCTAAATTCTTCACTTTCTTCTTACACATTACATTTCAGCATAGCAGTTCAGCGTCAGCTTTTCAGCATAAAACATTCCCACTAGCAATTTCTTCAGGAATTGCATTCTCTAGTATATTACTAATGTCACTTAGTTCTTAAAATTGCTCCTCTTCATTTTTAGCCAAGGATGTGTACTTATTTGTCTTTATTTTTATTATATGAGGAATGTCTTGTATATATTTATGTTGCATTGTGAGAGGAGCCTGGGACTTAAGATCTATATTGCCACAACTACACTGTGGCTCTGCAAATGAAAAAAAGCCTCTGAACTTTGAACCTAGCAGTACAATGTGCTCCACACACCTGGATCTTGTAGCTGTCCAGCAGGCTCTCATACTGCAGGATGGATGCTTTGACCTGCTGGAGCTCTGACTGAGACAAGGCCAGCTTCTCCTCCACTGCAGAGGCTGTAGCCTGACAGGAACACAGAAGCTGTCATCAGTTATCAAACACACCAACAGATATTCCTCCTAATACAAGTCAACGGGAGTCTTTTGGAATAAAAAAATGGGAGTAGGGAGGCTATTGTCCACGACATAAAAGCAACACAACAGATGTGTAGAAATGTGATCAGTATATGGTCAGTTTGCCATTCAATAAATGTGTCTTCACTGAATAATAATTAGTGACAGCTTTGTTGGACTGTTGGAGTTTCACCTTAAGGGCCTGGGTCTCCAGTTTGGCCCCGGTGCTCTGTGAGGTCAGTGCATGCAGCCTCTCCAGCAGGGCCTCTCTCTCTGCTCGGCCTTTATCCCCCGCACTCTGCAGCTCCTCCGTCAGCTCTGCTGCACGGCTGCATCACATAACACAACACTCATCAAATATTCATTTGTATAACCAAAATGGTGGAGTTCAGAACCAGAAGTAGCTGTTCACTGATTCAACTGTTTTACTTTGAAATTTAAATTTTCAAATGTAGATTTAAAAACAAAAATTAAATAAAAGATGTAGGCGCAAATTAAATTCACAACTGGTCCAGGCGTGTTGTCTGATGGTGTCAACAGGGTAACTATACTAGTTTGACACGATAACTGTGTTACTGAAATAACTATAGTACAAAATAAATCACTTTTCTATGATTCAATGAGCATTTTTCGGCGCAGCGCCTACAATTCTGAAGTTGCTAGGAAAATATCTCACTCCAACAGTTGCCTCTGTACCTGACATAACTGCATATCTCCAACCTTCAGTATGAAAGATCACCCCCCTAGGTCAAGGTTAAGGTACGTTTATTTCTACAGCACATTTTCCGACACAGAGGCAATTCAAAGTGCTTTACATCAACATTAACACACACAAGTTAAGAGAGAAGACAAAAGAAAGAACCACAATAAATAAACAAGACCATTCATAAAAGAGATAATAAGCAGTTTCAATCAACATTGTAAACACAGATGATGCTGCAAGAAGTGTAATAATAAAACTAAGTTAAATGACTTCTGGGTAAGCAGCAGTACAAGTAAATGTTATTAACCACGACTTAAAATAACTCAGGGTTGGTGAGGACCTCAGGTTTTCTGGGAGTTTTTTCCAGATGTGCAGCGCGTAAAAACTAAAAGTTACAACATGTTTTAATGAAAATAATGAACCCTGTCTGTGGTTACCTGTTCAACAGAGACAGCTCTCCCTCCAGTTTACTCCTGTCCTTCTCTTCCTGGGCATGGCGACTCTGCCAGGCCTCAGCTGCAGACAGTGCCTCCAGCAGCTGCTTCTCCTGTGGGAGACAGAAAAGTATTGGCATCAAAATATCATTAAAGTAGCGACAGTAAAAGTAGTCATTGTGCAGATTGGTCCATTTCAGAACAATACATATGATATGTTTTATAATGATTGATCATGAAAGTGTTCTCAAAGCTGGTAAAGGTGCAGCTAGTTCGAATGACTTTGTATCGCTGCTGCGGCCCCTAAACCGTAGAACACTCTGGCCCTCCACATTAAACAGGCTTCTACACTGTCAGTTTTTAAATCTCGTCTTAAAACCCACCTCTTCCCCTTAGCGTTCTGTACTTTGTAGATTGTTGCTTTTATTGCTTTTAAATGGAATATTGTTTTTATTATATGGATTCTTGTTTATTTTGTGTTCTTACCTGTATTTGTTTTTGTTTTGTGAGCTGCGCTGTGTGATTTTGCATTTCTCTGTACAGCACTTTGGTCTGGAGGTCTTAAAGTGCTATATAACTAAAGTAGGATTGGATTAGATTGGGTAGCTGGTGAATTTACTCCAGGTGTTACTAAAGTCTGATTTAAGACTTGATTATATTTCACATCATTAATGCAAATGTGTAAAGTAACTAAAGGTATTAAATACATGTAGTGGAGTAAAAGTACACGATATACCTCTGAATTGTAGTGTAGGAGAAGTAGCAACAAATTGAAATACTCAAGTTAAGTAAGTACCTCAAAATTAGAGTAAATGTACTTAGTTACTTTACACCACTGCTTTAACTTGATTCCGTTACAGACAGCAGTGCAACCAAGAGTGTAGGATGGAGCTTGAAGCTTTAAAGGTGAACTCATAGGAACAATCAATGGAATGAATAATAAGTGTATCTAATGTGTTGTGCAATGTTTTGTGACAGCTTTAACAGAAGTTCTTCAGAGCAGCGCACCATGTCCAGCAGCTGGACACTCAGCTGGCCCGCCGTGTCCTCGCTGCGCTCTGCCCGCTGTTTCTGAGCTCGCGTGGCGCGTTTCAGAGCCTCTCGATCTGCACCGGCCTGCCGCCTCAGCCCCCCCAGCTGCTCCGTCAGACGCTCCATCTCCACCTTCTGCTGGCTGGCTGCTCGCTCCAGGTTCTGAACCAATGGAACAAATTAAACCAAGAATTAAACCTACAATTAAACTACAAACAAGACCTCAAACATCATTTACCAGCTCAATCATTTGAACAGTGATGGCTCATGCCAGGACAGACCTTTATCTGCACAGTCAGCCTGTTGTTCTCAGCCTCTTTGCTCCGCAGCTGTCCTTGTAAATGAGCTCTGGTTGACTCCAGACTCTTGGACAAATCAGATGAGCTCTTGGCATTGTCCTGCACCCCCATAACACAGTAGAATGTACATTAGGGAAAACTGGTCTTCTGCTTTGGTCTACAAGCTGTTAGAAAAACCTGAAATGCCTCGGTGAGATATTGCTCTGTACACGGTACCTTCTCACTGTCCAGAAGTCTGCAGAGTTGATTCGCTTCTCTGTCCTTCTCTTGAAGTTGTACCACAAGCTGCTGTAAGGTAAAGCAAGGCAAACTTTATTTATAAAGCACATTTTACATACAGGGAAAAAGTTCAATGTAGGTAACACAGAGATACAACAAATGATTTCTACATATATGCCAAAATATATGATAGAAGCCTGCCTAATGCAAGGCTAATTCCAAAGAAATGAGTAGATGCACTGGGCGTCTCCCACACTCACAGCGTTGTGTGCCTCTGTGTCGGCCAGTCTCTTCAGAAATGCGTCTTTCTGCTCGGACACTCGCTCTGACTCCATCTGCTCACACACACATGGAAATCACTCTGCTTTAGAAACACTTGCTGTAAACTGCTGCTGAAAGTCCCATTCGACACATATTCATGCACCTGAAGTAGGCAATATGACAACATTATCTTGATATGTATTTGTATGCATTAGTCAACTGTCAGAAGCATTTATCTACCACATGGAAACTATTCTGTTAACATCTCTGGCTGTATCAAAGTTCATGTAGGCCTTGTAACTAATTGAAGTGAATAGAACTGCACCTTCCTTGTTGTTCGGAGTTTGAATCTCTATGGTCTTTGCACTTATTGTAAGTCACTTTGGATATAAGCCTCAGCCAAATGTAATGTCACATAATGTCATGTATTGCAGTGGAAACATTTGATGAAATCCAATGTTGCTTTTTTATATTCATATTTTGTATATTATTTTATATTATATATAAGTGTCTGGTTTGAATTTCCCTTCAGGCTGTTGTTCCTCGAGGTGCAGTGTTGAACATAGAAATGGAATAGTAAATGCATCATGAGCATCACAGAACTAATGAATGTGTTTCCTGTGTATCCGTCATGGGACTCCCTGTGATCAGCAGAAGATCAGAGACTGTTCCCCCCCCCCCCCCCATACCTGGGCCCTGTGCTGCTCTCTGAGGAGGAGCCGCAGAGTTCTGTTTGTGGACTCAAAGGTGTCCAGCTTCTGTAGCAGCAGCTCCTTCTGCTGGGCCAGGCCTGCAGACTCTGAGCCGGACAGCCTCTGCAGCACACAGGGGGGGAACACATTCACACTAAGAAGTATGTGGAATACTAGACTGTGTGTGGCTTCGCCAGTCACACAGAATGATGATTATTATTATTATAAAGCTTTATTTGTATAGCACTTTCCATACACCAGGTGCAGCTCAAAGTGCTTTCACAATATGGCATACATCACAAATGAAAACACAGAAGAAGAAATTCACTTCAGGTCAAACATTAAAACCTCTTTGCACGCATGCATAACATCATCATTTAGTGACACAAGGACGCAAAAGGGTTGATCAAATAAATAACCATCCGTCTCGGTAAGATAAAGGAAGATATAAGTCAAAATGAATCAATACAATAAAATAATAAAACCTATCAAATAAATTGTACAGAATATGAATAAGACACCCTCTGTCCTTAGACCCTCACAGCGGACAAGGCAGTTAGGGGGGGGGGGGAATGGAAGAAAGCTATGTACTGTAAATGCTTAAATGTAGTGCTAACCCTAACCCTATAAGTCATCAATTTGTCATGAGGCTATACAAAATAATAAAACAATATACAAATAAAACATCAATATAATATCAACATTTCTGAAAGCTAAATGTGTAGCTCGAGAGCAAGTCAGAAACACTGAGAGTGAGAGAGATACTCACAGTGCCAGCAGCAGAGCACAGTTTGGAAACAGAGTCTCTCAGGGCAGAGAGCTGCTGGGCCGCTGCTGCCCCCCCCCCCCTCAGCCTCCATCAGCGTCCTGTGCAGAGCTGCTCGGTCTTGTTGCAGACTGCCCCCGTCCCCTCTGCAGGGGAAAGACAGGAGCAGATCCAGACTCTGACTCCTCACTGGAACCAGAAGCCTTCCAACACCAAGCTTTACATCAGAGAGCAGCGAGGCCCACCCTCACACTCCAACAGGACACCAGGACATTTCCCCACAGCTTGATCATTGCATTGTTTACATGTTTGAAAATAACTACACTGATATCTGAGCAATCTACCCGATAACCTCGAAGAACAACAAGGACAGTCATTCCTGCCATCTGCAATAACAGTGTCCAAAGTGTCTTCACACTTTACCTTGTACATTTATATTTATATCATAATAAAACTCAATGTCAATAATATCGTACTTCTAAATGTTGTTACTGTAGCTGTAATTGGCCCTTGGTGGTGTTTATTTGACAGATAGTCTCCAGGTAAATATCTTTCACTGACAATATGTATATATTTTTATTTTATTTTTATTTTCTATGTTGAGATGTTTTTATTCTATATGTTTATGTATGTTTATTTCCTACTCTTTTTCATTTTCACATTCTGTGCAATGCCTTGTTTACATGCTTCTGTTATTAAAACAAATTGGGATCTATAAAGTATATCTCATCTGAAGAAGAAGAAGAAGAAGAAGAAGAAGAAGAAGAAGAAGAAGAAGAAGAAGAAGAAGAAGAAGAAGAAGAAGAAGAAGAAGAAGAAGAAGAAGAAGAAGAAGAAGAAGAAAGAAGTGTAAGAAGCAAGAATAGAGAATAACGCAGAAGTAAGAAGAAGAAGAAGAAGAAGAAGAAGAAGAAGAAGAAGAAGAAGAAGAAGAAGAAGAAGAAGAAGAAGAAGAAGAAGAAGAAGAAGAAGGTTGCTGTGTGTACCTGTTGTAGTCGCTCTCCTCCAGCATCTTCTCCATGGACAGGCGCAGTCGTGAGTTCTCTCTCTCAGTGTGCTGCAGCTCCTTGCTTACCTCCTCCAGCTGCTCCTCCTGCTCCTCCATCACCCGCTGGGAGACACTCAGCTGCTCCGACTGACGCTCCAGCAGCTGCTCCTTCTTCCGCAGCTCCACCTGCACACACACACATGTGCAAACACACATGTGGACAAACACACAAGCATTGTTACTGATGTCCGCGTGTTCTTTACCAAGGCTCCATCTATTGACATCATAGTGTGGTCATTATAACTTGAAAAAGCATGTACTTCATTGAACTCTGTCTAATTCATAAAACTGCATGTGTGTGAACGTCCACTCAGTCATCATTTAGTATGCACAGCTTCTTGACCCTTAAATGTGCAATCACATATAAATATGATGTAACATATATTGATTGGTTTTATCCATATAACACCCATATTACACATGAAAACATCGCCTTAACAGCCCTATTACATTGTTATTACATCAGTATCACAGCCGTGTTACCCTGTTGTTACACATAAATATACCTCATAATTACACTGTATTACACCTATATTACTCGGTTATTACACCCATGTTACATCATGGTTACACCAATATTATACCCATAATACACTGTTATTAGACCCATATTACGCCCATGTAAAACCAAATGACACATGGACACAGCCTGTCAAATGACTGGATCCCCAAGAATACAGAAGCCATTTAAGGGTTGACTCCACATCATCAACAACATGACATTTGATCAAAGGAGGCACCTCAGCAGCCTTCTCTGGTCTTATGGAAGTATTCAAACATCATTTACTTTTTGCACACTTTATTTGTATACAGTATAAATGCAATGTAATTAAAGTAGCATCACACATATTGTTGTGTTTCAGGTGCACCATAGTGGCAAAGATTTAAAAAACAAAACAACAACACAGAGACTCAGAGGTAAATGGTCCACCAATTTGTGTGCAAAATAAAATAGTTTCAGCTAGAAGCCATGACAAAGAATATTTGCATTTTCTTACAGGACCCAAGAGACATGATTTTTGATTTCAAATGTCAGAATGTACGCAGCAGAAGTTGAGTGAACAACTGGATATGATCTTCCATGAGACCCTACCTGTACATGCACCTACTTTCAAACTCTATGTGCCAAGCTTGTAGGACAGCTTTCATCATACACATGTTGCCATAGGGTCACTAACTTCACTTCACATGACGAGTAAACGGATCACCGTAGAGAACATCAGTGGAGGGCCCTTTAGCATTCACTATTGGAAACACTGCTATCAAAAAACTGAAGCAAGTTGTAACTTTAGAATGATAATTGTAATATAATGACATCTAATAACTGATTTGAAACAATCACTGCATACAAACAAGCAATGAAGCATATATCAATGTCTGAAATGCAATTAAAAAAACTAATATGAGGCCAATAAAATGCAAACTCTGTTTATGATGTGAAGCCTGGTGTGTGATGCTGACCTGCTCAGATCTTAGTGGACACGGGGAAAAACTGACCTCATTCTTCAGAGAGCTGACCTCAGTCAGTAAGCTCTCGATCTTCCTCTCATACTGGCTGATCCGCCCGTGCAGCCCCTCCTCTTCCTCTGACGTGAGGTCAGCAAGTCGCAGCGCAGACTGGGAGTGTTCAGGCACTTCATGGAGTGGGGGGGGTGATCTCAAGGCGGTGCGTTGGACCCTTAGTGCATATTACACTGTCAGTAACACAACATCTTTAACTGCAGGTGCAATATTTAAAATCTAACAGAGGATGGTATTTAGGAGTCATTTGAGTTTAGGATGTGTTATACCTCCCACTTGTATGAAGCGTCCCGTATGGAAGCCTTTCCCGGTGGTATCCATGGAACTCGAGTTTTGACCTTGGCTGTAGGACGGAGGTTTCCCCTGTCCACGTTGGTCTTCTCCTTTAACACAGAGTGCAGAGAGAGCAGCAGCATGTCAGCCCTTTACGCTGCATACACACTACATTGCATGAGAACAAATGTGTACTATAAAATATATATGATCATTCAACTGATCACCATTTTCCTTGTTTTTGAGATATCTTGTTTTAACAGTTGCTTATATCATTTGATTTGAATTGTATTATCCTTGTGTGAACTCTTATCTGTACTGTCCTGTATTTCACTCTCACTCTGTTGCTGCTAGAACACCTGCATTTCCCATACAGGGATCAATAAAGGTCCACCTTATCTTATGTTATCTTACTACAGAATGTTGAGTTTCACACAATATCTTAACTTTTGATCAGAAAATAAGAATAAAGAAAAAGATCCAGGGTACATGTCCTCAAAAGATGCACATTTACAATATGAAATTAAAGTCAATACAATAAAGACATGCCAGCATCAGTGAGTGTGTGACCTGAGGCTGGCTGGCAGGACTCCTCTGGCTCTTCACGTGCACGTGGACCGGGGTGGAGTCGCTGATGTGAAGATGGATTGGAGGAGAACTTGACCGAGTTCTCATTGCTTTCCTCTGTGAAACCATTCCAAACTATTTAACATCACAATGTACAAGATACATTAGAGAAGGGTGATAACATGAGTTTTGAGGGGTTCCAGGTATTATTATTAATAATGCACAATTACAAAATATGATAGACATTTTCTGTTGAAATACATATTTATAATGCTCCTAATGTTGCTTGTGTAAATGCTAGCATGTCAAACAGGGATGGAGAGATGTTATCTTAATCTTAGAGGCAAAATCAACAGAATGACAAAAATCGGAGATTATGAAGTGTATTTTGTATTCTCTAAGGCGACTTTTGACATACGTGATGGAACAGAGTAGAATATTGTTCAATACATTGATGAAAAAACATTTCAAAAAGTTGCAGATTCCACTAACAATGACAGTTACATTAGGTTTCTAAAATCCACATAGGCAGTCAAAGCTATCAAAATCCAAATTATAACAAATGCACTGACAATATTCTAAGTTACATTAGACATTCGGCAATTTATGTGGATGATTATGTATGGTGTAACAGTCTTAAAGATACAAGGTAAAGTAGTTTAGCCAGAAGTAGCTTACTGTACACAATACATTAGCCTGGCATCGGCTTTAGCTTATTAGCTACACACAACACTCTAGCGTCTGTGCAATTGACAAACAAATTATCCGTCTTACCATATGAGAAACCAAATTATATTCTTCAGGACTTGAACATAAATGTCATAGGCAGAGCACCGTTTTTAGTTTAGGAGGCAAAATGAACAAGTTGACATAAACATAACATGACAAAGTCTGTTGTAGTGAAGTCTTCAATGCGTTAGAGTCTCTCTGGTTGGTCAGTTTAAAGCAGGTGACATCTTTCTCCAACATTGATTGGACCAGAAAGGACATTGTGACGTTCCTTAGCAACACACAGCTCAACAAGCGTTGGTAGTATCAAAGATATGCAATGTGTCAAGATGAATCCCACCCCATGTATGCACATCGCATCAAAAGCTACACAGAAACGCGCAGAAAGTAAAATAATAGCCCTCTTACCAGGTGAAAGGAACTGATAACAGAATGTTTTCTAAATAACTGTAACTTTGTTTGCGGAAACTAACTTCCAAAATGCACAATCAACAGAAAACCTACTCATTATTTAAATGTAAGCCAACGAGTAATGTGTGTGTGTGAACGGTATTTGTGAATAATGTCCCTAACGGCCCCTCATACGTATCCATCAGTCCCACATCCTCTCTATCCCTTCCCTGGAGACACTTGTGCAGCAGCATGCCCGTGGTTCCATATTGTCTGTCCTAGTCCAGGGTTGCGTTCGAATACTCCAAAAAAACAGCTCCTAAGTTCTAACCCTATCGTCTATTCCTTGACCTCGGAGTGAAACGTCATGGGGTTAAGGGATAGTGGATAGGAGAATTCAAAAGGATTTAGGAGAAGAGACTGCGGCACTTTAGAGAATCCGACTGCACTTTCACTATCCGACGTGTTTATGATGCGCCAGCGGAGGTCATAAATGTGCGTCTGCTGCTGTGGGGAAACTATGGAAACTACAGTTTTCTATACAGCGGACTACAACATGGATGTTTAATAAGAACGAGGGACTACTGTAAACTCATCTAGAGACTCTGCACCGTGCTCTGATGCTGTTGTTTTATGCTTTATGAACAGGGACAACAGAGAAACATATTCTTCATGACCAAAGTTGGAATTGAAATAAAAAAGGAAAGTGAAACTTATGCTCGTCTCCCTCTCCCTCCGGTCCTCATTAATACAAATGATCCCAATACGTATGATTGTATGAAAATATCTTAAAATCAATACAAATGTATTTATTATAAACGTTAGTCCTTAACATCTATCACTGTGTATATCACCATTCAAACATCTTTTAAAAGTTGAACAAACCCCACACAGCTCAGTAAAGACTGTGAAATGTTGACTTTATTTGATCATTTCAGTAAAAACTAACGTTCATATTTCTCTTTTTGATTATAATACTGATGAACGTTCAAAACAAAGCACTTTGGCAACTTACCACATACGTTTTAAATTGCTTAATAAGCACCGTAACTTTATACCGATATCATTTCTCGTTCATAATCGGTTGTTTCCGTGAACGGCCGACTGTTGTGTGACGGCAAATGCTGCGGCCGCAAGGCATTGTGGGGCAGCATTTTCTCCTCTCCTTTCGGTTAGGAAGGTCCAGTGGTTCCTAGGCTAAAGGAGGTTATAAAGGAAGTTTGAAACCTCCTTTCCTTTTAATTTAGAGAATTCGAACGGCACTTATCATGGCTGCCACTGAGGGACTTCCGGGTCATTTCACTCCGTTAGGAAGGTTCCTAAGCTAAATGGACTATTCGAATGCAACCCACGAGTGTCTCTGCTTCCAATATAATTGAACCGGGCGACGTCTGAGCCAGTATGACTCTCGTGTTTCCGATTTCACTCATTTTATACTGTATTGATTGATTGATTGATTGAAAAGTGTATTAACAGCTTGTATATTGGGTACAGTACAGTACAGCTCAAAACATACAATTGTTAAGGGGATGCAGACCAGAGAAAGACTTTCGTCTTGTTTACATCAGGGTCCCCCATTTCCAATTCATCATATCATTTAAGACATATAAGACATATTTGACATACAGATGACTTATTTACAATTTACATACAGGTGGTTTTTTACATACAGATGGCTTATTTACAATTTTCATTTTAGATTTCGTTCTAATACATCCTAACCGGACATTTAAGACATACCAAGTCTACAGATATACAGTTAGTAACAGAGTCTAAAATGCGAGTATATACATAGATGGGGGGGGAAGCTGTCCATTGTACGACAGGTTGAGATTTGTACCATTACCGGGGCCAGTTTTGCAATGCTCTCCCCCGAAGGTGCTCTTTAAGAGAGGTTTTGAAGGTAAGTATAGTTTTACTTTCCTTTACAGTTGTGGGAAGAGCGTTCCACCTTGATGTGGCATAATTGCGAAACGTGTATTCCCCCTTTTTTGTGCCAAATCTGGGTTTTACATGATTTGTGGAGCTCCCTCTGGTGTTATGATCATGGTATTCCTTGACCTTTGGGAAGAATTTTGACATGTACATGGGTACCATAGAGGTGTAGTGGATCTTGTAGACCAGGCCCATTGCAAGTAGCTGTACTCTGTCATCTACTCTAAGCCATATAGGTTGTCAAAGTGGGCAGAGGTGAGGTGGGTTCTAGATGAAAGGTCAAGGTCTGACCAGTTTATTTTGCGATGTTTGAAGTTTTATTTTTAGCGCCTTGGAGGTGCTATGGATGACGTGCAAGCATAGTCATAGTACCCTTGAATGAGTGCTCCTGCCAGAGTTTCGTATATTATATAAAGACCTAGTGACCATGTACATGTATACATATTGAATTGAATTAGTTATAAGAATATAGTATTTTCCAGTGTTTCAGAGCACCAATGCACCCTGCTCTCTGCTTCCACCCAACAATAAACTAATTTGTATTCTTGTTTTGTCAAGTTTGTAAGATAGCCACCAATGTAAGAAATACATCTGTTTATATTATGCAGTGTTTCCCTCTCTCCCTGCCATGTCAACTCCCTGTGGCACTGATCAGGTGTGCAGGACTGCAGGTTCATTCAGGTGAGGAGAGAGGGGGCCCTGGGGAACACAGGGAGAGGGAATTATTTGCTGGGGGAATCTTTGGTTTGGTATGAGCGGAGGGAGAGGAGGCCTGGCAGCTTGCTGGAGGGAACTGCTTAGATTTTAAGTGTTTAGCTCTAAGTGATATTTCAGGCTGCTAAAGGAACATTTAAACCCAAGGATTCTGAGGACCAGAGGACGGAGCAGCAGCTAGAGTATCTCTTCTATTCCCTTCTGGACTGGTGAGTGCATTCCTTTTTGGATATTTGTCTTCTTTTTGCAAGGCCTTGCTCCACTTGGATTATACTTTTTCCTTTTTTGTTGAGTGACATTGGATTATCCAGCTGATTTAACCCTCCTGTCGTGTTCCTTTCTCCCCCCTTACTTTGGTGTTCCTGGTCAAATTCCATTGGTCTGTTTTAAGTGCTCTTACATTAACACAAAACCAATGAACACCTTTTAAGCTGTAAACAATGTCTCAGACTACTGGTTACATGAATAACTGCAGTGAAAATACAAAGAATAGACACTGACAATGTGTTCCTAGATTAGCATCTTTGATGAATTGGTTGTGTACTCTGATGGATGAACATAATGTAGGGTCACCCATTCATTTCCTGTAGCGGCCATCTTTGACCGGGAACCCCATAGAGGTGTTACAAATTTTACTAGACCTCTCAAAATTCAATGAAAGTGGTGATCAGCAAATGTATATGTTCACATTGTTACTGTGGAGGATATCATAAGGCATTGAAGCAATCAAATGTAAAACACAATATTTATCATTGATGGAAGTATAGTAAAACGGTCAGATTAGACCCGAACACGACTGGGGGACTGAAAAGACATTTGAAATTGGACATTAGTGTTTGTTTGAAAACGTTTGGTTAAATAAATAGTCTTTGAGATGCGCGTCAAAGTCTCGTTTGAGGGGGAAATGGGTTATTCAGAGGCAGTGGCGGATATTTGATGTTTGAGTACATGTGTTTAACTTCTCTCGAGAAACTAAATGCAACAAAGCAGTGTTATATCCTTCCCAGTCCCACAATGAAGACACTCACTGTTCCTTTTATGAAGCCAAATGTTTTTATTTTTTTATTATTGGCTCTTTCTGGCAACACATTAAAAAAGATCTTGGTTGTTAAGAGGGGAAAGCAAGAGTACACCAGTCTTTGGCACTTTCTATTCTAAACAAACATGCTGCTCACAGAGAAATCATCGGTGCATTTTTTTTTTTTTTTTAAACAGTTTTTAAAACACATTTGACATTTTGACACTGACTGAAAATCACAATAAGCAAGTCACACATATTCCTGTTAAGGAAGGATGCACCCATCTTTTGGACATTTATACACAGGTATAAAAAGATAGAAATGACCCCTGCACATCTGGGGGGGGGGGGGGGGGGATTGATCAGCGGGCAGTTATTGGTGTTCCCAGTCAACGTGCGCTCCATGGGTGTGTTTCCGGTAGGTGGAGCGGGGGGGCTTTGTGCTTGTGGTCCATGTCAGAGACACGTTGACTTCCTTCCTCTCTGATCCTCTCTAACTGCCAGGTTAATGAGTACTGTCTGTCCTGCCTCTCTTCTATGGAGCAAACCTTATTGTAGCTAGACTCAGATCATCTCTGTCTATCGGAGTTTCATCTGTGAAGCATGGGAATAAAACACAACAAACCCAGACATGGGTCCAGAAACGGAAGTCGGTATATTTGATATCCCAAAATCTCAACAAAAAAAACAACAATTCTTAACCAATAAGGCAAAAACAGGTTATTATACATGAATCAGCACAAATATATCTTAACTCGCTGTTTGTAAACTGCTCTGTGTGAGGTCCAGGCTGTGGCTGCAGGAAGCCTAACATGTTGCTGAGTCAGCGCACACCATGCGTAAGGCTTCATAATTCTGTTGTTCACACAAGCTTACAACACACAACTTGTAAATATTTTGTTAGCATATGATCATTAATCATATTCAAGTTATCTAAATATATCTTTATATGTTGATCGCTCAAGCTATCTTGTTCATCTTTTGGGCCAATGTTGGTTTCTTGTTTAGATAAATTAATATCTTGCTTTTGCACATAAATATTTGTTCACAAGAATAGTGGAGTCACAAAAATAAATACCTTGTTACTTTGTGCTTTCCCAAATGAATATCTTGGTCCTATGTGAAAACACATATTAGCTTCAGGACTGTGTAATGTGTTCTGATCAACACAGGATGTAAAGCAGGGAATGCCATCTGATCATACCCATTGACTCATTGCACCATATGCTGCTGGGTATCTTACATCACACTAGACAATGAAAGAAACACAATCCTTTTCAAAGAGCTCACGGTTAGGCGAGAATACAATAAGCAATTTCACTGTCATACTTTTTTCTTAGCGGGTGACCACACTGGTGCTACATAATAAATTATGTGGTTATGGTTGTGATTTAAATATGAAGCACAGAAACCTTCATCGTCATATTACTGATCAGAGTACAGTGTCACTTCACTGTTTGGGATATTTTCCATTAAATAATGCTTATTTTGTGCCTTTAGGACACATTTTTTATATTTTAGAGTTCAGGGAACACACCATTCATTAAAATGTTATAAACATATAAACACAAGTGTTTGAGACTTAACATACGAACTTGCAATATTTCACAGTTTAAATGACATTTCTTATTTTTTCCTGTCCTGATTGATGTCCGAACATGTACATTTTTTTGTTGCTATTCCCTCAGAATGGAGTATAAAACATGATATGCATGGTTTTAGAGCACCGCTGGCTATACAGCACAAGGATTTCTAATGCTTCCACACATGTAACTCAACATGCTGCATATTCAAAACTTTTTGGAAATCAGCCAACACGCTGGACACATTTCAGGCAGAGGCTGTTCAAAAGGGACAGCTCATGAAATGGTTGAAATCACAGAGACGAGTTCAACTGTAAAAAAGGTCCCGGTGAGACGGCTGGCATGAAGAACTCTCACATGGAAGGATTCTTTTCCTTTTCCTTAAAGCACAACAACTACATCATAACACTATTCAACTTAATAAAGTGCAAGCTTACAATATATGAATGGTCATAACTGTCAACACAATGTGAAGGTTGATATTACAATACAAAAGAACAAAGTGTAGAAACGGCTCAATTTCCCAGACTAATGTCAAATGGAGAAAGTGCAGCAGTGTTCCTCTGCCTCTCTTCAAGTCCTTGGAAAGTTGGAATGTAACATATTTAGAAAAGTGGCCGAAGAACAAACTGGCCTCTGACATTTTGCTGCTCCTTAAGTTCAACTTCATATTTCATCAAACATTTTATAGACTTACTAAATACTGAACAAACACATCTGTGCCAAAACATCGCCTTACTCCAACCATGTCAATAAATATAGTACACACTGAAAAATAGCATTCTGTTAACATTTCAGAAAATTCATAAATCTTAATCCCAACCAGCGGACGTGGCTACTTCCTGCTGCGCTCACAGTTAGCCTCACTCAATGACCTGTCGCTGTCACACAGAAACCCCCCACACACACTCTGCCTTCAGCTGCTCTCTACTTTGGTGTATGTTAGGGATCAGAATTCAAACATGTGAAACTGTCCATCCAAATTAGAAGCCTGACAGTTTAGCTAGCAGACGGAGTCGTGCCGGAGAAAAATATGTTACACACCGACAGCTTTGAGCTATTCTAAGACCCATTACAAAGGTGAAGTTTGAAAGGATAAGGCTTATTATCTATTAATCCCATAAAAGGCAGAAACCAAAGGAAGTTCCTGTTAACAGGAATCGGTGGTCTGTGTATCCAAAGCCTGAAACATCTTCCTCCTCTCCTGCTGACCGGACGCTCACCGGAGCACTACGGTATTAATCCTCCTCTTAAAGTAGTCCTCAACAAACCCACTAGTTCCTAGTCGTACATTTGGAGTAATGGACTAAAAACTACAAAGACCAGGTGTTTAAGAGATGTTATGACATTTTACAAACAAAAATGTAATTAAAGATGAGGGTCTTGATGGGCTTGAGGAACAGGTGGGGTAGGAGAAGTTTTGAGAGAGGGGACTGATGAACTTGGACTTAGAAAAGGAACAGCCTTATCCTTTATGCTAAAGGGAAATGATTTGGAGTCATTAGATATCTGGTACCCAAACCAACGCTTGGCCCTAGTAATGGCACTAAAGGCCAACGGGTCATCCAGAAAGTATGATAGTAGTTTTTTTAATTCCTTGTCTTGACCTAAATCTTCTGATTTCTTAAGATTCGTTTCAGCAAATCAGCTATTTCCTGTAAATCTGGTCACTGCTTGAAATATCCTTCTAACTTTTACAGTACGGACAGAATCATGCTGACAGACCCTGCCAATCACTGGGCTGGCTTTTCTGTAGAAAAATGTATCTGGTAATTGTGGAGATTCTTCTGGTTTCCAATGACCACTGAAGTAAGGAAGCACAGCTCTGTAGGCTCTCCTATCCTCCTATGAGCTGAGTGTCAGAGTGACTGAATGTCTGACAGCTGACTACTGAAATGCTACGTTCTACTGCAGAACAAAACTCAAACAAAGAACACAGTAGGGGAACCAAAGGCTGCTGTCTCTGCTGGGGGGGCACTCTGTCTGTCTGAGATTGTATGCTCAAACATTCTGGGATTTGATACTTCTTATATCAGTGCCCAATAAATATCTCTAGAGTGTGGCTGCTCAGGGAGAGAGGAATGAGTGATATTACAGGAGCTGGGCCAGGGGAGAGGCCAGGGGAGAGGCCAGGTGAGAGGCCAGGGGAGAGGCCAGGTGAGAGGCCAGGGGAGAGGCCAGGGGAGAGGCCAGGGGAGAGGCCAGGTGAGAGGCCAGGGGAGAGGCCAGGTGAGAGGCCAGGGGAGAGGCCAGGTGAGAGGCCAGGTGAGAGGCCAGGGGAGAGGCCAGGGGAGAGGCCAGGTGAGAGGACAGGGGAGAGGCCAGGGGAGAGGCCAGGTGAGAGGCCAGGGGAGAGGCCAGGGGAGAGGCCAGGTGAGAGGCCAGGGGAGAGGCCAGGGGAGAGGCCAGGGGAGAGGCCAGGTGAGAGGCCAGGGGAGAGGCCAGGGGAGAGGCCAGGGGAGAGGCCAGGTGAGAGGCCAGGGGAGAGGCCAGGGGAGAGGCCAGGGGAGAGGCCAGGGGAGAGGCCAGGGGAGAGGCCAGGGGAGAGGCCAGGGGAGAGGCAGTGAGCACGGTCTGAACACACAGCATCAGCAGAACTATAGTCACAAGAACAAGTTCAAATGAATATTAAAATATTTTAGATGTACTGATAAATGTGCTGGTATTTATATGTTGATCTGTGCTTTGGTCTACTTTTAAATTGTTATCGTGAAAGAGTGTATGTCATAAATGTTTTGTGTGTTCCTGCCCAGGGACTGAAGATGGAAATTAGCTCAAAGTTCAATCTGACAAATCATCTCCTCTTTTTTTTTTTGTGATGATTGTTTGTTTGTTTTTATGTATGGTCCTTGTTCAATTAAGACACAATAATTAAGAATAAGTAGGAGTATCAGTGTGTGTAATAAGATGTTTCCAGTGGTCCACTTCACCATGCCGGCTGGTGGAGCGCTGCAGGGTGTCTGTATGATCCACTGCACTGAAAAAACTCAAACAGCGACTTTAATGAAATGCGTTATGTCAACAGATTTCACATAACTGTAATAGGTTAGTTGAAAGCAATAATATTAAGCTGAACCTAATATTTTTCAATTAAATGTAATATTAATGCAGTTTAAATCTGTTGACATAATACATTTCGTTAAAGTCAACGTTTCATTTTGTTCAGTGTAGATACTGGCTTCACTTGTCCTAAAAGAATGGCTGGTTGGAACTCCAAACAAGCCCTCTGATGTGATGGGACACATAGAACATGCTATAACAGTATTCAAGTTAGCCGTGGTGCTGATTGCTTGTTGGCCCCCCCCCCCCCTCAGCCGGGGCTCCTCTCTTATCACTACATTCCATTTGTTGTGTTACCAGTTCCTGACAAAGATGGCAGCGTCTGTCAGCATGAGGCAGTGGATACATGGTGGAGGTAAAGCGTCAGGAGTAGCGCGTCTGCAGGAGGAAGATGAGTGGAGGCCTTCATCACTTAGCTCAGAGGTGTGTGGTGTCATTAAGTAACAACAGAAAGGTGCATGTTGACTGAGAATAAATGCATACCACTCTACCTTCCTTCATCTCGTCTGTTATTCAACTAGATTGTCTTCATTTGTTGGCACTACTACGAAATGTACAGGCGCATGCAACACATGCACTGGCTCCATTTACCTCCCAACCCCATGCCATTTAACCCTACAACCCTTTCATATCCTCAAAGGCAGAGGTCATTCTATGTGGAATAAAACAACTACATGGAAACCTCTCTGTCTGTTGGCATGCAGTCACAGCACAGTGATGTGGGAAAGCAATAACAACCCAGTTTAAAAATGGACTATTAAAAGGTGATAAAAGGGATGCTAGTTAATGCAGAGAGTGATATCTTTACAACAATGGGGAGCTCCAACACACAACAGAACCTCATGCACCCCGCCTGCTACACGTGAAGCTGTTCAACAGCTGTTTGGCAAATACCAGGAAAACACTTTTTTGGTGAAATATTTTAAATTTCAACCTCTGTGCGATTAATCTGCTAACATTATTCTTGTTGTTCACATTGACAGACACAGTGAAGGCTTTTGTTCTCTCTGCTCAGCCTATAGATAGATAAAGTCACACAGGCTGTCCCAACCTTCACTCTAATAAACATTCATAAATACTATAAGAAAAAGAAAAGACTGGCAACAATGATCTGATATTGTTAGAGGCTGCAGATTGTTACTGTACACTTTGATGGGGAATGATGAGTAGAACAGCTTTTGCAGCCTCTCACTTGTTCATTCACACCGACGTCTTACGTGATGCTTTATGAGATGATTTGAGCCAAGCTTCTGAGACTCAAAACGGGAAATGTATAGTATATCATATTCTCTGGCTTTTCCATGTGAACATTAATGTTGCACTACATTTGCTCCCACAGTTAAATGCAAGACATTAGCGTGTTTATGCTAAAAAACATTACCTGTAAAAAAAAAAAGAAGAAAAAACAGAGAGCTGTGAGGGCGCTGGCAGTGAGTCTGTATGTACATGGTGCCATTCTGCCCGGTGACAAGATGTTAGTATGCTTCCAGTGAATCATCCCAAAATAAGCTCTGCACGTCCAGCATGGTGGCCAGCTCCAAAATGTGCTTCTGTAGGAGGCTGCTCTCCACTGTGTCCTGCTTCGGGAGCTCAGGGTACGACTCCGGGAAACTCTGGGCCTCCTGCAAGCACACAGAAATAAACCTGTCTTAAAGGGCCCATGTCATGCTTTTCCAGTTATTACCCGTCCCCTTGTGTGTTATGAAGGTTTTTATGCATGTAAACGGTGTGCAGAGTCAAAACCCTCAAAGTACACCCTGTAGCGAGTAAAACTCTAACACAGAAAATACCTCCCCAAAACGCCTCGTTGGAGATACGTCATTGTCCATTTGATTCTTCCATTTCGTTCCGGGTACGGCATGATGTCATGCCGTACCCGGAACCAAATGGACCAATCCGTGGAGCCGTTGCGTTACGTCCGCGGAGCCGTTACGTTAAGCCCCCGCTGATTGGTCCAAATTGACCAATCCACGGACTTCCTCACACACACACTCAGTGCAGGCAGCTCAGCTGATTTCTCTCCTCCCTGGCTGCAGGCTGATAACAGACAGTTGGGATCGCGGTGATATTCTCTCTGCAGACCCATTCTCACAGCGTTTAGCAACCTTTTTCTTACTCAATATCAAGACACACTTATTGTTTTTACTTCGGCTGTGACTTTGTGTGTACTCAGGATGAGTTTGGCTGTGTATCGCTAACAAGGAAACAACACCTCCACGGAGCTCAGCGCGATTCACAACGTCCCGACCAATCAGAGCACACTGTGCTCACAGGGAGGGTGGGGGCTGGAGCTATTGGAGCTACAACGAGCCGTTAAAGGCAGAGAGTGAAATTCAGTGAATACACGTAGTTTACAGAGATGCTGTATGAGAAACCAACGTGAGTTTGGAAAATCTATTCTAGTAGACGTCAACAATGGAATTATGATCAGTGGAAATGGCCATGACATGGGCCCTTTAAAACAGACACTGACAGAAGCTCTGCTGTCATTCTTAGCTGCTGGGAGTTCTTCAGGGGTTTACTGTGGACAGAGGTCTCTACTGCATTTCAAGATACCAGAAATGTAGTATTTGAAACATATCCGTGATATTCCACGATCAGTGGTGTAAAGTAATTAAGTAGATTATCTTCAGACCCTGTACTTAAGTACGATTCTAAGGGACTTAGTATTGGGTATACAGTAGGAGTATTTCAATGTTTTGCTACTTTGTACTTCTACCCCACTACAATTCAGAGGTAAATGGTGTACTTCTACTCCACTACATGTATTTAATACCTTTAGTTACTTTCCAGATCTGGATGAATGATGTGAAATATAATCAAGTGTTAAATCAGACTTTAGTTCCACCTGGAGTAAATTCACAAGCTACCCTGCAGTATACAAAGTCATTCAAACTAGCTGCACCTTTACCAGCTTTGAGAACACTTTCATGATCAATCATTATAAAACATATATTATATATTATTCTATTTGCACAATGACTACTTTTACTTTTGGTACTTTTACTTTGTTTTGATGCCAACACTTTTTTACTAATTTTACTTGAGTAACATTTTGAATGTAGGACTTTTACTTGTAACAGAGTATTCCTACACTCAGTACTTCTACTTTTACTCAAGTACAAGATCTGAGTACCTTTGTCACCAAAATATACCATGTTCTTTAACATACACTCCTTTATTATCATTTATAAGTGAAAATGCAATGTATTGTGATTGATCATGTTTAAAACAATAACAAAGTTGCAATGAGGGTTCTCCAAATGCCATGATGCTCTGTGAGATGCACTTTGCTCTGAAGAGTCTGACGTGTGCATCAGTGTGGGTTAAATGTATAGTGTGTTGGTATTCTTCCGAAGAGGGACAGCCTTTGGCATCCAAACAAACAATGAGACTTCCCGAGGAGACGCACAGCACAGAGACTCACCCGGAAGAGTTTATGCAGCCTCAGAGCAGCGGAGCAGAACACAAAGCGGATCAGGAGCAGCCGGAGGAACTCGTCACCAAAGAATTGCAAAAAGGCTTGATCTGTGGAGACAGTGAGAGATGTAACTCAGTTAGTGCTCAGGCTACTTATTGATACATTGATTAGTTGACAGAGGGATGAAAAAGTGAAAAGGGGAGAGAGCAATGGGAAATGAAGAGCAACCAAAGTCCCTGGACCCGGGGACACGGCTGCTAAAGAATCGGGATCACAATCCGTTTTATCACCAAGTAGGTTTACGCATACGAGGAATTTGATTTGGTGTAAATGGTGCATACAAAGACACAGAAAGAAGAACATGTTGGTTTTTGGAAGAAAGGAGCAAAAGAATTGTACTAATATAAACGCTATTTTAACTTTTTTAAAGACTATTGAAACAAAATAAAAATAAAGGCAATATTGACACACAAAATAAATATGTAAGAAATTGAGTATAGTCATATCAAATAAAATATGACAAATACTATATTGCAAATACTATGTATTATATGTTCACTAACTCATGTTTCACTAGAAAAACAAGCTATTCAATTAAAACATTTTCCTGGTGGACTCTTTTATTTCATGTCTGTTAGTATGTCAAGAAAATGAATGAGAGATGTGCTACCTATAGTCCGTGATCGAGTTATCATTTGCCCGATGTCATGGTAGACTTTATGCAGAAATTCCTGCGCCCTCTCCCAGAGGCCGCGGTGCACACTGCTCAGGCCACACACCGAGGAGAAGGCCAGCAGCGGGCTGTACAGGAACAGAGTGAACAGACTGCCCCGCTGACACTGATCTGAACAGGACACACACACATGAAAACAGTACATCACACACATATTCTCTCTATCGTTCACACAGAAACTCAGCTAAACGCTGCCGTGATTAAACGCCATATTATATTCCAAACCACATCAAGCATTATTTCTGAAACAGTATGGAGCTCAAACACTTTCTTTCTCACAGGTTTACCACAAGGTGAGTGAGTACCTTTTATATCTGGCTTCTTTACACATACTCTCAGTACAGCGTTAGCTCTGAGTGTTAGCGATGCTTGCTAATGTAAACACAGACCATATTACTTCCAAAACAGGTTGCGCATTATTTCTGATACAGCACATAGCTTGACATGTTCTTTATTCAGTGTTTACCGGCAGAACAGAGCCATTGTTCGTATTATTTATATAACAACTTTACTCTAAGTCCCTCCCGTAGACATCCTGCTGAATACACAGACACACAGCTGAGGGAGGGGATTCAGCTAGCGTCTGTATATGGGGACGATAGGTTGGGACGTGGGGGGGACGTTGCCAGGAGTTCAACGTAAAGCCAGCCCACATTTTAGTAATGATGTCAAGTTCTCAGAAAATCTGGATCAGCTCCGTTGTACCCCCGTTTGAAAAGATGTGGGTAAGGAGGAAAAGAGAGAGGGTAGTATTTTCTGACACTTTGTGGGTCTCCTTACACACCGGGGACACATATTTATGTGTACCCGATTTACTATCAAAAAGTGCATTTTGTATAATAGGCAACCTTTAAATGGTTTCTGTATTCTGTGGGATATAATTCTGTGTCAATGTGTAACATGGGTGTAACGTAATCGTACTATGGATGTCAAATTGGGGCAATAACAGTATAATATGGGTATAAAAAAGGTGTAATGTTGATGTTATACGAGTGTCATATGGGTGTAATATGGGTGTAGTAATGGTGTAAAAAGAGTGTAATATGGGTGTAAAAACAAAGGTGTAAAGTGGGTGTAATAATAGAGCAATACTGGTGTACTAATTGTGTAATATATTGGTGTTATACGCTGGTGTTAATGGTGTAATAACAGTGTATTATCGGTGCAAAATAGAATAAATATGGGTTAACAATATAAAAATGAATAAGAAAATAGCAATCAATTATTTTCCAAATGATTTATACGTGCTTGCCCATTTAAGTGAAAGCAATTACACATAAAAGTCCACCTAACAATGTGAATACATCATAAAAATAAGAACACACTGCAAATGGAAAACCAAGGCGTATGTTAGCACATTAGGGCTGATTTCTTTATCAAGGTGTGTGTTTCATTACAATGATGTAAAACTGTCAGCTTTTTGTTAACTTATATCAAATGCCTGGTTTATATTGTATATTTGTACCTTTGTCGAGCACCATGAACACACACACACACTGTACTTGTTTTCACTCAATCACCAAAGCAGGATGAATCAGTTGCTGAAAATAGTCTACATTTAACACATTTCCACCTGTCTAGATAAGGTTTGATAACTAAGTTATGTAACTAACTAATGTATTTGTTTTTGTCTGGAATCTCCACCCTCCTGCTCATATAGAGGCATTTCTGATTGGATGGTGAATCAGAAGAGCCAGAAAAGCATTGCCTGGCTTGCATACTGCAACATGTGATCAGATGCACAGGATATCCTGTGCATTGAATGCTATATATGTTGGATGTACCGAATGTTCTTCTGGCATACAAAGTAGAATGGTAGTAGAATGGTAGTACAGGTAGTACAGGTAGTACAGGTAGTACAGGTAGTACAGGTAGCCCCCCCCCCCCCCTTGCAGACACTGACACTGGTCTGTTCATGTGATTTGTTGACAGTAAGAGTATATCAAATATATCATCAGCTCTATCATTTAGTGAAGTGTTGATGTAGAGTGACACACACCTTGCACACTCTTGGGATATACAGTAGGAGATAGTAGGCACACCAGAGGCTGGCCAAACAGATTGGTGAAATGCTATAAGGACAAACAAAAGACAAAAAAGTCAGATTAATTCTAAGAATATACATTTACGGTCAGATCATTCATTCATATACACAATAGGGTTTTTAATCCCCCCAACCCAATAATATAAACATTCAGAGAATCATAAAATATATGATTATATATGTGATTATTCACATTATTTGGAGGCTTCGGTGGATGTGAACAGGGAGTGCAATAATGCACATATTCAGTTGGTTAGCTGTGGGCTTCAACTTATCCCCGTGGTTTTCTTTGCCTACATTTGTTCATATTTGACAAATTGATACCATTGAATGTATGCTCAATGATTTATAAGCAAATCCTGTTTGTAGGGTACACTTGGATGTAAAGACGACTTCACTGGATTACTCTGACACTGAAGAGAACTTAAACACATGATAATGGTCAGGAGGTTTTATGGGGTAGGTTATAAGTGCAAGTAGGTTATAAGATGATGATATCAATGGGAAGTGTTAAGTCACACTGAATCTAAACAAGTGTGTCAGGTCTCAGGTGAGTGAGAAAAGCTGTCGGAACATGTTTACGCACCTTGTAGGATTTGCTGTTTGTAGAATCCACAATTACAAAAAGTGGTTTCCGGGTGAAAGGGAATAAGTCTCCTGGATGAAGGCTGCAACATCACAACAGGTACATGTCAGGAAGCTTCTGCTGGCTACATATGGTTATATGATATCATTAACACTATTATTAACACAGAGTGTGGGCAGCACACATCTGACTGAAGCAGATCGGATTTAGTCCCAAACAGAATGTATTCTTGGGTTAGGTAGTAAAGGTTAGTAAAGCAGTAAAGGTTAGTAAAGCAGCATTCTTCTCTTAAACATGGACACATATTCAACTTTTGGCTTTCCAAAATGTTTCTAAATCAACATCTTTAAGAAGTATAATACATCTATAAAACAAATCAATAATCACCAGTGCATTTCTTTCTGGGCCTGATTCCTCTTCTGCACCGTCTCTCCGTTCACCACATCTCGATTTGTGTTTGTGAGAACTCCTCCAAAGTCATATGGTCCTGTAGGACACGTTTGAATAAGACATGAAACACATGATAAGACGTGATGGACTGTAAAATAAAGATGATGGCTTTCTACTCAGTGATTGCTTTTTAAAGACGTTGATGCATTAGAATGGGCGTCACAGTTATACAGGTTAGTAGGAGGCGTGTGGCGCAGTGGATAAGTGCGCTGGTGTTCGGATCAGGGGGGTCACAGGTTCAAACCCCACTGCAGTCAGCATGTCGTTGTGTCCCTGAGACACTTCACCTCAAAGTGCTCCTGTGGGGATTGCCCACAGTATAGAGTATGTTAGTAGCTTTGGATAAAAGCGTCTAACATGTAATAGTGGCACTTCTATGAGAATAACCCTCCTGTTTTCCGGGCAGACTTTTGGGAGATAATATTCTGTGATTACAGGATTTAGCGCTACGATATCAGGAAAGTGTTTCAGATATGGAGAGAAAATGTTGATGATAGTTGAACCGTTCTTATTGTAACTGTGAGCCTTCGGTTACAGTAAGCGAAAGTCAAAACAATCATTAACTATTTCTCCCCATATGAAGGGACATGCTGCACATCTGCATTTGTACAACATCCAATAGGATTGCCCTCTTTCTGCAATGACCTGTGATTGGTCAAATGCCCTGTTGGGTGTAAGCTTGTCTAAAGACTCAAAAGAGCTTTCTCCCAGATCAATTGAGTTACAATATGACGAGAGGTAATTATGACATTTAAAAAAATAAACTGCCAACCCCAGCTTTAAGGGGTTGGCAGCAACGTAACATTTTGTAAACTTCTGTTAAACTACCTGACCATTAAGTGGTATCAAAGTCAATCAGGAGAATCAGCTTTGCTTTACATGACTGTCAGATCCAAGTACAGCTTCCTGACTTTATGTATGGAATACATGACATTATTAGCTTCATCATTTATTTTTGAAATCTCTTAGCATCAGTGACAACTTTTGCAATTGCTGTCTTTATTAAATAATAATTATAAGAGGGAGGAAGGACCCCTCCTACATTTTTGCAGCAACTTTTCATTTTACATTATTAGAAAGTGAATTGTGTTCGTGTTTGATAAGGTCGGAAAGAGCAAAACATGAAACCAATATTTTCAGATGTAGCCTGTCTGCTATGGATGCAGCTAAGAGGCTAACGCACCCATTCAGACAACCTTTGCCTGTTAAGTTGCCAATGTGAATTATATATCATTTAATATTATGTTTAAAATATACATTTGTATTTATTAATTTCAGAACACATAAGTAAGATTATGAGTTGTGTTCATTTAGTTACCTTCATAATCTGAATGTCCGGTGGGGAACACTCCGGTCGCTGACAGGTAGACGAGCAGAGCGCTGTTGGCAGGCAATTCCTAAACATGAGGGCAATGAGAGAAAAAAGATAATGTCGCTAAGTATACTTTAGATGGAAGGGCTAAATGTACTTTCACTGCTGACATGAAATTGTTATATTAAAATAAAAGAATAATGGGCAGGAGAAAATCTAACCAAATATTGTTACCAACTATGAGAATCTCCCCCCAGCTGTAAAAAAAACGTTCAATAAAACTAAATAATAATCTGCATATATACCGTATCATGTGGTGAATATACGTGACAGATCGTGGAGATATTGTACGTTTTAACCCAGAAGGTTATGAAGAGCGAACACTGACCTTAAAAGAGGCAGACAGGAAGGTATAAAGCTGGCTGAACGTGGGCTTGTACAGCAGATACTTGTGAGGGTTTTCCCTTTTAGCTGGCTTCTCATTGGGTTCCTGTGGGAAAAGGGTTTCAAGAATTACTGTTCAAATGTCATTCCAACATTTCTGTATGCTTGGCAGGATAGTTAGTCTTGTGGAGGAAATGACGTGTTCTTCACGTTTATAATCCCTAATCAGTCAGACACCACTGGCCACAGTTGAGTTTAAGTGGGGATGCAATATTATTTGATTTCAACCATTTTTCATCAACTTTGTTCTTTTTTAATTAATGTATTTAATCTATTAATGTATTTGTTATTGTTTTTATTTTTTGGGGGGAGGAAGTGACATTTGAAATGTAGTGTATTCAAACCCCCACTCATTCAGTAAAAATAGAATTATATAAAAGGGGAGAAAAAACATTGGCCAAAGTTGTAAGGGAGGGATGTATCCTCAGAATGCAGATAAACATGGGGCCACAAAGGGACTCTGCTGAGGGGCCCTGGGACACTCTGCTGAGGGGCCCTGGGACACTCTGCTGAGGGGCCACAAAGGGACTCTGCTGAGGGGCCCTGGGACACTCTGCTGAGGGGCCCTGGGACACACTGCTGAGGGGCCACAAAGGGACTCTGCTGAGGGGCCCTGGGACACACTGCTGAGGGGCCCTGGGACACTCTGCTGAGGGGCCCTGGGACACACTGCTGAGGGGCCCTGGGACACTCTGCTGAGGGGCCCTGGGACACTCTGCTGAGGGGCCCTGGGACACTCTGCTGAGGGGCCCTGGGACACTCTGCTGAGGGGCCCTGGGACACACTGCTGAGGGGCCCTGGGACACACTGCTGAGGGGCCCTGGGATACTCTGCTGAGGGGCCCTGGGACACACTGCTGAGGGGCCCTGGGACACTCTGCTGAGGGGCCCTGGGACACACTGCTGAGGGGCCCTGGGACACACTGCTGAGGGGCCCTGGGACACTCTGCTGAGGGGCCCTGGGACACTCTGCTGAGGGGCCCTGGGACACACTGCTGAGGGGCCCTGGGACACTCTGCTGAGGGGCCCTGGGACACTCTGCTGAGGGGCCCTGGGACACACTGCTGAGGGGCCCTGGGACACTCTGCTGAGGGGCCCTGGGACACTCTGCTGAGGGGCCCTGGGACACACTGCTGAGGGGCCCTGGGACACTCTGCTGAGGGGCCCTGGGACACTCTGCTGAGGGGCCCTGGGACACTCTGCTGAGGGGCCCTGGGACACACTGCGTCCTTTATGAGACCTAACAAGAAGATTCTTTGGTCGTGATATTCTGTTCGGAAAGTAACACAACGTTTGGTTCTGTTTGTTAGATAGCTCAGCATACAGCTTTATTGTCTGGCAGGAAGTCAAACTTCACACACACTGATGTCATTGTATGTGAACCAATCACAAACAGGCTTTTGATAAAAAAGGCTTATCCACATATTCTGTGAGAATATAGCAGAAAGTAAGACTCTTGAATGAATCTTTAGCTAATGGCTTTTCTCTTTATGTTGTTTAAACAATAATTCACCAGAAACACAGCCTCCCAAGAGCACTCTCTTCAGAGCTGACACTCACCAGCGCTCCCTGTTTGGAGGTCTGTGTTGCCAGGTTTACAGGCTCCCTCTCCAAAGCTTGAAGCATGCGGAACATATCGATGGTTAACTCACTGAATTTCACCTGAAGAAATAAGGAAACACTGGCATTACCTTACAATACAGAGAACTGTGGAGAATGATATGTTAAGCATTGGGGTTTTACAGATGAAACAAAAGTTCAGGCTTAGAATCGGAGGATGAAACCCTCTTTAACTCTCACACATACATGCACACAGCACACAGTGACCTCTGCATTTAACCCATCCTAGTACCAGGAGCAGTTTGTTTTAGTACACAGAGAGTAGTTTGTAAGTAAAAAAAAAAATGAAGAATTTCAAATGTGGTGTTGATCCCGATGCTGTAAATCAGGGGACAAAAACACCACATGTCAGTAGTCATATTAGCGGGCCTGGAAAATGTGAAAATGTTCCTACAGTTGTCATGTCAACATGCTGTATAACTGATTAAACAACCAGCCATGATATTGTCTACTACAGTGAAGTATCAATTTTACATTTACATTTTTTTAAACTCTGATTAATAAAGTTGAAAAAAATATATATATTTTTCAAATCAATCAGTTGGCAGTGATGGAAAGTTACTTAGTACATTAACTCAAGTACTGTACTTACACATTCGAGGGACTTGTACTTTACCCGAGTATTTTTATTTTACACTACTTTATACTTCTACTCCACTACATTTTGGAAGCAGATTTTTTGTTCAAATACATTTTCCCAACAATACTTAAATACTTTTACTTAAGAAGCATTCACTTTAACTTGAAATTGAGTATTTTTACAGTGTGGTATTAGTACTTTTACTCAAGTAAAGATTCTGACTACTTTGTTCCACCACTGTCAGTTTGAAACCCCTCCAGGCCTGGCCTACTACTGCTAAACAGGAGGAAGCTGGACAATGCAAAAGTTCTTGTAAATCACATTTACCGGCAACAAACACGCCAAGTGTTTCTGTCCTGTCGAAGAAAGCAACAGTAAACTAAATATTAAACAATGATTTACTTTCTGAATGACTGAAAAGGAATTATCCCTTTGAGCAGCACATGGCAAGCAGCATCTATCTATTAGGACATGCATATCTATCAGAAACTGCTTGGTCCTCACAGGGATGACACTATTATTAGGACAAATAAGATGAAACATCAGCAACCACAGAGCTGCAGGTAAAACTGGAGAGTGCTTTAGGGCAGTGGTTCTCAACTGGTGGGTCGCGGACCCGTTTCGAGTGGGTCGCAGATGTGAGTGACATTTCTTTGGGGGAAAAAAATGAATTTCTTATTTTTTTTGGGGAAAAAAGTCAAACTTTTATTTTGAAGGCCCGATTTTCTAACGCTGTGCATGCATAAACGGTTTTGAAAACTTCTGTCACGTAGTAATCATCTTCTCAATACAACATCTTTGCTGATGTTTTTTCGAGTCTTCTGGCCAATCAGAATCAAGATTGTTGCCGGAAGTCCCCACGGAGGGGTAGAACTACTCTTTATACATCCATGGGTACAACTTAGGGCTGTCCCGAATACCATTTTTCGGGCTCCGGATATTCGGTAGTAATCAGCAGCGAATATTCGGATATTAAAGTGGGTCCGAGGCCTGACCAGTTGAGAACCACTGCTTTAGGGGAAATGGTGTTTTTAATATTGTTTGTTTGAAAGCCAACAAACTGTCTTCTTTAATAAACTGGTCCACAACAGTATTGATGTGTAAGAAGTGTGAATTAGAATTAGAATTAGTGGGTTAAAACCTGGTTGTTACAGTTTCCGATGATGAGTGCATCTGCAAGCACAAGCTGCCCCACCACCATTCCTTGCTCCAGCGGGGGCACACTGCCCTCCTGCAGACGGTTGCTGTTGACAACCACAGAACTGTTGTCGTTCAGAACTACCACTGGATCTGCCTGTTTGGTAAAAACAGAGAAAAACAACAATGACCCACAACAGACCACTCACTCCAGCCAGATGAAATGTTGCATTAATGTGTTACCATCAGTAACAAACCATCAGTCTTGCTCTGTAACAGGTTAAACAGTTATGAGATATTAAGATAGGCTAAATACAGAACTAAAGAAACCTCAGGAAAATCTAATCAAACATGGATAATAAAATAGACAACATTGACAGTTTCATTTGGAGGTCAGTTACCTCTACAAAAGCTGCCACTTCCTGTAGAACCAGGTTCCATTCCAGCTGGTCCTCTGTGTTAAACCTCTGTGTGTAATCTTCAATTTCCTCAGATAACTCCTGCAGGTAGCAAACACACATACATTTCAAAGAATGTCATGAACAGCTACAAACACAAACACTTATTTTATAGTTTTAAAGTTGGACTTCTGCTTGACTCACAAAGTAAGATCTAGTACAGGTTTCATATGGCAGTCTCACTCGCCCAGTATTCTAAATGTCTAAAGTGGAGCCTGCAATCAGAGTTTGGTTTGTGAAGCCAGTGTATCTGTTTTGATGTCTGACTAAGAGAAACACTCCCCACATTCTCTCTTCTCTATGAACAACAGACGTTTTGTTTGATCCACTTGGCAGAATGAGCCGCTCATGCTGGGTTATAATGAGGAGGGAGGGGGGTTTAATGGGTGAGGAGTTTCTAGTGTCACATGAGGAAGAGAAGGACAATTCTTACTTAATTACCCAAATTCAATCTGTCAGTTCTGTCCTAGCCCCAGCCCTTAGCTTAAAGTTAGCATGGACCTCCACAGCATTGGCAAATGTAATGGCCCCCTCCACAGCAAAGGACCCCCAGTCCCATTGATGGGGAAAGATAATTCTCCAATCTAAGCAAGTACTTTCAGTGTTTCCTTAGCTTTTTTGCCAAGTGGATACAACGTGTACAACTGTGTGTGTACACTGCCACTTCCAACACACACAGTTGAAAGTGGAGATAAAGACCACTGGCCCTACCTACCTATTAACAGAGCACACACACCTGGAACAGCTCACTTCAACCCTGAAGGAAATCAGGACCCTCTCAATAAAACCTGCTCTCCTCTCCTGCACTACAGCAGCCTGGTAGACCCCCCACAGCAAGAGAACAACTGGATATGATCAAACGGCACCATGTTCTTTCTTCTGTGTGTTTCATTCCTTTCTTTTCTGTTATTTGTTAGTATTACTGATGTTTGTTGCAACTGCACTGGTATCCCATGTGGTAAATGATTGTGTGTGATTTGTTCCATTTACATTCTAACATCCTTTTGGCTGTCCATATCCCATAGTGAGACACTGAAAGGAATGATTTGAATGATAAAGGATATACAAAGACGCAGGAATGTGTCCATGCTCCTCAGGAGTTTTCATCACTTAGCATGCTATAGTTAACTGAATGACATACCTTAACTAAAACTTTGACTAGGTCCATCTTGTTCAGCAGTAGACAGACGACTATGTAGCGAGCATAATATCGAAGCTTCTTCACTACTAACTCCGGCCTGAGGGAAGATAAGTCAATATTACATTTAGATCTCAGACAAACCCACGTTAAAGAACACCAACATTTGTATTTCTTCGTTGACACTTTCCGACGTCTGAAGATTACAAATAGTTGTTTTCCGGCACAAACCTGATCATCTTAGTTTGCCATAAATATATTATTGAATCATCAACAAACCCCAAAACACATCCAAACCAACATCAAATGTATCAGCTTCAAATGAATGTGTGTCATCATTCCTGATATATACTACAGTGTTCAGTTGTTTCAAGAAATTACTTTTCTAAAATCTACTTTTACATTCACGACATCTTTGATAGGAACCAACACGAAAAAAGCATTCACCTTGATCGGTTTGTTTTTTCTCTTCTTCTATGCTTTCTTCTATATATTATCTAGTTGGTTTATTTCTCAATTTGTACTTCCATTTCATTCATGGATTCACCTCGATTCCTGTTTCCTTTCTTCCTTTCCTAGTTGGGATTTAGGAGCCGTTTCTTTTCATAAATGTTGTAGACAGGTGTTTGAGTTCTTTCCTGCAGGTATGTATGCATGTGTAGCATGACGTTATGTAAACCTTTATGTGTGTATGTTTTGAATCACAAAAACAGTCAACTTTCAAACAATAATGTCCAAGCTGTTTACTATAAACTAGGCAAAGGCATCTACTTCCTGATATTGAGACTCACAGCATTTTAAGTAAATATTGTTATACATATTATATAAATATATATAAATATTGTAACAATGTACCTGTCCTCTTTGTTGACCTGGAAGTAGTAGGAGCGCTGGCGGATGGCTGAGTAGAAGGAAAAGGCCTCGTTCAGGTAACTCGTTTCTGAGGTACGAAGGCTGTCAATCAACATCAGAAAGGTGGATTACTATCTCTGTGTAGCATTTCAAATACATTCATTACATTTCAATCACTCTCAGCTGAGTGTTTTTTTCTACCACACCCTCTTCACTACGCCAGTGTCAGTGGTGGTGTTAGAGGATGAAAATATGAATAGTGAATATGCCAATAATGTGTCATCAGAGCAGCGCTGTATTGTGGAAGAAATGGTTTTTACTGAAGTTATGTTCCTAAAGTAAAGCTAATAGACCCTGTAAATGCAACATGAAAATGACAAAGACAATAGAGAGTATATTAGGCATATTTTATATTTACTGTCATTTACAACAGAAGATGGCTTTGAACAGAGAGGCAGTCGGAGAAGATCATTTTCCAAACAACTAGTGACCAGTTAAAGTTCCTGTGCCAAAACCTGCCCCTTACAATCTCTGATAAGCTATACAAGTCAGTGAGTTGGCCATGATGATATGCTGAAGAGAAATCATTGTTTATATATGAACACATTTTATTTAGGTTAATGTCAGTATATGTCAGAAAAGTGGAGAGTACATGACCTGTCAGACTGGACCATTTGGAATTCTAAGTACAGGAACATTGGTGAATGCCAATAAATCTGTTAAATCACTCGAACCTGCCACATATGAACAGATCTGATGAGTGGTTCTAGCATGAGACCCGTTTTGTGTATCCTTGATACCTGATGAACATCCTGAATGCATTTCCTTCCTCATTAAATATGTTCTGCATTATTTGCATCCATGTTGTTTGTGGCCCAAGTATGCTTTCGGGGGTTTCCCTCTCCTGTAGTGTGTTCCATAGGTTTCTGTGCATGTAAATGGTCTGCAGAGGCTAACATCTCTGTATTCCCTCCAGAGGGAGATCTGTTCCCTTTACCCATCCACCTTTTACTAATACCTTTTTACGGACAGTGAGACAGTGAAAGCACTTGGTGATGTGCACGGTGGAGACATGGATAGACTTACTAGTAGTGGTAGTAAAGCTGTCCAATTTTAGAAGCAACCTCTCCAATCTGCCATCTCTTCAAGCCATACCGGGTGTCCAGAACCTGCCTGTCAATAAATAAAAACAAACAACACTGAGCAGGGAGTGTGACAAAAGACCTTTTGACAGTTATCACCCTATGTATCTTTTGGTGTATTTACTAAGAGACACATACAACATATTTAATAGAAATAGGAATATGGGGAACACCAGTCCTTACAACTGTGTGTAAACCCAGCTAGGGTTTCAAATGACTTCATGAAACACCCAATATGTTTTACTTGGAAAATTGAAGTGATAAAATATGAAATGGGTTGAGAGTAACAGATTATATGTAACTGGATAATGTAATCAGAATACAAAAAAAGGTATGTTAAGGTATGTGTATTCAAAAACGGATTTAATCCAATTACTGGTACATTCTTTAAAAATGGGGATTACTAGCAGGAATACAATGTTACAAAACATTTAACAACAAATAAAGATATATTAAAGGTAGACATACTGCCTGAATTTTCTTTTTGGTTTTAATTTTGACTTTCATTCTTTTTTTTATATTTAGTTTTTTGAATGCAGTAAATAGACACCCTATTTATCAAAAAATAAAACTGTGTTAACTTTTAATTAAAGTTTTAAACTTAAAAAGCTATAGTATTCTGTAGGACTTGCAACTAGTAATTGTAACGAAATAAATAGTTATAGTATCCCTCCCAACCCTGAAGATGGAGTAACCTGTGCTGCTGCTGGAACTTCCACAGCTTAGTGTACACGTCAAAGGTCCGTCCGAAGTACGACTGCCACTGCTTGTGTCCATACTGAGGGAGGTCTCTGCAGCAAAGAGCACAATAAGGTTCAGAGGAGAGAACAGAGACAGTCCCATACCCAACATGTTTAAATCCTCTCAGCTCCACAATCAACCACTCTGCTATCAAAGGAGCGCTCAGCGTTCGGGACACAGCTGTCAGCAGTGACTGTGCTTCAGCTGCTCTGCGTCTGGAGGCTGTTCAGGCTTTTTTACCACACCCTACTCATGATCAAAATAAATGATTTGCACATAAAAGAGAATCCTTTCAAATACCTAGCTTAGATTCATTTACATTGACAGTTTGGAGAAGTTTCATTCTCATTTTGCCCATTGTAGAACTCAAGAACCAGTTCCCAGTTTCAAAACATATTCTTTGGTTGTTCACAAAGTCTGGCTCCCTCCTCGGATATGATGCGAGTGTTTCATTTTGTCAAAGGATGGATATGATGCCAATTCCTTGCCAACCATGTTTTATTCCCCCACCGCTTGAGTCTCATCAGCATCCTTTTAATAAGGGTTTCAAGTTTGTTTTATAAAGGATGTTTTATATTTAGAGAAGTAAATATTATTTTAACTGTGCTATTGAACCCTCAAGATAAAGACTGTGTCTCTTTAGCCTTACAACATCTCAGAAAAAAAATGACATTATTTAAGAATCAAAATAGATAGAGAAATTAAACTAAAAACAACAATCATCAGAAGGAATTATGGAAAAATGTAATTGTATTCATGATGAATTTCTTAATTGTTATTATTAAATGTTTAAATGGCATGTCAATGAATCTGAGATGGCAGTGTATATAAGTAGGACAGTGGAGCACACAGTAATCATATCCATGGTTTCAATAGGGCAGCAATGCACAGCTGATCATTGTTTCAATTCAATAATCACAAGAACAAATATAGTAAAAAAAGTAACAAGGAAACATGACTCCATTCGTCTCATTAATGTATCTTGCATAAATAAATGCTATTAAAGAAACTGAAGTGCCACTTAAGCCAATAAAGAATAGATACAATTGTTTGGGTAGATATTTAACATCACAAAATTAAAGATATATATATTTTAATTGGACCCCTTTACATTCTGACAGTCAAGCCATTAGTGTCTTACAGGAGGCTGCAGCGTCTCCGCGTCTTACAGGAGGCTGCAGCGTCTCCGAGTCTTACAGGAGGCTGCAGCGTCTCCGTGTCTTACAGGAGGCTGCAGCGTCTCCGTGTCTTACAGGAGGCTGCAGCGTCTCAGCGTCTTACAGGAGGCTGCAGCGTCTCCGCGTCTTACAGGAGGCTGCAGCGTCTCCGCGTCTTACAGGAGGCTGCAGCGTCTCCCAAGTCTTACAGGAGGCTGCAGCGTCTCCGCGTCTTACAGGAGGCTGCAGCGTCTCCGCGTCTTACAGGAGGCTGCAGCGTCTCCGAGTCTTACAGGAGGCTGCAGCGTCTCCGCGTCTTACAGGAGGCTGCAGCGTCTCCGAGTCTTACAGGAGGCTGCAGCGTCTCCGTGTCTTACAGGAGGCTGCAGCGTCTCCGTGTCTTACAGGAGGCTGCAGCGTCTCCGTGTCTTACAGGAGGCTGCAGCGTCTCCGAGTCTTACAGGAGGCTGCAGCGTCTCCGAGTCTTACAGGAGGCTGCAGCGTCTCCGAGTCTTACAGGAGGCTGCAGCGTCTCCGTGTCTTACAGGAGGCTGCAGCGTCTCCGAGTCTTACAGGAGGCTGCAGCGTCTCCGTGTCTTACAGGAGGCTGCAGCGTCTCCGTGTCTTACAGGAGGCTGCAGCGTATCCGAGTCTTACAGGAGGCTGCAGCGTCTCCGCGTCTTACAGGAGGCTGCAGCGTCTCCGCGTCTTACAGGAGGCTGCAGCGTCTCCGCGTCTTACAGGAGGCTGCAGCGTCTCCGAGTCTTACAGGAGGCTGCAGCGTCTCCGTGTCTTACAGGAGGCTGCAGCGTCTCCGTGTCTTACAGGAGGCTGCAGCGTCTCCGTGTCTTACAGGAGGCTGCAGCGTCTCCGTGTCTTACAGGAGGCTGCAGCGTCTCCGCGTCTTACAGGAGGCTGCAGCGTCTCCGCGTCTTACAGGAGGCTGCAGCGTCTCCGTGTCTTACAGGAGGCTGCAGCGTCTCCGTGTCTTACAGGAGGCTGCAGCGTATCCGAGTCTTACAGGAGGCTGCAGCGTCTCCGCGTCTTACAGGAGGCTGCAGCGTCTCCGCGTCTTACAGGAGGCTGCAGCGTCTCCGTGTCTTACAGGAGCCTGCAAAGTCTCCGTGTCTTACAGGAGGCTGCAGCGTCTCCGTGTCTTACAGGAGGCTGCAGCGTATCCGAGTCTTACAGGAGGCTGCAGCGTCTCCGAGTTAGAGCCAGAGTTAATATCATGTACTAGCTGGTTGCAAAGGAAGAACAATTACGCTCAAAAGATTAAAAAAAACATGCATAGCCATATTCACAGGGTCACAGCTAGCTACAAGGTAGTTTTTAGAGGAAAGGAAAATGAAGCACTGATTGAACTTAAATATAATAATAATGATCATAATGGCACGGTGGCCCTGAAGTGCAAGACAATACAGCATTTTCTTTTTTAATAACCATTTTTCCTCCTGGTCTCTCGCCCCCCCCCTGTCATGCCTCTGCGCCCCCCACTTTGAGAACCACTGGCTTAGCCTGATGGATCTGATTCCATTCAGAAAACACACATTTTAAAAGGTTTTTCGCCTGCCGTCTGTCTGCAGACTTGCCAAAGCATTAATTCATGGTTTTTACTAACCGGTATCAGTATGTAGTTACTTCGGCATCATTTTGAAACGTGTATTACAATTAAATCACGGTCAAATATGTTCATTTTGTTGTAGTTGGTATCTCCCATAGGATTTACAGCCGCGGTGAAACTCGAGCGATTAGAGCGATGCGAATATTGGGTAGTCTACCATAGTATTTACATGGAGATAAGCCCCTTAAAAACCATGAATTAATAAAGCATTAATTCATGTTTTTTTCGCATCGCTCTAATCGCTCGAGTTTCACCGCGGCTGTCAGCTGTGTTTACTCCTGTCATTCAAACAAGACGCGCTGGGGAGGGGGCGGGGCATATCTCTATGTAAATCCTATCGGAATCGGATCGATCAGGCTAAATGAACCTGTAGCTGCTCCGTCCACACTCACGAGTCACAACAACGTCATACAGACATAAATACACCAGCGACTGTATTCGCCATGACACAGACAGTCTGTGGTTTGTACATGTTTAGCTTTTGTCCAGTTTCTGAACATATATGGAGCTGTGAGCTCTGAGTGTGTGCTAACAGCTAACGGCTGATGTGTTGGGACATGTTGCGCTGTCGGGTGCTGACCAATCACGAAGCGTCATTTCTTGACTGGCAGCTAAAACAACCAATCACAGCAGTGCTTCTCTGGCTGGCTCTGTCCAATCACAAACAAGAAGTGTTCTCCCTAAAGGAATACCCTTTCCGTCCAATGTGAAATGCTGTAGTGTTTTCTGAAATGCTGTAGTGTTTTCTGAAATGCTGTAGTGTTTTCTGAAATGCTGTAGTGTTTTCTGAAATGCTGTGGTGTTTTCTGAAATGCTGTGGTGTTTTCTGAAATGCTGTAGTGTTTTCTGAAATGCTGTGGCGTTTTCTGAAATGCTGTAGTGTTTAGTGAAATGCTGTAGTGTTTTCTGAAATGCTGTAGTGTTTTCTGAAATGCTGTAGTGTTTTCTGAAATGCTGTAGTGTTTTCTGAAATGCTGTAGTGTTTTCTGAAATGCTGTAGTGTTTTCTGAAATGCTGTGGTGTCTTGCACTTCAGGGCCACCGTATAATGGGTTTCTGGCTCTCACCAACACAGATGCCCCTTTCACACCGGCGCTTTTCCAGCTCCTGCTGGGAGCTAGAGCCTGAAAAGCGCCGGTTTTTCCTGTTCACACCGCAGCGGCGGCGCGTCATAGCTCCGGAATGCGGTTCACTTCCAGCTCCAAAAAGTTGTCGGTCCAGAGGCAAGAGCTTTGGAGCTATGACGCGGCGTCACTTACGTCGAGGCGTGCAGGAAACCTTACTTTGACCATCCGTTCGCTGTTATTGATCATTGTGGAGAGCAGGCAGACGTTTTGTTTGTTATTATAGCAGCTATCGGATGGAATCAATACATGGGCTGTACAGGTTGTCATGTCCGACTATCACAAGTAGAATCATAATGAAAAATACGCCGGTAAAAAGTGCCTGGAGAAAACGGCTTAGCAAGTAGTCAGTTTAGCTTCGGTTGCTATGCTAACATCACCCATGTTATACCAGAGAAACTTTCATAACAGCGTTGTGATGCCAAACAGCGTCAATTCAGACTGACACACATTCACTTAAGGGGAACTGGGGATATGTATCAGCTGCTTGTGTGACAGTCAGACAGTGAATACTTTAGAGCCGTGTGAGCTAACCCGGAGCTAACAGGAGAATAAACTCCCGTGGAAGAGCAGCCAGCACTGCAGCGGTCGGTAAATGCCGCTGAAACACATTAATAAACAATGAACCACGGCACTCTGGAGAAAAGTATAAGGTTGGAGAAGTCGTTATTTAATTTAATCTGGCTTCGTATGATTAAAAGCAACACGATCGTCGACCCGACGCAGTCCCCGGCCCGTTGTTGTTGTGGGAGAAAATCTCTCGGCAGCTCTGGGCGGTGTGAACAGAGCGGGAGCTGAAAAGGGAAACCGGAGCTGAACCAGAAAAGCTCTCGCTAGGAGCTAGAAAGGGAAAAGCGCTGGTGTGAAAGCCGCAAGAGTGGTTGTGATGTGAAGAGCTTGAGTTTGATGTGCAGAGAGTATTTTAAACAAGAAGCATCATTTTTGCAAAACCCCTGACTTGGTTCAATGCCAACATTTAAAATAACTTTAACATGATTTACTGTCTGTGAAATGCTGGCTCCTTTGTACATATATTCATGGATGTAGTAATACAGTATCTTATTATGACATTGGATCAGGCTCCCAAGTGAATGGTAGTAATAAAGACAGAGAAGAGCCTTAGAAAGGGTGGTACTGTTAATAAACTAACATCAATGATACATTTTGTATTTAAGCTTAATTGTATCCAACAACACAGTGTGGATTGTGTTGGGGCTGGAAGTAAGTACATCCTGCGCTGCAATATAAACAAAGTGTTTAGGGGTAGTGAAGCCATCCCGACCTACAACTGGCACTGTGAGTCAATGCTCGATTACAACATGCAGTCCAGCAGACAGGACACAACACAGGAAGTAGAAACTGACCTTAGCCCATTGAACAGTTGTTTAGACTTGTCCAGGAGATAGCAGAAATCTGTGACAGTCTTCCTTTCGCCTAATGGAATATCATCCTCATTCTCAGCCCCAGTCATGACACTGACTTTTCACACCTAAATTACAAACAAACACAAATACTGTATTTACAATGAAGAAAGATCCTGCATTAAAAAGATACAGGTTAGTAAGGTTGTTGTTTTTTTAAATGGTAAGAAATATTGGAGTGCAGCACTTGGCAACTCAGACAAAGTTCCATCACAATGTGAACTACTTATGATTCTTTAACGCATCAAGCTATAAAGATTAACTTCAACCATTTTCATAGGCAGGCTATTGCCACTTAACAGACGTTGCTGGTGCCCTAATTAAATATGAACAGAAATGAGAAACTATGGAGGCAATGCGTCACATGGTCACCTTTTTTAGGTTGTCTTGGGCTGTCCCAGATTCACTCTCACAGTGGCTGCAACCTCCACTCTGATAAGACTGATGTTCAATCAGGTCAAGGCAGCACGCAGTCAGGTCACAATGTTCCACTAATGCAGGGCCTTTTGAAAAAATAGCTTATTCTGCCATGGAAATGAATGATGTTAGCTTCATGGATACTACCTTTGGGAGATGTGGGTGTCTTTTTGACTATATATATATATATATATATATATATATATATATATATCTATACATGTGTATGTTAGGGCTGCTCAATTAATCGTATTTTAATCGCAATTACGATTTTGGCTTGCAAACGATTATTATTATTTATTTATTTTATTATTGGTTTTTCAGTTGAATTATACTTAAAGTTCAGGGTAATCAACGGTTAAAAACATACTGTTCAAATTTCTTTTTTCAATAAATGGATGTTTTCAGAGATAATCGTTTTTAATAATCGTGATATCAATTATTGACCCAAATAATCGAGATTATGATTTTTGCCATAATCGGCAAGCCCTAGTGTATGTGTAGTATAGTATAGTTTACTTCTTACGCATTTACCTGCACATTGGTCACTTGCAACATTATCTTTCTGTACTTTTCTTCTTGCACAATTCTTTCAATTTTTATTGTTTCTGTCTTATATATATTTATTTTGCATTGTTGAAGGAGCCTGGGACTTCATATTATCATTGCCATAAATACACTGTAGCTACTGTGCATAGGACAATAAACAGTGTGGCGTATGTATCTGAGTAACACACTGTTATTTGAGAACTGTCAACATTTGCTGATTTATTGTTTCATTAAGAATAGAAAAAAATATCTGAAAGATCTAATTCAGTTATACAGAAAGATTTTCTCACGTGAACATGACAGGTCGTTAGGGCTATAATATTAGTGAGATGAAGAGAACATAACACACAGAGCTCTGAGGGCTCAGAGGCATGTCACTACAGACATGCATTACCAAGAGCACGATCAATCGAAAGCTGGTGCATAGTTTCTCAATGATTATCTTACGTTAGCTTGCTTGGTTGTTATACAGGTATGTTGACAGCAATTAACTCAGTAACATTAACCTACATGACGTTAACTAGCTACCAATGACACCAGGCTGAATTGGGTCGTGAGCCTACCCATTGCTCTGTATCTGACGGTAACCTGTTATCGTTGAGCCAGCCAGGAGACCACTCCATTAACGCCATGACAAAATACATACCTGGATATTAATGTGTGGATAAGAAAGATAACCAGCTGTAGCATATATGGGTCAGTTATAGAGGCAGGTCACAGGCTGGCTGCAGCCGCTAGCCCCTCCGCTTGTGTAATTCCCATTCTCCTTACCTGCTGCTGGAGAGGACCGCGGGATGGAGCTCAGCACTCAGTCACAAGCTGCCTCGAGCTCTGCAGGTGAAGCGCGCCTTTCTGGGCATCTCACTGTGTGGACCTGACACTGGACCACGGTACAACAAGCCGTACACCCCGCAGCGTGGCTGGCACCGCTGTCTGTTAATGTCTCTGTGAGAGAGGATGTAGTCCTGTGACAGGTGAGGAGCAGGAGGAGCAGGAGGAGCAGGAGGAGCAGGGGCAGCCGCGGGCTCCGTTCCACTATAACTGGCTAGCTACTTCCGGGTCAACATGTTACAATCAAAGTAAAGGTTACATCACGACAAGACTGACTTTATATTCTAAAGTTAAGCTTTGATGGCAGAGCAATAATACAGTATGAATATAAAAACTGAATCAAAATAGAATGTGTTTTTTAACTGAGCATCCCATAAATCGCTTTATTCATTCATACATTTTAAGCAAAATGATTCCTCCACTTCTTCTTCAGTTCTTTGGTGTTTTACGGCAGCCGTCATCCGTTGTGCTGCCCCTGCTGGAACTATCTCATCACTGAGTGCCACAGTGACGCGTCCTAAAACCCGGAAGTAAACTTCATCCGGTTCCTTCGACAAAAACCAATGCAATTTCTCCATAGGATTTGGGAAAATAGCTCGAAATAAGGTCTGTGGGTGACACACATTTAAGAGACGGATCACGTTTTGTTCAGCCGGATAATATCCACATGTCTACCCTACTTTTATAATTTTCGAATCATAAATCTAGTCGCCAGAAGCAAAATGCGAACGTTATGCTATAAACGAACTACAAGCGAGTACAGCAGCAGGGTCGTACGACTTCAACGTCACGCCAACTTAAGATCGTTTCAACTGACTTTCGCGCGCTTGCATATTTTAACAAAGCTTTTCCTTTTAGCCACACTGAATTTAACTAGAAGTCATGGCTGTGTCAATTACCAGTCTGATATCGTTTTACAAAGATGACAAGAAGAGTGTAGATAGAGGAGAGAACCACTATAAGTCAGGACACGTACAGCAGTGCAGCCTAGATGAAGGTGTACTTACCGGTGTTGTCAGGGCTAGCATGAGGGACAAGGTTTATAGAGTGTCGGTGAGTAGTGATAGCAAGAGTACCGTTAACCTAGAGTTAATTTATTCATATTAGTGACATTAATTCCCATCAACAAATCAATTTTATGTGTCACATGAAATCTTTATTACAAATATTACACACCAGAAAACACAGAAATATCCATGAAATAAACATATAGGATATAAACAATTACAAGGGATAATTGGGAAGGCATTACAAATGTAAATATATTTTAAATAATAAAACAATCCCACCACCACAGGTATCTACAGGAGAAGAGGGAATTTAGGGAACAGAACCTAAATAAAAGAAATAAAATGCACCCAGTGTAAAGACATAGTTTGAGTTTAACGATGAACTCAAAATGTAAAACAAAGTATGAAACATGTTTCTGGACATATGTGTTTACATGTGAAAAGACAAAAATGTTCTGCCACTTCTTTTACGAGAGGACGTTGGAAGTTCACTAGTGCGCAACATACCTGCACCAGTTTATCTGAGAAGTGCCTCAGGTGAGTTGGAATGAACTCTAGGATCCTAAATTCTTTCAAACGAGCATTTGCTCTCTCGACGTGAATCCTATTTTGTGCGATAAGCTTTGTAGCCTGTGCTTCGCTGTGTGTCAGTTGGCCATGACAAAGGAATGGGGGAATGTTGACAGTGACTCCTTAGCCGCTTTCACACCAAGTACTTTGCCGTACTTAGTGCCGGCACTTATGGCGCATTTCCACTACAGCGCGGAGCTCGCTTTAAGCGTGCCGAGCCGTGCGGGGCCCGTTTTTGGTTGCGTTTCCACTTAGCGTAGTACCGGCTAGCGGGTACTATTTCACAGTTTTTCTGGCCCCATAAAATCGAGGTTCTTTCCGGGCCAACAACCAGGCTGAGTCGGGTTGAGTATGCTAAACTAGAGAGAGAATCGCTGGCAAGGGGGCTACAACTACAACAAGATGAACATATTTGACCGTGATTTAATTGTAATACACGTTTCAAAATGATGCCGAAGTAACAACATACTGATACCGGTTAGTAAAAACCATGAATTAATGCTTTGACAAGTCTGCAGACAGACGGCAGGCGAAAAACCTTTTAAAATGCGTGTTGTCTAAATGGAGATCGGCTAAGCTAACGCAGTATATGCTCCGACCGTCCACACTCACAACAACGGCCTATACAGACATAAATAAACCAGCGACTGTATTCACCATGACACAGACAGTCTGTGGTTTGTACTTGTTTAACTTTTGTCTAGTTTCTGAACAGATATGAGGAGCTGTGAGCTTGAGTGCTAACAGCTAACGGCTGATGTTGTTTTTCTGGGGTTCTCATTGAAGATGACGTCACGGCTCCGCCTACACTGCGTTACTATAGATACTACCCCAGTTCCTAAACTGTAATGGAAATGCGCCATAAAGTGAGCCAGTCCTAACAAGGCCTAACGAGGCCTAGCCATACCGAGCAAGGCCGAGCGAGGCTGTGTAGTGGAAATGTGCCCCGGCACTTAGTGCCCCCATGGAACTAAGTACAGATCGCGTTCACACCGGAATAAGTTCCCTGAGGGAAGATTACGCAAATGAGCCGCTGACGTCACTTCTTCTTCTGCTTTGGGTTTACTGGCAGGCCGCAAACAACTTCACGGCGTATACTGCCACCCGAAGTCCCCGGCCGGAAGTCCCCGGAGTTGGGGACTTGCTTCAGTAGAAGCTGCTGGGACTCCCAGCAGCTTCTACTGAAGCCTTCCGAGTAAATCGCCAGAATGCCGACACCTCCTCATCACTCCACCGCTCCCATGTTTTTTTTTGTGTTGCCATAAGTTATTCTCTCTCCGTTGGTGCGCGGGGCTAATGCTAATGCTAATGCCACAAATACAATGGCGGCTTCACAAAACCTTTCAGAGTTTTACGGGGCGTGGACTTCTTTGGTACCACCTCTCTAGCAGGCACTAAAAATAGGGGTAAAAGTTCCCGGCACTAAGTACTCTTTTTGGTGTGAACGCAACATAAGGGGTACTAACGGAACTAAACGGGAAAAGTACAGGGAAAAGTACTCCGGTGTGAACGCGCCTATTGCTAATAATGCTAATGCCAGCAAATACAATGGCGGTTTCACAAAACCTTTCAGAGTTTTACGGGGCGTGGTTTGCAATTCGCCCAGCCAATAGAAATTGGTACTTTTTCGGTACAACCTCTCTAGCAGGCACTAAAAATGGGGGTAAAAGTTCCCGGCACTAAGTACTCTTTTTGGTGTGAACGCAACATAAGGGGTACTAATGGAACTAAACGGGAAAAGTACGGGGAAAAGTACTCCGGTGTGAACGCGCCTCTTCAGGAAGAATATTCTGGATTAAGAATCCCTTGTCAGCCAATATCAGATCTCCAGGTTTGAAATGCTGAAGAACACCAGAATCCCGTACTATTTATTTGTCACTTGTTGATCCTGGGTATAGTTTGCTGCAGTATGTGATCACAGCATTTGGTGCTACCCTGAGGAGTAGTTTGAAGGAGTGCATGCCACGGTAAAGCAGAGTAGGTCTCTTTCTGGATATCCATTTGCTTGGGGATAGCAATTTTGATGTCCATACAATCCACTATCATTCTGCAGTTTTGGATGTGCCGAAATGAAGAAGGCAAGCTGGTTTTTACCTGTGGCTGCAACCCGGAGCAAAGCAACAAACCATTGCGTAGCAATAGTAGCTAACGAAACGAACTGCCGAGTAAAATTATTCTATAATTTGTAAAACTGCGGTGTTAAAAACGACAATTTCAAAAATACAGATTCTAAATTGTACAAGTTGAAGCGTTTGTTTGAACAGTTTGCAGGAGGCAGGTACTTGCTTTCAAGCAGAACAGGGCAAACAAACTTAGAGTGTTTACGTGTTCGGCGTAATGACGTACCACGGCCTCGACAATTTCTGTAGTCCTATTCAGGCACTTGGTAACAACCATCGTTTTTCAGACACGTAAACTCTTCAAAAATCACCAGTGGGGTCACTGCTGATGTATTTAATGTCGTAGAACAAAACGTGATCTGTCTCTTCAATTTGTGTCAACCACAGACCTTATTTCCAGCTATTTTCCAAAATCCTATGGAGAAATTGCATTGCTTTTTGTCGAAGGAACCGGAAGTGGTAAAAATGCTAACTTACTTCCGGGTTTTAGGGCGCGTCACTGTGGCACTCTATTCTTTTTGCTATACCAGTGTATCTCTGAAAGAATTTCTTAATTTCCGTACTTTAGTATTGAATACCTCTTATTTAATATATAAATGACATTGTTAACCCCACTGTCCTCTCCCCTGCTTACTGTATTTCTTACTCTACTTTGTAAAGAATAAATATCACTAGACCCCTCTGTATAAGTATAACGATCCTCCATGCACTTATTTTCTATATGACAATATTAATTCACTTGTGAACCTTTGTATTTTTCACTGTGCCACCTGCTTTGTTTGGGTTTCTTCAACCTGTGTTCTCTGTATATTTTTTCTATTCAACCCTTTCTTTAATTGAGCACACTCGCCAGGATGGTCTTTCTCACCATTATGCTTCACAGCTAAATTGGGTATTTTTCTTTCTGTGGCTGATGCCTTTAACCTGTTTTAATCAGACTTGATTATTATGTAAGGATCACAATGACCATGACCTTTCCTCTGATGCATCCAGTTTAAAGTGAGTACTTTTCATAAGGATTAATGAATAATGCTTTATTGAAATTACAAAATGTGAGTGAGTAGAACTGTTCTCTGCTACAAAAACAAGTACTGAGCTGAATCTTGAAGATAATGTCTGTTAATTCTAAATATTGCTTATAAAAGAAACTGTTGAACAACTCATCATAAAATAATAGTAGTATTATAACTATAAAGAAAATAACATTTTAAAGGTCCCATGACATGGCCATTTCTACTGATCATAATTCCATTGTTGAGGTCTACTAGAATAGATTTATATTGTGCAATTTTCCAAACTCACATTGGTTTCTCATACAGCATCTCTGTATAGTATGTGTATTCACTCTGTCCTAAACGGCTTGTTGGAGCTCCTGCCCCCCCTCCCCTCATATGAGCCCACTGTGCTCTGATTGGTCAGCTCGCCCACTCTGTTCTGATGAGTCCACCACCGTTACAGCGGAACATCAGTGATTATGTGTTACAATGGCATTAGCAACCAGAAAATGACACCAGTAATGACAGATGAGAATGCTGCGTGGGGTCTGGGTGCCGTGTTGGCGGGACGTTGCGCGGCTCGCTGCTGTGAGGAGCGGACAGTGTGAGCTGGGTTCATTTCCTGCTTGCTGCGTGGGATCTGCGAGACAGCAAGACATCGCGAATGGACGCGGGAAGGAGGGGGTGCTGAGGGGGCTGCAGCACCCCCATCTGCGAGGCTCCACTAGCACGCACCCCCCCCCCCCCCAGCGCATCACAGTTCCGCCGCTGAGAGTGTGTGTGTGAGGAGCTCCACGGATTGGTCACGTCACTGTACCCAGGAACAAAAAGAGAAATCTCCAACGAGGCGTTTTGGGGCAGCATAGACAGATCTTTTCTGTGTTAAGAGTTTTACTCGCTACAGGGTGTACTTTGAGGGTTTGTGACTTTGCAGACCGTTTACATGCAGAAAAACCTTCATAACACACAAGGGGACGGGTAATAACCGGAAAAGCATGACATGGGACCTTTAAACTGATGAGGAAAATGGACTTAAAACCAGATTGAAGGCCAATGCAGAAGGATGGACTGGGCAGCTGTTGATGTAGTGGGCATTAGCTGTTCAAACAGGAGTTATCTACAGTTCATTTCCTTATTCCAGGAATGCACATCCTAGTCCAGTCTTTAAAAAGGCATGAGATCAAACTGCTACAATGACTAATAAAATATATATCACTTTATTTGAACATGTATTATTGGCAGTTATCACCAGTTTAAATGTTTTATTTGCTTCAGTGGGATACACAACAGAAGAATTAAAGCATTCAACATTTTTTATCATTAAAATATGAAGACATTTAAAAGGTATCATTTTCTCATTGGGTGTAGAGGAGGGTGTTTTTTCTTTTACGACAGAACATCATGAGTGGTGCAGACTGGGAAGAAGCCATGTGTTACTCAAGATGTGGTAGACCTGACGTTACCTCCAAGAACTTCTTAAAATCAGCTACTAAGTTTGAGAGATCTCCAGAGGGGGGAGAGCAGAGAGAGCTGGCTCCAGTCCTTAGAGGAAGTAGGGGGTGGTTGTTCGGGGGGGTATGACGCGCTCCGAGTCGGGCACAGCACGGAACAGCTTGGGCTCTCGTCTGTTGACGTCCTTGAAGACCATGATGGACGCGATGTTCCCGCAGCGGTAGCAGTAGTTTGGCGCCGACCACACGGTCACCAGCTTCTCGTCAAACATGAACTTGTAGCCTTCATGAACCAGCTGATGTGCACGGCAGATGAGCTTCAGATTGTTGATGTGCACAAACTATAACAAAACATGAGCATTACTTTCCATCAACTGGTGTTCCAGGAGTTTCCGTTTTCCATTGATGAGTTTGAAATGTTGACGACACATACCTCATTGGTAACCTTGGAGCCAAACAGCCAGCCGGCCCCTCGAGGACTGATGGCCCAGGTGTCCACGTCCTCTGGGTCCGACCACACCAGGTCACAGAAGGCGCCCTTGTGGGGGATCTCCTGGTTGCGTTCAATGGTGCGGATCTGGTCCAGTGTCTTGATGTCAGGTGAAAGACCACCGTGGACACACAGGACCTGCTCATCTATCAACTGGGATAACACATTAAAAGATGTCATTAAGAACATTTGAAAATAGAATCAGGTCGATTTTGACTCTGAAAACCTGAGTCAATACATTGTGTAAATCAGTTCATGCCAAAGTGTATGTGTTCAAACAAGGATTTACAGATCTTCATCTCTACAGAGCAGTGGAGAAGGCGACAAGATACTAAACCAAAATCTAATTTGAGTGACTTTAAAATGCAAATGAAGCCTTTTAAGTTCTCTGCTGGATGGGTTAGCAGCACAGATGTCCTGTCTACACGTCCTTCAGGTTGGACAGACTGTTTTTAGCGTTGTTCTGATGATGTACCCTTTCCCTGCACCATCTCCTCGTGCATACTCTGGCTCCATCTGATACGCTACTTAATGTACCACCAAGAAAAACAAATCACAAGTTTAACACTGTGAAAACTCTAAAATGAAATAAGTTCAACAAAAATGTTTTCAGATATTAGCTTAGTTAATACGCATTAGCTATATATGGTACGTTTCATTCTCTGTGTTGATTTTGATATTAATCAAAACCAGAGGGCCACTGGAAGGTAGAAAAATAAACTTTAAAAGGACAGCACCACTTGCATGGATTAGGAAATAGTAATGACAGATGTAAGCACATGGGATTTACTAAAGCACTAGTGGGGCCCCTAAAGATCTCAGTTTCATTTCATCTTGGAGAGGGAGATGATCTGTGTTTACACATCCTACAAAGACCAATCAAAGAATCAAATGTCATAATGTCCCCCTTAACAGACAAAGGTTGTTCACGTTGTATGTCACCAATGTGAACGAGCCATGAAGAACTTACAGCTGCCACAGTCAGCATGTCAAACACTTTGGTGCAATACCTCCAGGCATTTGCATTTCCATATTTTGTTTGGCACTCATCTGAAAATGAGCAGAAAATACATGTATGATTATGAAACAGAAAACAATTGAATACATAAACAGTGAGAGTGAAGCATGTGAACCTACCATAAAAGCCGTACACTTGAGTTATTTGTCTGCTTTCGTGGTTTCCACGTAGAAGTGTGATACGATCCGGCCACTTGGCTTTTAAAGCTAGCAGATGTGTAAATGTCTCCAAGCTATAATATCCTCTGTCTACAAAGTCTCCCTAGAGGAGGAAAAGAAGACACCATCAATGTAGCAAACATAAAGAGCCTCCTTATATTCATTCAAAACACAACTCAGTTTCTCCAAGATCCAGTGCATCTTCATATTTGACACCCTGGGGAAACTTACGGGATCAGCTACTTGACATGAAAGAACTACAGAGACATTTCTTTGGACCTTGCTTTCTTTTGTAAAAGCCACACTTGATAGAGTAGTTGGTGAGTATTTGTATCCAGGGCAGCAGCTCTTGGAACAGTTGGTCTTCCACTTTTGTCCAGACTCAAATATCACCACAACTACTGTTGTACCATAACATTAGGGTGTTAACTTGACCATCATGCAAGGGATTTTTGGAATTTGAAATGTACATTATGTTGAACAGTAATCATGACATATTCTATATACTTTTATTACAAACAATCAGGATACATGACATTAACAATATAAATGGGCGCCTGTGGTTGCTTCCAAAAAGGGTGTCAAGCCCCCGGAGAAAAATGTGTACTGTAGATATTGGGCTTTATTAATAATAATGTAATCTTGTCAAAATAAGCAAAACATCAGTCGTAACTTTTCTGCATGGAGGTTAAAGGTGGGGTAGGTAAGTTTGATAAACCGGCTCGAGATACACTTTTTGTTATATTCCATGGAATGCTCTTAACATCCCGATAGCAATAAATATCTTAAGTGCTTTGACAAAAAATCCATAAAAAAATGTCATCTGTGGAAGCCGTAGTACTGTAAAAAGCACGACCAATCATTTTAGCCGGCCTGGCTAAAATAACTGGATGGCCTACCTGCCTGTCAGCCTTCCATCTGTGCACAAACTTATCTCGTGCCCTCATTGGTCATGTGCGCGTTCGTGTGTGTTGGAGGAGGGGCTCTATAAGGAAGTGGCAGATTTTCTCTGGTTGTGTATTTTCAAATTCTAGCGATCTCGAGCCGGTTTCTCAAACTTACCTACCCCACCTTTAACTGACTTAGTCAGAAATAAGGCATGAATTATTGTGGAATATTTAATACTGCTGTTACTTACCATGAAAATGTAATTTGTGTCAGGAACTTGGCCTCCAGTTCTGAAGAGCTCACAAAGATCATAAAACTAGGAACATTAAAGAGAACACATTAGCCTTGGTTTAGAAAAGAAAAAAGAAAACAGAAATGTGAGAGTAAAAAAAAAATGCTAAAGTATTAGCAGTATAATAAAATTCACATTTCAAAGTTTGGGATTAAACCAATTGTCTATCAAAGTAAAAGTAGGACACAAGTTAAAAAATTATGCTGTGAAATTGAAAATACATTTGTACCCCTACTTATACATTTCGAATGTTGATGTCCCTTATGACATATTTTAATAAACTGCCACTAATATAATACATTTTCTATCTCTATCAGTGAACTCAGTTTGGATGAACAAGCATTTGGTAACAAGCAACGTTAATTTATCATCTTTAAAGGTGTTAAAGCAAGCAAAAGTCCAGCCTACCTGACCATGAATATCTCCACAAACAGTAACTGGAGTCGAGACGGGCTGAACATTTGATTCTTCCAGCAGTAAGTCGCATACATAGTCACATAACCTCTGTGGAAGTGAAACAGGACATGTTAGCAGTCTGACACACTCCAGCTTCATCACAGCAGCACACTCCAGGCTTACTGCTCAACCATCTTTATCTCAAATAAGACCCAAGGAGCTCCTGGAAGGATATGCATTTGGCTTTATAGTCTTAAACTGAGATTTGGCACAATCCTTTGCATTGTATTAAAACTATTTTTTCGATCAGTCTATCAAGTATGAGCTCAAAACCTGTCCTTCTAAAGACAGAGTGCTACAAAGACCATTAACCAATATTCCCAATATAGTTCTTGACAAATTCACTGTATAATGCCTGGTTTTCATATTCACATCAGTGTTATTTTTATTTACATTGTAGGTATAGCACAGGGCCGGTCCCTAGCATTGGCGTTATAGATGTTCGCCTAGGGCGCCAGATCTGGGTGGCGCTGCGCTGGCAGCTCTGGGAGGGGGAAAAACATTTTTGACCGTTGGTGCTCATCCTAATTTTCGGCCTTGATGTAACAACATTCATAATTAAGTAAAGGTAACACCCTTTTCACCCCGGTTACACTTTTCATTTGCCCTGTACGATGGGCGCTGTAACGGAGCGTCCACACAGCAGCGTTAAAAAAAATCTTCTAACGCTTCTGCCCATTCACTTTGAATGGGGTGACGTCACTTTGCCTCACTTTTCGCCGAACTGCATTGTGGGAAGCAGAGCGGAGATTTTCAGGATTCACCTCCAAGATTTTTTTAACGCTGCTGTGTGGACGCTCCGTAAGTGATGAAAGTGGGGGATGTTGGCTTATCTGGCGCCCGCAGCTCACAGCCAAAGTGCGAGTGAGCGAGGTACCGGTGTTACAGTATAACTAGAGTCATGACAACTGGCGGCATTCTATTATTTTCGTCACATGAATCTGGGGCGTGTACATTGAGGACCCATTGTTGACAAGGAAATAAACATTTCGATCACCTCGTTTGTCGTTTACATTCATCTTTTGCTATATCTGCCTACATAGGATCACTTTGATGCACATTCAGTACTCGTATGCGAGGTTGTGGGTGAGAGGTCGTTATCGTGATGCTTACGGCCCCTACACACGGCGGCGTGCGTTGACGCTTGCCGGCGGGCATGTCTGAAGCTAGACCAACAACCTATCACCTGAATCTCCCGCCCCGGACACACAAGCAGCGGTTTGATTGGCTAGAGCTTGTACTGGCATATGATTCGATTGGCTGACGCTTCCGTTGAAGCTTCAAAAGTAGAACATTGCTCTACTTTTGAAGCGAGGGGAGCAAAGCAGTTCGGCGAAGCGTGACGTCACCCCATTCAAAGTGAATGGGCAGAAGCGTTGAAGCGTCAACGCACGCCGCCGTGTGTAGGGGCCGTTACAGGGAGGTAGCGAAAATGACAAAGTAGGTGACTGTGTGGATGCCTGTTCAAAACACAACTTGAATAAATAATTTAAATTATATATCTGTGTCCGACTTTCATTTGTACATCGTTCTTAATGTGATGTATAGTAGCTTTGATAGCTGTCCTTCAGACAGCCTAAAAGTAAAACACAAGTTGTTTATTCACAGCCCGAAAGCAGCATCGAGATGACTGGATCTTCTGTGACAAGTTGTGATCAGCTCCGATTAAATTGTGATATAAGTTCTGTAGCTATTCTCCAGCGAGCAAGTTTTTTTATGAAACACCTGTATCCCTCTCATCACAACAAGACTCTACACTGTGCGGTTAGTTACACAGGAAAAAAAATTACATACATGAAAATAACCTTGATGCATAGCTTTGAATTAAACAAACAAACTATCTTCCATGGCTAATACTGATATGTCACAGTAACGGTAAACCACAGAAAAGTAAGTCTACCTCCCTGTAACGGCCCCTACACACGGCGGTGTGCGTTGACGCTTCAACGCTTCTGCCCATTCACTTTGAATGGGGTGACGTCACGCTTCGCCGAACTGCATTGTGGGAGCAAAGCGCTCGCTTCAAAAGTAGAGCAATGTTCTACTTTTGAAGCTTCAACGGAAGCGTCAGCCAATCGAATCATATGCCAGTACAAGCTCTAGCCAATCAAACCGCTGCTTGTGTGTCCGGGGCGGGAGATTCAGGTAATTGGTTGTTGGTCTAGCTTCAGACATGCCCGCCGGCAAGCGTCAACGCACGCCGCCGTGTGTAGGGGCCGTAAGCGTCACGATAACGACCTCTCACCCACAACCTCGCATACGAGTACTGAATGTGCATCAAAGTGATCCTATGTAGGCAGATATAGCAAAAGATGAATGTAAACGACAAACGAGGTGATCGAAATGTTTATTTCCTGGTCAACAATGGGTCCTCAATGTACACGCCCCAGATTCATGTGACGAAAATAATAGAATGCCGCCAGTTGTCATGACTCTAGTTATACTGTAACACCGGGCACAAGTTGAATCCATATAATACGGTAGCATTTGTACATCATTCTTAATGTGATGTATAGTAGCTATGATAGCTGTCCATATCTTCAGACAGCCTAAAAGTAAAACACAATTATAAAAATGCTTACATGACATGTCCTTTGTTAAACATTAAGCTGTCTTTGGCTCTTTTCTGCTGTAACAAATGTACATGTCCCCTCTGTCGGACGAATAAAGGTATTCTGATTCTGATTACATTTAACCTGTTGTGGAAACATTTCTTGATCAAATTGATATGAAACAAATGAGATAAATATTGCTGTGACACTGATGTCACATCGGGACATTAACCTTAAACATTCACAGTAAACCCGGAGTGACATATGCACAATTAGAAATATGATTATGATCTGCTCAGTTAATTTAGCTGATTAAATTATATTTAGTTAATATATTCTTTATTCTTCAATTCAAAGTATGTTCAAACAAATGTAAACCAAAAAATCATCCTCATTAATGAAGTTATAAATAAGAGTTACTTTACCATTAAAGCTCAATGTGACATATATGTCACATTTCAGATATGTGACACTAGGGGGGGTTACTTGTCAGAAATGTGTTCTAGGTGGTCTATTTAGTCTAAATGACGTTCCCCTTTATTTTCCCAAAAGTAGAAATGGGTCAGGGTTCTTATAGGTTAAACGTATAGGCTTAAAGGCATAATAGAACTACCGTAGTATATGGATTCAACTTGTGCCCTGTTTATTTGTTATTGGCTATGGTAGGTTATTGGTTATGTTCACATACTTATTTGATTATTAAAATGTAAACCGATCTTTAGAGTTGTAGTCCCCTAGATCTAGTCTCTAGTAATTGTGTGCTCAAAGTGCACCAGATTGAAGCATTTTACTTTAACATTTTTCAAACATTTCTTCCCGGGGGGGGGGGGGGATACCCCCGGACCCCCGTAGAGGATGTGATGTCCACCCCCCAATTCAAACATGTTCATACAATACTGAATACATTTGAAGCCTTTTTTATGTATATTACCTATGTCAATAAGTTTCTGTTTTTGTAGTGTATTTGTCTTTTGTAGAGATTTTTCATTTATTCTTTATATTCTATAGGGGGGGGGGGGGCGCCAGCTAAAATCTCGCCTAGGGCATCAAATTGGCTAGAGCCGGCCCTGGTATAGCATATGTTGTTCTTAAAGTTTGCAAGAGAGTTAGTGAATTTAAGCAATTGTTTGTATATTGATCTTGTCTGCCGTGGTTCCCATGTTTTGCCCCAACATACACACCAGAATCGCAACATTTAACTTTTAGCCAGTAGCTAGCATAAGGCATTGACAGCTAACAGGTTACAGCTTCCTCTTTCACTTTCCTGTCCTGATGCCCATTCAAGTTTGTGGCCCAACGATCGCCCTTATCGGTGACGCCGGTATAATGTGCATAACATAACAATCCATGCTAACGTTAACCGTTAACTGTCCCCAGTAACACCTCACGTTAGCAGTTACATTAGCCGCTCATGTTCACCTAACATGTTTTAGTCACCCGTTGCTTCCACTGGTATGAAAAAAACCGTAGCCTATTTTAATACAAGCCACATTTACTCACCTTTAAATCGTTTTCCGGGAGGTATTTGCAGTGCCTCGCTATGTCAACGTACTTATCAAGGTCTAAAGGCGCCATTATCAGAACGCTAAAACCAGAAGAATGCTAAAGTAGTTAGCCAGCCAGCAAGTTCCTTTTCTTCTTCCTCTTCACCGCTCCTTCATTTTCAACTTGGTGTCTCTGGTGTCAATTCAACATAAACTCAGATGACCACATCCTGTAAGAAACTTCAAAATAAAAAACAATAACACACAAAACAGTCTTTTAATAATAAATAACACTATAATTACATCAATTATGCTATGTTATGTCAATAGTGAATATAATAAGCATACATTTTTGTTTTGGAAACATTTGAAAAAAAATTACAGGAAATATTTTAAACCTTTATTTCGAAAATGTCATTACAGTGGCATTATCTCGATTTAACTTGACTCTCCATTTTATGGTGTTTGGTGTACAAAGATATGCGACAGCGCCCCCTGCGGAAATAATGGTAACTGACACTTACACAATAACAGCTCCTTTGTTTTTTTGACCTTTTCTATATGGTTTCGTCCTTTGGTACCCTTTCGTATGGCCTTTTCAGAATGAGCTCTTGCTCCTGCAATATACTGCACATCCATGAGGCCTGGGGTTGGTTGTGGGCTCCGACCATCCTGCTGGTCTTTATCCTCCACCGCTGGGTGTAGAGGTCCTCCATGTGAGGCAGCACCGTCCATGGTGATGTCTGAGCAGTTTGCACCACCCTCTGTAGAGCCACCGTGTTAAGCTACTGTATTATTATTATTATTAGTAGTATCTATGTATTAATACTGAGTTGAATAGTTATATTACAGTCACCAACACTGAATTTGATCAACCTATTTAATTTAATATTTAAATGATTAAATACCTCTTAAATGTAGAGGTGTATATCTAAAACCGGAAACTTAGTAAAATATGTTAGACTTGTTAAACTTTGTTTTGTTTGCATAATACTGAATTTCCCCACAGGGATTAATAAAGGTCAATCTTATCTTATCTTATATGCAATGGAAAAGTTGTATTTGTAATAATCAGGAGAAATCATTATTGTACAAGCCAACAATAAATTGTTCAACCAGCATATCAATTAAATGATGTAATAAAATAATAAAGTAAGGGTTCATTAATTGTATTAAGTATTCATTATAGGGCTCAGCTAATGATTATATTCATTATCAATGTGTTTGCTCACTTATTTGTTTGGTCAATAAAACAGAAACCAAGAAGCATTCTCTGGAAAACATTCCTCTGCTACAAGACTTTAGAAGAATTTCTCCTTTAATCCAAGCTGGCCTGCTCATTCTTTGTCTCCTCCCCCCTTAGCCTCTGCTGTCACTCACCCAACCACATTCCTCAACATCTTAATCTTCTAATTTCCCCATTAAATATATATATCAATCATATTTTGAAAAAGAACAAATGCTTAATTTCACTACCAAGTGCTTTTTTATTGTGGTCTTCTGTGGTTTTCTGTTTTCCATCTCTTGGTGTGGTTATATACTGTTAGAATAAATCCTTCTCTTTCCCTCCTGTATAAAGATGTTAGACACATTTTGACAAAATGTTTTCAATCTATGACCTGCTTTCCTATACTTCTTACTTGTGTCATTCTAGCTACATAAAAACATTTGAAAAATCCCCTTAAGTCAATACATGTTACACCTTTAACTTGAATAACACATTTTTTTGCTATTGCTATTTTTTATTATCTATGCTTTTGTTCTAACATAGCATTTGCTTACTTTATTTTTTATTTTCATTTGGGTCATCTATTTGTTTAAAAGTGAAATTATTGCTTTCATTCACTGACAAACTGTATCATAGTTTGGGGGGGGGGGGTATGTAGTTGTTCAGATGTACCGTATCGTTTGTTCCTATGGGACTGCAAACTGTCATGTTTTGAGTGATTGTCATTTCTAACATAAACATCTGAAGTAAAACCTTAAAAAATGGATGAATCAATGTTTTTCCTATCATGAGTTGTATCTGTCCCAATAGATCACATCCTGGCTTTGGTTGCAGTTTACATATTACCTAAATATAGTGAAATAATTCTGAACTTAAACTTGACAGTTCCTGACTAACATATCCAAAGTGTGAAGAGTGACCTCCATGTCAGATTAGCTAAAGTCCTCTAGGTACGTTGGAGTTAGTTTACCTATAAAGATGCTCTATGTTCGGACAGTATCTCACATGAGATCAGCCACACATATCAGGCTGAGTCCTTACCCAACGACCCGGGTCCATCCAGCTCCAGCCCTTTGCTCCATGTCATCCCCTCTCAGCTTCCCATATCATACGTATCTCCCTAACCTAGAGGAGCTTCAGCAGGGAACATCTCTGTGGAAACTCTCATCTCCACAGTTTGGATCACAGTGGATATGGAGAAGGGAATTTAGTTGTATTGCATTTAAACACCTCTTCCGTCAACAGAGGTGGAAGAAGTGCTTTTGACTTAAGTAGAAGTAGCAATACATCAGTGTAGAAATTCTCAGTTAACGCAGTAAAAGTCCTGCAATCAAAATTGTACTTTGTAAAAAAGTATTAGCATTAAAAAATACTTTAAGTACTCGTTATGCAAAATAGTCATTTTGAGCACCATACAGTATATGTTAAAATTATTCGATAACAGTTATTGTTGCATTTATAACAGCAATGTTGCACATGGTAAAGGTGGGGTTGTTTTGAATGACTTGGGTAGCTTAACCTATAATATTATAATATAATGTATATGGATTTATATTTTGTATTAGTAACCTAAATCTGCAAAGTAACGAGTGACTAAATATGTAAAAATAAATGTAGTTGAGTAAAAAGTACAACATTTACCCACAAAATATAGTGGAGTAAAAGTATATAGATGCATAATGTGCAAATACTCAAGTTAAGTACAAGTAACGCAATTTTTGTACTCAAGTACAGTACTTGAGTAAATGTACTAAGTGACATCACACCACTGACCATCCACCATCTCAGTTTTCAGAAGCCCTCGGCTGATCTCTGGATTCCCCGTGCTGTGGCTCTGATCTCAGGTTAACCACAGTGTGTGGAACAATTGATTCTCTGTCTACTCTTGTAATAACACAAAAAGGTGCTCATCTGTCTTTAGAGTTTGTGCAGGGGGTAAAACCAAGCAGCTGTTCACTGTCTGGGAGGAAACATAGGGCAGGTCCTTTGTTTCAGAAAGCTCAGAGAGACAGGACAGGGAACGTCTGGCTGGTGGAGGAAGATACATTATGGCTTACAGAAACAATTCATCATGCATTGATTCACGCACTGACAGTGGGGGTTTGAAATTCCTCTGACAGATTGAGATGATGAGTGGTGTTGGTGCTTGATGACACGCTCTTGAACTGTTAGCGCCGTGTTATGCATGCCCACTGCACCTTGCAGGAGCGCGCACAGCGTAAAGCCAAAACTTACAGACATTTCAATGATTTGTACGGCAAAGTTAGGTTTGGAAATGGTATAATTTCCTTTTTGGCGGTGTTGGAGCAGAACACCTCTGCTACGCGCCGTTCGTTGGATGAGGCTGGATCTCTATTAAATTAAGAAAGGAATTGAAAACACCGGAATCAAAGTTATAACAAATTATCTGAGTTTACTTCTAGTAGGAAACCAAACACATATACAAGTTATACAGAGTACTCGAGCACTCCGGGCTTCAGGTTTGTGACGCGGTTTACAGGTAGACAGACCAGCCTTCAGGAAACGAGAAGTACAGACTTCAGGTTTGGGATGCGGTTTACACGTCTCTAGACCAGCCTTCAGCAAACCAGAAGCATTTTTACATACAAAACCAACCGTATACATATCCCTATTTTGGGGCGGAGATGTGTTGAATTGTTCCCTTCCCCTTTTATTCGACAGCGAATTAGAGAGCCCCTGGGGAGGAGCTGTTTAAGCTGCTCACCTCCCCCAAGTGTCCTGATTGGCTGGATTCACTTCTGGTCGAGGTCAATCAGAGTTCCGAACAGAGAGTGAGATCCTAAATTTCACCAGGTCAAAAGTCAACGTTTATCTCCACCTTATCTACACCACATTCCCTTCCCATGCGTTCTTCACCTATTTAACGATGTCTTTAACGACTTAAAAACAGCATCTGGCTTTTAGGGATGATAAGAAGCGATGTAATGTTGTCTTTAACGACCTTAATGACGACATCTGCTTTTAGGGGTAAAACAGACAAGGTTGGTGTGTTGGAACACAGAATCTCTGGATCAGTGAGTTTGAAAGTAAGACAGTTCAAATAATACATGTTTACTTCAATACAGTGTAGAATCATATCTTTTTACTTCAATCCCTCTTTTGATCTCACCTCACGAGATCAACATATAGCATTTGAAACATTACCACTGTCATTCTATTTTCCTACTGTGTCTGTCCCAACATTTATATAAACCCATCAGAAGCTGGGATATAGAGCACTTTAAACCTTTAGGAACAGTCCACAACAAGAACTTCTTATGACAGTGGAGGGAGAATAAAATATGTCTAAAAAGCAAAGTCCTTGTCAGCTGAGTCATCTTTACTCTTCCCTCAATGGTGGAACTGATGAGTCTAACACACAATGAGCAGATACAAGGCACCCAACAACAACCACATGTCACTAAAATGGCAATAAAAGTAGCCACAGAAATTAGAAAAGACATTATCATACTTTTCCCTCTTTTGGTAACACATAGTTCTGTAGAATAAAAAAAAAATACAAATCCCTTTTTATGGGATATAAAAATAAAGTTGAAAGTTCCTCCAAAAAATGGATTGTTCAGACAAAGTTCCACACCGGCTATATCAACCTGTTTCAGCGGGAAATGGAGTTCCCTGTGCCGTCTTGGTTTGCCATGTCTTCGTCCCCCCAGCCCGCTGACGGCGGCTTCTGGGGTGCCTGCTAGAGAGATGTGGCCTGATTGTCTTCCGCCCGCCCGCTGATGGCGGCCTCCGGGTCGATGCTGGAGAGATGTCCCGATCCTCCTCCTCCGGCCCGCTGATGGCGGCTTCCGGGTCGACTGCTGGAGAGATGTCCTGATCCTCCTCCTCCGGTCTGCTGATGGCGCCTCCTGGGTCGACTGCCTTGACGAGAGCCAGATCTGTTCTGATGTCGTCTAGGGTCCTCGCAGGTGTTTTTCCCGACCGCACACTGGCTC